AACCACGCCCACAGTAGGAGGAAGTGGATGCACCAACCAATATCCAATCGCTTTCAACTCTGGAGGACAACAGCGACGTTCCATTTCCGAATTAATACTTGCCGAACGCATGGGGGTATATTTGGACCGAGAATTCGGCTTATTGGTATGGAATGTTGGGTGGGTCGGATAATGACTCATCGGATACATCGTACCATCATACCCTGGTTGGTAAGACATCGGCATATGCGAATGTGGATACATGTGATGCATAGGCAGCCCTGGGGAGGCGGGAAACATCTGGTGGTGGTGCACCGGTGTGGGTAACCCCATTGCCGGTGACGTCGTGGGACAATGACCAGCGAAAGGCGACGGACCACGAGGGGTAGAATCAATTCTGACACGAGGACCTTGTTGAAACGGAGAATTCCATGTCGAATCGTGGATCCCATCATGAGGCATACCTTGGGCTGGCGACTGGAGTGGTATGTTCGTACCGTTCATAACACCAGCAAACGGATTGCCCCTTGAAGGATTTCTGAAACAACTGGAATCTGGATGTTGGTCACGAGACGACGGAAAAGAAGTGTGGCTCGGAGCGACATGATCCAGTGGGCGATATGTCGAAGGAGACGGTGTCACCGCTGGCAGTACTTGTCCATCAGTACGGGGTTGCATCCCGCCTGGATCATCATGGGGAACATAATTAGTACCATGTCCATCTTCGAAGTTTCCTTCCTCCGTCAAGACAAAAGAGTCTTCTGGAGCGGGGGTAACTGGCGGATGGACCGGTGATCGACGGGAATTGGGCTTGTGTCGCTTGGTAGCTTGAAGGAATTCCGCCAGATCATCATCCATCGGTTGCAAAGCGGCATGAGGTGCTACTGGAGGCACTGTCAACCTCTGTGTAACATAATCATCAGGATCTTGGGCAGACGACGGCAGCGGGCGAGGGGTGTATTGCAGGTACGAGTCCGGAACCTCAGTTCCCGAATTTAAATCAAGCGTCTTGTACCATTTAGGGATACGACCATCCCATCCCTTGTCTTCATCCTCAAAAGGGAAGAGGTAGTTGACAAAGGCCTGACACTCAGGTGGTAAAGTAATACCCAAGGCAGTAGGATAAGACTCCGCCACGCGCATATTATGCATCCTGACCCGAGCACGCATCTTGAACCCAAGAGTCGACGTAGGTAAGGATCCACTTCTGTATATGAGTTGCATCAAGTGGCTCCAAAGGAAACGATCCATCTGTTCTTGGAATGGAGCTAGTAAGGCTACATCCAAAACACGGGCGTCGACTGGGTCATGCTCAGTGGGAAAGCAGGACCAAAACGGCAAAGCATCCACCACTGGGACCGCAAAACTTGCAGGACTGGCCTTAACGGCATTGAACCAATTTTGAATAATAGTCTTCCTTGACGTCAATAGGTGAAGAAGACCAGAGAATATCTTTTTTCGATTGGTAATACTCTCTTGGAAGGCGTCGAAACCATCACTCGCCGGCCAAACAAATCCCACAGGACAAGCAGACATTGCTGGAAAAAACAGAATTTTCCAATCATCACGGTTAAAAGGTTTATTTCCAATAGCGGCTCCGTCTGTCATCAAAACGGGAAGGAGAGATTTTGAAAATTCAATACGATTGCCGGTTCCATAAGAGGCAAAAGTATGTCCGGACAGCGATCCCAAAAGACAATGGGTCCTTTTTGTAGGATCACCTACATACTTTTGCGCAATATCATTATTGACAATTTCCCCAAAGGGAGCCGGAGCTCCAAAAGTATTGGGTTCCATTACATCTGGCTTGGTCAAGACCGGATTGGAAATAAACATGATATGACATGGCTGTCCATCTTCTCCTTTCCTGACCAAAAGGGCAAAACCAGGAGACATTGTTTCTCCATTTCTCATGCGCTGGGCGAAAGTCAAAGTAGGATCGTTCCACTGGTCGAAAAGCTGCTCCAATTCCTCCATTCGTTGATCTTCTGGTTCAAAATCCTCGGGGCACGTCACCTGATATCCAGGTTTGGTGGTATCTGTGACAGGGTGGCCGAATGACTGATGAATGGTTTTATCCAAACGCATTCCTCGCCGAGAATTGATGATGTGATCATGGATGAGGGAATCTTGATGGGGCAGACCAGTGAGTTGATCCCAGAAGCTTTGTCCGCGGGTTCGGTGATCCGACGCGAAAGCATCAGTCAGGAACTTCATGATTAGGCTGCGATCAGGGGTGGCACGACGGAAAGGAGAAGACGGAGGAGCACTGAAGGTCAAGTGTGAAAGTGCGTGGGACGACAACAGACACAGGCAGTTTTCGTAGATCGCAACTGGGATCTACTACTCTTCGCCGAGGACGCCGAAGAACTTGATGAAAGAGTATTGAAAGAAAGAAATAAACCTTATTTCTTGACGTATACTCGCACACAAGTTCGATAAACTGATCGGACTTGGTGTTGCTGAGCAATGCTATTGTGACGGTCGTTCGACCGTCGTCAGTATGATGAAAGGAATCCAATGATTCGTTCTCGAGCTTTCGTCTACGTTAGAGAAACTGATAAATTGGCCATTTGGTCAGTCACCGAAACTGAAAACTGAAAACTGATCAAGTCAAACTGATTGCCTCCACCACCGAACCCAATGCAACTGTAAAATCATTTTCATCACTATTTTTCAACATGAGCTCAAGCGAGAAGTCAAGCGACAGCTCCATGAACAGCAGCAGTGGAATGTCTGCCAGTATTGATTCAAGCACTGACTCTGGACTCAAGCGCCAACTCAAGCCTCGACTCAAGTCTCGACTCAAGCATGAGTGGTGGCAGCTCCACAATCAGCGACCCATTCCATGTCTTTGAATACATTTTCGACTTCCGCATGGACGACTTTTTCCTGGAGTTGGGGCAGTGGATGGTTCTGTTATTGTTCATAAGGGGGTTTATGTCATCTGCGATGGTGGATACCTTGAATGGCCAGAGTTGATCCCTCCATACAAGTCACAAATTCCAGGATCCGCAGACTATCGCTGGTCCAAATGGCTCGAAAGTCTTAGGAAAGATGAGGAAAGTTCGTTGGGTATCTTGAAGGCGAGGTTCGCTTGTCTAAAAAATCGTTCAAGGTTCAATGACAAGGAGACAATTGAAACTGTCTTCCACTGTTGCTGCATTATGCACAACATAAACCACCACTTTGATAAGTATGATGACATTGTACATGATGCAAACGAATTGCAGGAGGAACTCGACTTTCAAAACTTTCAACAAGAGGACGAAACTGAGAATTTTGTTTCCAGCTGTGCACAGCGCATTGATGCTTTGGTTGATCACTTCAGCTACAGCAGGGACACCCTTAGAAAAGATTTTAATACACATAGATAACTAATAAAGAAATAAAACCTTGACCTTGTTTATATACCATATTACTAGCTAATTGCTGGTACGAGTAGGAATTTCGTCATCATCATCCGAAGTGGAAGAGACTGCAGTCTCAATGGGAATGGGAGATGACGCGTTACCAACAAAACCAGCTAACGGATTACCAGTAATTGAAAGGGAACCAGTTGTTGTTACCTCGTCAAATTCGTTAGCTTCGTCAGGATCCTCCTCCTCCTCCTCCTCTACAATTCCAGCCTCCAAAAGCATCTTGTGGTCCATCTCATCAAGCTTCTTTTCCAAAAGACGTTCTTGATTAGCTGACTTGCAGCGCTTGAGTCGCTTCAGCAAACCAGCATGAATAGTCTTCAATGCCGTCATCTTCATCCTTTTTGTATCACAAACTGACATAGTATCACTATCTGGGTACGTGCGCTTCTTCTTGTTCGCTTTGGCTTGTGCCTTGTCTATAGTGCGTTGCTCGTGCCTGTTCACGGTTAGATGGCGTACAGGAGTCCCAGTTGCGGGGTCAGTAGGGTCCACTGGAAATTCCACAGAAGCTGCATTACAAAACTTGGGGTGAGAAATACAATCAAGCGACTTCAATGCTGTCCATTCGATGTCGGTTGGTTGCCAACTGGGTGTCCATTCGCTACTGGGCTTCTTCGCTTTCTCCTCGAACAAACTCCGGATCGTTCTCCTTTGGAGCATGAACACACATCTTCTTGATCTTTGCCTTATATGAAAGGGCACGGGTACATCGAATACTGCTTTTTGATGATTTCAAAACGGAAGGACGCATCCAAATGGGTGTAAGCCTCCACAGCCAGCACAAAATTCTTTGCCAGCGATACATGGAGACTTTCTTTAGTTTTTTGCGGAGTCTCTGTGACAGCTGTGTGAGCTGTGACAAAAGCTTGGACTCCAAATCGCATAAGATATTGGGCCCTGTCATTTTTGGTGATGACAGACATACCAGCTTCTAGATCATAATCGACTACCATCGTTTCTCAACAACGATCGTTCAATTTGTGGGTCTTTGGTTTCAATACATCGGCCCATCATGTTGGTTGTCGTGTCATTTCCGTGGCTTTTTTGGGCGCTCATTTCATATTCAAATTCAAATCGAATCCTCAGTGGGCGCGAAAGCATTCAGTCTAAAGGCGCCAAAGCATGCTAGTCTTGTCTTGAGTGGCCCAACAGCAACGGTCTTCCTATATGAAGAGACATCACGGAGATGTTGTTCCGTTGTGATAGATGTGTTGGATGGAGCTTTTGATACGGTTGGAGAGGCAGACGTCGGATGATACAAATCCGTCGTCAGTTTCCGGTTCGTCGTGTGGAACTGCAGTTTTTGCCACGACTGATGCCAGACACCCGAAAAGTTGGACCGGAAAAGTCATCTCATCAGTCATCGGTTTCAGGTTCGCGTGGAAGTGGCCTAAGTAGCTTTGCGGATATCTGGCACTCGGCTCTTCGAACATTTGCCGCAACAATATCTCCGTAATGGAAACCGACGGAAACGATTTTCTGGTAAAAAAGTTGCTCTTTTCTAAGAAATAAAAACATGTACAGGACCTGGTACTGTAGGTAGCACCTCTTTTCTGTTGATAATTAACAGTCATTTCGGCAAAACCGTGCGAACCAATTCCGTTCTTTGCTGCAAGTATCTTTTGATTTCTTTTTTCTTCGAGTATTTGAGTCACTGCTCCAATATATAAAAAATATATAATATGTGTAAGGATATAATCTGTTTTCTGGTCAGAATAACGTGAACGAACTTTCCTCCACTACCATTTCGATCGTTTAGATGAGCGGCAGGAGTGACCAAGTCATCTCGGCAAAGTTTTGCGAACCACTTGGTATTCTGTGCGAAACCATTTGATGTTCTTTGGACCAAAGATCCAGCCCATTCTAGCTCTTTGGAACATGGGTGTGGTGGCTTCATGAGAATCCGGTGGGACAACGCGATCCCAAGAGAAAATCAGCATCACCTCGTCTTTTTAAAGAGAGCTCACAAAATCAAAAAGCACAAAACAAAACACAACATACAAACATGGCTACTATCCTACTTACCTGCAACTCTGAGGACTTTGACATCGCTCTCTGCCTCAAATCTTCGATCCAAAATGAACTTGGAATCAAGGTTTGCCTTCACATCGAAGATGACAGCGACGATGAAGATGAAGGCTTGGACGCCATGGTCGAGCTAGCCACAGTTCTCTTGGTTTTTGAGTTTGGCGACTCCAACATCTCCGCTTGGGTGACCATTGATGGTATTGATATTGCACAAAGCAACTACCAACAAAGTGCATTCCCGGAAGCCATCGACTTTTCCAAGAATTTCGCAAAGGGTGTCGCCGTGCTTGATGATATCCTTTATACCGATTTCGGTCTAGACACGAGAGCACGTGCTCATGTACAGCCACAGCAACACTTTGCCCAATTGACAGTGTAGGAAATTCGACAGAAAGCACACCAAACAATTGTCGAAAAATTCAATCAGGACCCACCACCATTAGCCAATCGTGAGGCTGCTTTCGACGACTGACACTCCGGCAACGCCTCTCGTGGGCGTTGGGGACACATGTATTAATCTGATGGATTGTACTGTATTGCTATTTGAAAGCAATGCGACCTCATTCACACCAGCAGCCAGTCTCAAAGACCATAACAAACGCTTTTATTGACTGGAAGAGTCAAATGGACTCTAGAAGGACAGCATCAAAAGATGGCCGTGTCCGCCAGTTTCATTACAATTATAGAAGATCATATAAGCATAAAAAGAATCATAAGACCTTGATACTATACCAAATATAGTACCATGGAGTACTATTTTGAAGTACACACACCAAGCCCTCTTCTTTGGCTGGTGGTGGTCGTATGATGGATCAAATAATTGTTTGCAGCATTGATGCTACGCTGCTAGATCCTCCAATCAAAGTACCAGACCGGGAGGAGGTTGGCTTCTATCTTTTGCGGGTGGAACTTCCACAAATGCTTTTCACGGGTATGTAAAAATCAAATTCCGCGAAGTTTCCATTGAGTGTTTTTTGGTGTTTCCAGTGAGTGACGTGGCTCTCTTCGCCATTCCTCCGATAGTATCTCTCGGAGAATTGGATTTGCCCGTCAATGACTCTCACCGGAAAAAGCTCCCTTGGGCGCATTACAATTTCGCTTCACGAAATCCCTTACAAAATAAAAAAGCACAAAACAAAACACGACATACAAACATGGCTACTATCCTACTTACCTGCAACTCTGAGGACTTTGACATCGCCCTTGGCCTCAAATCTTCTATCCAATGTGAACTTGGAATCAAAGTTAGTCTTCACATCGAAGATGATAGTGACGATGAAGATGACCATTTGGATGCCGTTGTCGAACTAGCCACTGTACTCTTGGTTTTTGAGTTTGGCGACTCCAACATCTCTGCTTGGGTGACCATCAATGGCATGGATATTGCCCAAAGCAATTATAAAGAAAGCGCGTTTCCGGAAGCCATCGACTTTTCCAAGAATTTCTCAAAAGGTATCGCAGTCCTTGACGATATCCTTTATACCGATTTCGGTCTAGACACGAGAGCGTCTACTCAAGTGCAATCACATCACCACCTTACACCATTGACCGTGTAAGAAGCCGACAGAAAACACAAGCAGTTGTCGATACATCAATAATCAGTGCCCACCATTTGTGTGGCTGTTGAGTGGATGACTCTTTGGCAACGCCTCTCGTGGGCGTTAGGGACACAAAGATGGATGAAACTACATTTTCGTCCGAAAGCATGACACTCAATACACAATTTGTGGGCACGTCCCTTGCTCTAAATTGACCGTGCTGTATGGTGTACTAGAAAGAGTCAATGGACTTTTGAACAGTATCAAACAGTTGGCTCCCACCAACTTCCTTACAAAGATACACTATACAATGAATTGAAGATCATAAAAAGGTAAAAGAAAAACATGCATTGTCGTATTTTAGGTCCTAGAAGACTACAGTACGTGCCGGCAGTGTATAGTACAAGGTACAAAAGTCTGCGTAGTCGGATCAATCGCTTAGCAGCATATTTTGGAACCCTGCTGCGATTTCAATAGAGGGGTGGATGGCTTCTACCTAGGTTCGATAGGCCCCACAATCAACCTTTATTACTGGCACCTGTTATTATACTTTTAAAACTCCAGTCAAACCCTAGTGGCTTATTTTTTATATGCCTGGAACCTGGAACCAAAAATTTTGTGCGGAGTATTGTTGGTCATTAAACGACAAGTCTTTCATTTGACACGGAGAAAATGACCAAGAGTTTCCGAAGAGAATCAATCACCGTCTTGAGCTTCCAAATTTGTTACGTGGTTAGGAAAAATTGCTGCCATCACAATCTCACATAGAGAATACATTAGACTGATCCATGAGAAAATAATATCACAATCACTTTGGTGCAGAAGGGACTCATCCAGCAAGTCATTCGACCATTGCCTATCCGCTTTTATTGTACGAACCTCAGCTGTATGCAAGCCCCTCGCAGTTCTCTCTCATGTCATTTGTATCTTTCTTGGAGTTATACATTTCAACTATCTTAATTGCTTACAGTAGCATCTCAGCTTCAGTTTCACACAATGGACGATGACGTAATCGAAGATTACCCGGCGCCGCCTCCACTCCTGGGCTTGAATCGCATGATGTAGTCTTTGTCTGGAGAGATCGCGCACGTATGCTACCATGGAAACTGTGGCAAAAGCCTGATGCTACATACGAGAAGCGAGTAGGTTTGGCACAGTAGCGAGGTACTAAGTTAGTGACTGGTTTGCACCGAGGTCGAATCATAGGATTCGAAAAGGACAATCAATAGGATTGACAGACAAACCCGGACCAAATGGGGTACCGAGCTATGGTGCAAATGAGAGAGAGGGTGGTGAGGGCGGGAAAAGCAAAAAAGCTGACGGTCTTGACCGAGCAGCTAAGCTCCTTCTATCGTCTCCATCATCCCACAAGCTCCCATTGCGAACAATGTCTTCTCCAAATCTTCCGTCCTCTTCGTCGACACTCTTCGCTCCGTCCGCCAACCGTGTACTTCACTGAAGCGACGCGCCGTAATCGACACGACGGAAATTGAGACTAAGGAAGAGCTAGAAACGCCCATACGTCTCCCGTCTTGCCGATCAAAATTCGGCGTTGCTCTCCCACGTAAACGTTCGCTCTAAAGGCAGGCGCGTTACAACCGGGTCGCTAATCTGCATCGCTGTGCAGCTTTTTCATCATACAATACTCTCTCAAATCTCAAATCTCACAGAACGGAATCACCATTTTTCCTACTATTATTGCGATGCACACAAATTGATCATCATACACAAACAGCATCGAACAAAAGAGATCATGGGTACAGCTGACGAGGAGAAAGCGAAATCCCACTTGTTGGACACGTATCTGAAAAGTTTCAATGCGGGAAATATTGAAGGGATCATTGAAAGTCTCGATCCAGAAGTGCAAGTGTGCGTGGAAGGAACTCTTACAGGCGATGGAAGAGATACCATTGTACCGTCGTATCTGCTAGATTTCGAGGCCAAGACGCAGGTTTCTGTAACGCGAGCCCCAGTGGCGTCAACAACGACGTCATCCGAGGGGACCCATTTCATTAGAGTTGCCATTGGTCTTGTATCGAGCCGACCGGGCTCGCCGTCGACTACATTGGATGTGGTCTATACGTATGATGGAACTACAATGAAGCAAGTGCAGCATGATATTAGCAATGTTCAGACAAGCTCCACAACAAACGAAAAGTAGGACACATTGAACATCTATCGTTCCAAACCGAAAAGAACTGCGCGTGCGTCTACTTCTTGTCGTTGGCGTGCCTTTGCAAAAAATGGCATCATTTTCTCTGGACTTGATACATCCAGTAACCTTGTTGTTCAGTTAGATGAAGTGCTGCATACCTTCTTAGTAGGCCACCTTTCCAATGTCGAACGATCTTTTTGACCTTCACCATGGTTTATTACTGGGGAATTTGTTCCCGCCGCTCGATGGAAAAAATGTGCGCTCCTGGAAGATAGTGCAATATAATAAGTCGATACGCATGAATTCATGCATCATCAAAAATCAGCAATGGTGTAATAATATCTCAAGTTGTAGTATTCGAATGAATCAATCGACAATAGTCTGGCCGACTGTACGAACCTGCTGCGAAGCAGTTATCGATACAGGTATTCAGTCTCATATACTGCGCGTAGGTTTTGTCATTTGTATCTTTATTCTTCGAGCTTCATTTCAACCATCTTGACTGCATAGCGTCTCAGTTTCAGGTGCACACAATGGACGACACAAGAAGCCGAATACGGCGACAGCGCAGTCAGTCGCCAACGCGTGAAATTGCGGCGGAAATGAGTCCTCTAAATGGCCAAGGAGGAGGACCGAAACGATCTAATTTGTTTGCCATTGGGAGTTTCCTGGTTCCTCCTTCCATGTTTCAAATAAAAGTACGCGATAAAAAGGATGCAACTGCCAAGAAAAAGTTTCAAGTGAATGTTCCTACCAGGATGTTGGTTATCTTGGGTTTCGTATTTTGCCTCATGCCATTGTTGGTATTCTTCTACAAGGAAAAACATCTGCACGAGGACCACCACGAACCTCACTTTAAGCAACACAAATTTGTGAATGTGGACAAAGAGCAAGCAATGGCCAATTTCGTGGTGAATCAGAATCATACTTCTGAACAGACTAGTCTAGATGAGAATGAAACGTCTGAAAAGAGCAGTAAGGACGAGCTACCTGAGGCAGCTACAAAACTTGCAGAAGAAGAGTCAGAAATGATCAATGCCACAACAACAATAGACGCAGAACGAAATGCCACAAAAACAAACCAGGAAAAAGAAAAAGAAGGACCGCCTATTCGGTAGTACACGATTTCATGCGACTACGCATTCCCACGAGGGCGCATCATCAATTGAAATATAACTTTATAATTGTAGTATTAGTTAGTTTATGTGTTCGTCTCACTGCTCCAGTTTAGAACGATTTAAGGAACGAACGAACGAACGGCATATGAGTTGAAATCAATATAGAACAAGTGAAAAGCAAATGCCTAGAAACCGTGCATTACAAAACATGCAAACAACTTACACAAATCCCCTGACATCGAAATTGCCATTAGCATCAGGAAGAATGACACCCTTTTCTGTGACGATTCCTGTAATGTTGGCAGCGGGAGTCACATCAAAGGCAGGGTTCCAGCAGGGAACATTAGCAGGAGCCTTGGAAGTATTGATCAATTCATCGGCCGATCGCTCTTCAATAGGAATGGCATCTCCACTCGTCAAGTTAATATCCAACGAGGTAATTGGTGCCGCGACGTAAAAGGGGACTTTGTGAAAGGCGGCAATAATGGAAACATTGTAGGTACCAATTTTGTTGGCTGTATCTCCATTGGCGCACACACGATCTGCGCCAACCACTACAGCATCTACGTTCTTGGTCTGAAATTGTGGTTGAAAAGGACAGCAGAAATGAGATAGAGTTGGTTGCAATCATCGGTATTGTTTGCCATATCTCCAACAACAAAAACACTCGTTACATTCAACCAAGACAACACAATCTACATACTTTCATCAAAGCGCCAGCAGCCGAATCGCAAATGAGTTGTCCACCTGTCATTTTCTCTTCCATAATTTCAAATGCCGTCAATCGAGATCCTTGGTTGTATGGACGAGTCTCCAAAGCAGTAATACTACTAAGGTTTCCACCTGCTTCCAAACTTCGCACCACGCCAAGAGCAGTTCCATATGCAGCACAGGCTAAAGCGCCAGTATTGCAAATTGTCAACATGTCCACCTTGTCCTTGCCGGTCTTCGCCAAAATGGCTTCAGCACCAAACCTTCCGATAGACTTGTTGTCACTAACATCGCGCTCCAACATGAATTCGGAATATTCCAAGATAGCCTTGCACAAACTCTTGCGAAGGGATCCTTCCTTGTTTTCTTGGGCAGCATTTTTTAAGGCATTTTCTGTTTCGGCCAGCGCATTGGCCAGATTGACGGCCGTCGGACGCGAGGTATTCAGGTAGGTCATCTTATCTTGAATGTACTTGAGAACAGCACCATCGTCCATGGCATCCAATTCCTTGATCGTCTTTTCATTGGTATGCAGATCTACAGAGAGACCCAACAAGGCTACAATGGCAATCAAGGGAGCTCCACGAATTTGCATTTCCCGAATGACGCTCCAGGCTTTCTCGACATCAGGAACATCCAAATAGACCTTTTCATGAGGAATCAAGAGCTGATCGAGGACTTGCAATTTGGGAGAGCTTCCTCCTTCGTTGGTGTAAATGAGTGATTGGAGATTGTTGGGCATGATGATGGTGATAATAAGTAGGTGATTGAGAATAATGCAGAGATGCAATAAGAGCTACACACACGTCTCGTTTGACCGTTTCCCGTCCCTTTTGATTTGAAAAAGACCGACTCTTCCGACCACATACGAAAGCACAGCCGCCAATATTTTACTGGAGAATCTACCGGTATGGCATGCAAGGAAGGTATTGAATAACTTATCAAAGCAAATAGAAAATCATTTTCTCATTCTTATTGCTAAAGATGCTCTGACCATAATTGATTCATCTTTTCCCTGATTGCTCCTTCTGCACTATGCATGGGAATTGACTTGCTGCGGCACTTAGAAGAAAGAACAACGGGTTCAAAAGGGTGGCGAGATAGAGTTGTTGAGGCAAGATCCAAAAGCACAACTCGCTTGCAATTTTTTTGAAAAGAGGGCTTATATATAAATATGTAACCGAGATGTTTGGGCTGCTGACAATGCAGGAGCAATGGCAGTCCATTTGATTTGGATCCAACATCAGCGTTGTTGGGAGTGGAACTAATAGTTAACACTAGTCATCACTGGCCAAGGATTTGCGGGCGCGAAAACTCTTCTTTTTTCCATGAGCTGATAGCGGTATAGCTTCCGAGTGATCGGTTGTGCTGTAGTCGTTCCGTTTCAGACTTTCGTACGAAATTTCCGCTTCGGGGTCGCCATCGCTGTCATCGTCTTCGGAAGTATCATCTGTGCCACGTGGGGCAAACCTCAAAACCAGCATTAACACCGTTACTCCAAAGGTAGCAGGAAAGTAAAGACCGCCACCAACTGCAACTCCAACAGCTGCCGAGATCCATAGCGAAGCTGCAGTCGTTAACCCGTGAACGACATGATTCGAATCTCCGGCCGCACTTCGTTCTTCTTTCTTGAATATCAACCCGGCGCCTAGGAAACCAACACCACTTGGAATGGCAGCTGAAACTCGAGAAGAGTCCCACTTTTCATCAATATCAGCACAAATAGAAATAAGAGGAGCAGAAGAATTAGTTTTTGTTTGATTCGAATCAGTGTTTGAAGGCAGTCAATAAATAGACTTACTGTCATCGGGCCATCCAAAAATGCATACGTAGAATTGATCGTGAAGAGACACGATCCTAAACTAACCATACTCATAGTTCGAATACCTGCAGGTCGATCTCCTTGTCGTCGTTCCCACCCAATAAGTGCACCAAGCATAACGGCTACAAACAAACGCCGAGCCCATATACATTCCTCTCGATTCAATCCGAGCAATACTTTGTACCGAACGTGCCGACAAAGATGCCCCGCATATGCCACATTTGGAAAATCTAATTCGGGCTTTGGTTCTTCACAAGGAGTGTCTAGAAAGGGCTGTTGTTGTTGTTGTGTGTCGCAATAAGCAATCTCGAGATGTTAGCTGATTATTTGGATTCCAGACATTTCGATTTTTGACCCAAAAATCACATACCTCTGCGAACGCTACGATATTCCCCAACGTAAAATAAACGACTGCTATTGTGTACAGGGCGACTTTGAACCATGTTAGCTCTGAAAAATACGATCGTGTCTTTGGGCTGCCCATCTTGCTGCGACATCAGTGAAGATGAATCTTCATCGGATGCAACTGGAACGTTTCCTTCATCTCATCTCGGACAAACCTTTGCTAAGTCGAAGGTGTCGTATGCGGACCATCCGCGCGTTCGTGTGTGTAGAGTTGGCACTTTCAACTTGGCGGCCGTCTCTTTGATTCGAAGGCGTCGAATAGAACCACACATGCAATCCGATCGAAAAAAAACGGTTTTCAGTTTCCTTGAACGTCAACATGTAGTTAGTTTGTTGCAATCACAACATAATGACAATCATAGGTTATTCAGGTCGAGGAAGAGGTAGAGAAAAGGGCAGAGGACGTGGGAGAGGATGGGGAAGAGGCGGTGATAGGGGAAGAAGTGTGACATACCAGTCTTACGCTGGGGGCCAAGGAAGAGGACGAGGAAGGTTTTCCTACCGGTATCAGCAACAACAGCTCTATTCTGCAAGCAGCGGAAACAGCGGAAATCCATCTCACAAGTGGGTAAGGAATGGTAATGAAGCTACTAATGCTGAGAGTAACGGAAATTTAGGAGAAGAAAAGAGCACACAAGAGCAGGACTTTGTTAAACGTGGTAAGAATCAACTTATCCTGAAAACAGATAAACCTTCTGGTCTGTACTCGGAGAAGAATGAAGAATCCTCAACAAAGACGTCCTCGGATTCAAAAATGGATGGAGAATCTATTGGGAAGCCTGAATCTGAACACACAGATTCGCAGTTGCCCAACACATCGACGTTTGTAATAATCGAAACTGAGACCAACAAATTGATATCTTCTGGGTCAAGAAACGATACCAGCCGTGAAGAGGACAAGCCAGATGCACAATCGTCAGAAAACAAAATGGAAGATAAAGTTGATACGACCATGCCATCGCAACCATCATCATCGCAGAAACCTGCTCCAAACAGACCGGCTGTGTCTGAATTGAAAGTGAATAGCATCGGCAATAGGAGCGCTATACTAGGCGCTGACGGTAGTATGCTTTCGACTCATCTAAAGAAGGTGGCTTCGCACAAGCTCGTGGCTTCTGGTGCAAGTAGCAAACCAGGCGTACCGGCTAGGAGAACAAATCATCCAGGTCCTCCTCACTGGAAAAGTGGGAATACCAAGAAACGACCGCCACCTCGGTCTGGAAGGCCACGCCCGGGTGCCGCAAAACGGATTGCCATTGAGGTGACAAATAAGGCCAGTGGCGAACAAGAGCAGCCGATCACTCAAGATGGTTCAACTGCCAATGAAGGATCCCTGTCATCCGAACCAACCGAAAAGCTAACAGATTTTGCATATCGACAGACAAGCGCAAGAGTACAACGTGGTAACGATTCCAAAAGCCTCAAGTGGTCCGCGAACGGGGGTAGTACTGTCAGTTCTAGCATCCATCAATCTGGGAGACCGCTTCGACGAAACATGGGACTCGTCCGAGTACAACCAAACACGGGCAAGACACCAATTTGCAAAACGTTTCTTAGAGGGATTAACTGCACGGACAAGTATTGCAAAAAGCGGCACGATATTCCAAAGGAATTCTCCGTTCCAGTATGTTCTTTTTTTCAACGTCATGGAAATTGTCTCAAGGGAGAGAGTTGTCCCTTTCGACACATCAAGGTCAACCCGAGGGCGATGGTGTGTCCAAGCTTTGCCGTTTTGGGGTTTTGCGATGATCCAGACTGCAACATGAAACATGAGCGCTCAAAGCCAAAGAAGTAGGACAAGTGACTGGTTTTTTTCCACAAATACTTTCGAAGGGAGTCAAGTTGATGGCAGCAGCTCATTTGAAAAGCGTATAGTCATTGTCGTTTTCCTGGTGCTCGGAAATACTACCAAGCTGTGACATGAATTTTGGTGGATCCCTACTCTTCCCACTCACAAGTGTTGGAATAGTCGAATCATCCTGACCGTCTGTTCCAACGATACCTGTCTTGAAATAGCCATCTTCTAATGACTTCTGAAGAGTCGATCGCAAGAAGCAATGTATTGCGGGGATTTGAAACGCAATCAAGGCTGCGCAAGCATACAATATGTTCCATTCGATGTTTTGATTTGCCTTATCCGCATCTGTCAAGATTTCATGACGAATAACCAGAAAGCAAAAGAAGCATACCAGCATTGCGAAAACTATGAACCCGACAGCTGTGGCGTGGTACTGCCATGTCATTTTCTGTTCAATCTCCTTGACAGGAATGGCAGACTGCAAATGCTCTCGGATCACCAAGAGTTCCAAACCTTTTGGTTCTGCAGAGAATTCTTTAAATCCAGCAAAGTCCTCTTTTGTAAGTTGTCGCTCAATAATGATAGACTCTGGATCTTCTATCCATACTTTGTCTTCTTCGGTGGTGCCATGCCATAGATATGACGAGGTTGTGTCTTTGGCTTCACCGTCAAGTCGATCGTCGAGACGATACATGTCAGTATCTTGAACTCGAAACTCTTTGTGAATCGTGACCTTATAATTTTCGTTGAGTGTCCTCCTGTACTCTACGGTAACGACGTATTCCCTTTGGTTATCAGCGTTGACTCTCCCAAAGGTACAACCAATCACTCTTCCTTCACAAAATTTACCCTCTGTTCGATATCTCTTGACAATATTGCGGTCCAAGTATGACATGTAGAGGACAATGGATCCGGCAAAGGAAACGAGAAGAGTGAACACGACGGTCAATATGATAATCATCAGTTGTTCATACCGTTGCAATGGGACTGTGTCGGTAGTGGTATTTCCGTCATCATTCCAATTTTCTTCGCCTACCACAGCGGATAGTTGAAACGAGTAGATGGCGCCAAGCAAGAATTTTTTTCGTGCATTGGTGCCGGTGGCCATGGTGGATTTTGTGTTGGAGGAGATGGATGGGCTGGGTGTGCACACGGCATGCCATTTCTGTGGAAAAGGTGGCCCAAATTTTCGTGTTTTGCGTGCGAGTTGGACTCTCTTCTTCGGTTGAACGAACGCAAAATTGTAGCAGGATGGCGATCACGCAAAATTGAACGGAGTAGAACATCGATGGCCGTGAACTGAGAAAAAAAATCTATTGTGTATTACGTATTAATATCTATGTCTAATTTTAAAAAAACTTTAGCCCTCAACAGAATCTAAATTATGATTCTTTGCCGAAGTAGTCTTTTCGTCAGAATACTTGATGAATCCAAATCGAGCATTCACATCCACCCAAGGGAACACATGGCCACCCATCCTCCGGAGGACAAAGAACCGATAGGTACGCAAAATGATCCGGCGGACCATGATACCCCAGTGCTGGCGGGTAGCATTGCCGAGCACGTTCCAACCATGCACCAACTTGACAGCGTTGCCTGATAGCCTGTCGATCGTCCACATCACAGGGGCCAAAGAGAGCACAATCCAGAGCCATCCCCATTACATAGCGAGCAAATTGCTCTCGTAGGGGTTGGGCGGCAGCAACGTTCAATAGACCATTCCCGTGAAGGTTGGAAGGACAAGGCAGAGTCGCCCACAGATCCAGAAAAATTGAATTACCGCGACACAAGTGGGTGAATTCAATCTCAGTCGATAAACTGGGCATCATTGCCTGGGCGCATCGACAACAACTTTTGACGGTCGAAGGCCGTTCGGCCTTTGTCCGTCTGTAACACAATGTAGTCAAAGAAATCGAACAGTGTGCCTGCGGTCTACGTTGGACTATCTAAGATAGCCTACTGCCGTCCTCCGTGTGTGTGTTCGTAGTATTTTGTCTTGGTGTGTAGCTGGTGGGTTGTGGTGTGAAGCGGGTCGAACTGATCGAGTAATAGACTCGATTCGTTCGACCAATCTCAGAAATCCCGTGTGCGGTATTACTGAGATCTGCTTTCCTACCAGGCACCGCCGATATGGTAAAATGGAGGCGGTGCCCAACAGGGCGGGTGAGGTTTGGGAGAGAAAAATTGAATTACCGCGACACAAGTGGGTGAATTCAATCTCAGTCGATAAACTGGGCATCATTGCCTGGGCGCATCGACAACAACTTTTGACGGTCGAAGGCCGTTCGGCCTTTGTCCGTCTGTAACACAATGTAGTCAAAGAAATCGAACAGTGTGCCTGCGGTCTACGTTGGACTATCTAAGATAGCCTACTGCCGTCCTCCGTGTGTGTGTTCGTAGTATTTTGTCTTGGTGTGTAGCTGGTGGGTTGTGGTGTGAAGCGGGTCGAACTGATCGAGTAATAGACTCGATTCGTTCGACCAATCTCAGAAATCCCGTGTGCGGTATTACTGAGATCTGCTTTCCTACCAGGCACCGCCGATATGGTAAAATGGAGGCGGTGCCCAACAGGGCGGGTGAGGTTTGGGAGAGAAAAATTGAATTACCGCGACACAAGTGGGTGAATTCAATCTCAGTCGATAAACTGGGCATCATTGCCTGGGCGCATCGACAACAACTTTTGACGGTCGAAGGCCGTTCGGCCTTTGTCCGTCTGCAACACAATGTAGTCAAAGAAATCGAACAGTGTGCCTGCGGTCTACGTTGGAATATCTATGTCTAATTTTAGAAAAACTTTAGCCCTCAACAGAATCTAAATTATGATTCTTTGCCGAAGTAGTCTTTTCGTCAGAATACTTGATGAATCCAAATCGAGCATTCACATCCACCCAAGGGAACACATGCCGATCTTTTGCGCAGTCGAATGATCCAATTGTATCGTCTCTGGGCGTCTTAATGAATGCTACCTCTTCATCTAATGGACTCCAGTGATGGGTTCGCTGAATGCTTGCCGGTCCAATATCGCATTTTTCCAACACCTTTCCGTTTCGATTCAGATGATATACTGGATGACCCACAGCGTCATGGGCATGAACCTGAGAATCGTGTAAGGGAGACCCTGATTGCTTTGTTAGCATACTAGACAGCATCTCAAGGGCCTCTGGTGTGGTGTGCGACTCGAGAACACCTCGCAAAGTGCAGGTCGGAACATGAGCTAGGTGCTGTGATTCTCTCCAGAAAGCACGACATCCATCATACAGGAATGACTGAGCACCGCCCATCATTTTGTGAAACTGAGCAGAATCCAGAGCACTGGTGATTGTTTCCAGAAAGGCAGACTGAAGCGAGCGACTGAAGTACCCTTGCTGGTACTTGAAGAATTCTTCGACCATTACAATCAAACGATGAACCTTTTTGTCTGATGCTGGTCCATGAACTGAACCATTTGATGCAGAGAATAAGAGCTGCCGACAAACCAACCCGTTTGAGTCCTTCACTTGTTCCTGTTGAAAAGGCGTTCCGGTGTATAGCAGTGTTTCAGCCATGAGTGAATTGGCACAGCCTTGCGAATATCCGAGCAAGCCATATGGAACCTTGTGTTCCTTTGCTGATTCGATCGCTACATCATCAGAATATGCTGTTAGTACACTTTTTAACGAGTCGAAATAAGCGACGAACGAATTGGAATGAACATACCTTCTATGATTCTTTGAGCATTGTATTCAAAGGACCGAGCTGTTGCAGTGTCAGCCCTAACTGTCTTGACACCTCGCAGTTTTTCGATTCGTTCAAAAGTCCCTTGTAGCTCTGTGCCTTCTCGACCATCTGTGATGACTCCCATTGCTGATACGATGGAGAAATTGTACTTGCCCTCTGGATTTGGAATGAGAAGACGAACAAGTGGGTCGGATCTCAACCGCTCTCGGTCCTTGGGATCGTATATGATTGCATCGATGATTGCATCGACGATAGCTTGCTCTCCGTACTTTTCTGGCTTCAAAAAGATATCGTCGTCTGACCAAAACTCGAATGGATACTCCACATTTTTCTCGACTGGGGTCTCCGTTGGCTTGGCTAGATAAGGCGCGAAACACTCCAAAGACTTTAGAGGATTCTTTGAAGCCGTGTTTTGATAAACCAATTCGACATCATTTCGTTTCGGAGCACCGTACTTCACCCCTCTTCGGATAGCATTTAACCTGAAGATATTACAATGTTAGTTGCTGTACAAAAATTGTTTTGTACCCTCAACAGAGACTTACCAGTGTCGAACGTTGTCAACATTTTCCGTAACATTATCAAACAAGGACTTGATCATCAACGCGTCATAGTTGCGTTGGTAGAAGCTGGCAAACCAGTCAGTGTGGAAAATCAACTTGTCGATGTCCCGCACGTGGGAACATGCTTCAAATGCCTCGTTGTACATGTTTATGACTTCCCGGTACGCCTTCCGAGCTTTTGTTTTTCGTTCATTTTTAATCAACTGATCCAAAATCTTGGATCCTTTGATATCTGCAGTCTTTATACTCTTCCTCGCAAGCTCGATTGCCTCCCTTAGCTTTGTAGACTGGTTTGGCTCCGCCTTTGGTTGTGGGATGGGATCAGCTTCAGTGTGATGTCGCACACGTTGAATATGGAACTTCAGCGCCATGTAACTTTCTGCGTCCTCCATTACGTCTTTGGCAAAGGAAAAAATAGCGTCGTAGTAACTCTGTCGAGCCCATCTACCTCCAGCCATGTAGTCCTCACGACGAGGTACCGATAGCTTCAACCAAGATTGAAGTAGCGCATGCATATCAAGTCGATGGATCGGACGAAATGAGTTTTGGTCAAATTCTAGCAACGCCATCAATGCAGATGCGAGCTGACGAGGCGATCCTTGGCCACCCGGAGAACCAATCTCGGCAAGTACCGCTACTGCAAAGCTGTTTGGCTGACTAGCTATCAGATCGAGCAGCATTCTTTGATTCAGCTGCACAACAGAAGAACCCTTCATCACGGACGTTAGACCTGCTTGGAGAAGAATTGCGACATCAGCAGGGCCAAGCAAGCAATCGCCAAGTTCATAGTGGCTAGATTCCCTTGGACTTGTATCGCCGCTGGCTACTGATTTCGTAGTTCGTCGTGCTTCGGCACCCAGAAGATTTGTCTGGGAGGCAACCCGTCCCGCTGGTGTCATTGCAGCGTTAAAAGTCTCTTCTGTCCAAGACGATGATAAGCTAGGTTCCTTTAAGCTCGCCCTTCTTTTCCGCAGTTGATGAAGTGTCGATGGGTTGTTCGAAAAGCTGACTCCGTATTTTGTTGTTGGCCTATCAGCCCCAATCCTCTTCGGGTCAACGACTCTCAAGTTGCCTCGTGTTGCCTCCCCTAGGAAAACAGACACCAGAAAGCTCTGCGGCAAAAACGACAGACCACCATAACTTTCAGCAATATCCATGACTTTCCGCTTAATAGAGTAAACGTAACGGATTCTCTTCAAATCTGCTGGTTGCCAGTCTTTTGGCGAACGGACCTTCAAGAAATACTCGATCTGATGGAAACTCAAATATGGAGATACTCGGCTCACCATCTTCGAGAACTGTGGGTCAAGTGGGACATGGGGTCGATCATGAATCTGTTCGTATAGTTTTGCAGCGGATGGAATGTCCCGAAACCGAGAGGAATAGTGCAGCTGTTCAGCGAGAGGTGTCACATTGTTTTCAACGTAATTTGGTGGTACTGTGAAAACTGTAAACATGGTTTCCAACCATCGCACCGCTCTGTCAATCTCCGGAGCCCAGTCATCATAATGGTCAAAATGAAGCCGCAGCATGTCCTTAAGGGTGACAACATCGAGGCCGTCTCCGGCCACAACCTGTCGAATGAGTGGAAGGAGAATGTCCACTTGACTCAAATCGTCACAGAGCAAAAGCGAGAACAACCGAGCCATCCTAGAAGCAGTTGGGGAGGTGTTAGCAATCGACATTGAAAGCTGCGGTATCGTCCATGGCTAGATTACATACCTGTGTCCTGGAATGATGTGTTTAGGATCTGAAATACCTTCTTGATCCAAAATATCTTTGGCCCTCCAAATTTGTGTAAAGCAATAACTCAAGAATTGATAACCATCATTGCTTACAAGTTTGATCACTTGCAACAACTTGTTCATGGAGCGCTTGTCATGAATGACGTCCAACAGCCTTTCCGTCGAACTTTGATCTGGAGAAACCGATACCAGCGCATTGAAAAACTTCCAATCGTACAGTCCTTCCTTGTCTTCTCTTGACGTAACGGCCTTGGTAATATGAATACCTCCAACAGGAGAAATTTGCATGTTCAGGCGCCCTTGACGTAGTGGTGCAATCAAAAGAGACACTTGCTCCTTTTTTTCATGGACAACAGACTCTGGGAAGAAACCAACATCAGTTACTTGAAGGATTGGTGACAACCCTTGGAAATCCCAACTCAATTCACACTCTGTTTGTCCTTCCAACGCCATGTCAATCACACTTTTCGCAACTCTCACTTTGAAGCTTGTTTCGGTAGGAATGATGACACGTCGGTGCCCGAGGGATGTGGTGGATTCCTTGATGCGTACCGACAGGTTGGATCCCGAGCAGTCAATTTCATACGCTTCCAGAGGATTGAAAATGTTTGGTCCTGTAGAGGTGGTCGCGGTCGTACTGAGCATTTGAGGCCGCAAGTGACAGTGGATGTTTCCACCCAACTTGCCAGAAGTAAAGGCTTTCAGCTTGGTTCCGTCGAAAATGTCCAACTCGGGGAACTCCTTCACACTTGTTTCGCTGTTCAGAATAATAGACGAGAATCCAATATCCGCAACCACTTTGATCCCATCGGCAACTAATGCCTCCTGGGTGATCTTCATGGGTGAATCAATGGACATGCCAATATCCGAATTACTATCATCGTTTTCGTAACGCTCGTCGTCTTGTTTGATTCCTCCCAACATGCGCACCATGATTCGTCCTCCCTGCATACCTGGAAGTGATTTGGTTTGACCATCATTGGTGTATGAGTGTGATTCTGGTGGAATGAAGGAGTTCCCGATGCCAAACGTGAAATCAATCGCTGGAAGGTGACGAAGAATGTTACGTTTCTGTTTTCGTTCCAATGGGTCCAAAACCGCCTTTTCCCGTGCCGAAACCGATCCGTGGGCGTACAGAGATTCCAAAATAGTCGTCACCATACTTCCACCATTTAACATTGGATGGTTGGCTCCCACTGAAAATGTAATGGCATCCAGTTTGGAATCTTCCGAAACATCAAAGGCGTAGTCATAGTGGACGATTCGTCCATCCCGTTGAAGGAAATCCATCTCTTCGGGAAAGAAAAGAATCGAAGCGACTGAGGGGCTCTCGGTAGAATTGACCAAGGCGGCCCGATGCACCGCTTTTGCGTCCATCTTGGACGAGACATGATGATTCTTCTTCCACACTGCAAAACTTCCGCGAGTATGAAATTGACTCTTGGTGGGAAAGATTGCTTCCTTATCTTCATGTAGAAAGGAGCAGTCCAGCAAGTGAAAGGTCATTTTGTCTTGACCAAACTTTCCCTTGGCCGCCAGCTCCAGCTTCCATGGCACCAATGAATTGGCATCAAACAGTTTGGTGGATCCCTGATGGATGGACTGTGGCCGAAACTCCGTTCGAGTCCCATCATTGGTCGTCCAAGAAGACATGGAGGCACCACCCGAGCTCGCGGGGAAAATTTGACCAGAATTTTCACCATTCTCGCCATCTTCCTCCAAATCGAGAGGCGACTCCAATCCCATGTCTCGAGTACGTCCTGCTAATGGATCCCTTCCATGCATCAATTCCATTCCTAGAGATACTCCTCCTGGCAACGTCAAATCGATTCCCACGGCTGGTGGTGTCGCCACAATCTCCACTTTGGAATTCCAACTATCAATGGTATCCAAGACCGCCATGGCAATTTGATTTTCGGCAATATTTTCTCTTCGTAACTTGGCCGAGGCCAATGGTTGTTTGGACAACAAATATTCCAAGAGCGCATGTGGTTGTGGAATGATAAAGGACGGCAAGACCACGTTGATGAATGGAATGGGTATGACTCCAAACAACAACACGTGCCCCGAAAAGGCCAAACTCAATCGCCATTCCGGCGACTCGTCTTTGGATTTGCCTTTATAAAGTGGAGTCACCTTGATTTTACCCAAGTGAATCCGGATAAAGCCTTCCAGTACCCACAATAGTTTCTCAATGGACGACGAAATGGCCACCACCCAATCCACTAAGAATCGCACCAACGGTATCCGTCTCATGTAGGGCAACATAGATTGATCTTCAAAGAGGGATGGAAAATGAATCAAGGTGGGAGCCACATTCAACAATGGAACCGCCGGATAAATGGCAATTTCGGCATGTTTGACCATGGGCCTTGATCGATTGCTGGTCGGAATGTTGACATCCAAATCTTCCACGGCCGAACAGCAGTCGCTGCCAATTTGTGCCGTGACACTGAACAAGCACCCCTCTTCTTGCGGTGCGTTGAAAATGAGTTGGGGCCGTGTGGCATTCTTGTCGAGCGGTATTTCGTGTTTGCCTGGTTTCATTTGCACCCGTGCCTGTGCATGAATCCCGTGGATCAAATCGGCCGTCAAATGATGCAAGAGGACTTCGGTTTGGGAGGATGAGAGCAAGGGTGCAAAGGAATCGGGCAAATCAAAACTGTGTTTGGTCGAATTGGCATTGGTATTGGTATTGGTATTGGTACCAGTAGTAGTGCTAGCAGTGCTGGTCTTTTCGTCTCCTCCTCGTTTGTTGGATTTTGGAGAGAACGAAAAGGAAGCTGCTTTTCTATGCTCTTTGGAGGGCGTCGAATGGGCCGTGGTAGTGTCTCCGTTGACCGAAAAGGCGCCGCCCGCGGTGGAAGACGAAAAGACGGTGCGATGCGTCTTGATTTCTGGATTGGCAGTGGCAGTGGTAGTAGTTGTCGTAGCAGTAGTAGTATTAAGACTCGTTGCCGCCGCAGTTGCAGTCGTAGCTTCCCCAAAGAGATTCTCTGGCATTGTTTCCGAGCCCACACTAAAGGAAGACCGTAAAAAAGAAGAGGTTCGATGATGAAAATGTCCATGATGGTTGGTATTGGAGTGATCGTGTTCCGTATTACTTTGCTCCGCATTGGAAGAAGAGGCAATATTATCATCGGGCTTGAACAAGATGGACAAGGCGGGCCGTCTTGGTAATTTCTTCTTTTGGACGGGCGGTGGCCTCGAAAAGGGTTTGAATTGAAAGAAAAACCACAACACCAACAAGATGGCCAGAGCTGTCGTGACCATTGTATATTCCGAGGAGCCTTCCTCGACGTAGCTGGAAAGAGAAGAAGGTAGCAATTTGGTCAAGTGTCCAGCTGTGAGAATCTTCCATGGGAGAATCTTCACCGTAGCAGTAGTCGCAATGGGTGGAAGAGGAGGAATCTTATTCGTGGCCGACGGGGTTGGATGATCCATGTTTGAGGAATACATTTTTTTCTCGTTAATCAGAGATTTCACCATGGCACATCCTATGGCTTGATCGATAGGGAGAAGACCGGTGTGGGTGTCTTTGTTTGATGGATGGGGATGGCAATGAAATGACGAACACACAGAGAGAGCGAGAAAGAACAATCGCACGTGGATGTTGAATGCATACGAGTAGATTGGGAAACGACGAGCGACAACAATCAATCAATCGGCGATTTTTTTAAAACACTGTGTTCACTGTCCGTTGAGAATGCGAATGTCCGTAAACAGATCGGTGCGCCGAGCAAAGATTTCTTTCGTACGCCAAAATGTACGCGACAGAAAGTACCAAAAGGATCCATGGGTCAGTAAAAAGCGAGGAGGATCTACTGACAGACGACCATGGCCGCAGTTTTGGAGAGACCGAAGAGGAGAGGGAGCCAACCTTTTAGTGACCAATAAAAGAGAGCCAATAGTGAAAGTCAAGTTGGATTCTTCTTCTACAGTACCGTTTGGATTGACACACACACACACACACACACACACACACAAACACATATCATCCGATCTTCTCAGGCACTTTTAGGGAGTCAAACAAAAACAAAAACAAAACAAAATAGAAACAATGCCACCCCGAGTTCGAGTTGCGGTTTGGCCAGAGGATGCGCCCTCCCGGTTTGATGAGAATATCATATCCATATCTGCTGGAAACTCCAACTTGAACTGGGCATTGCATACTGGAATCGACTCTGGTTTTGTTCCTGTACTCTTTTGGAGGTACGTTGTGTTTCGTTGTGTCTAATCATTGTCATTTGTGTAATTGCAATTGAAGATTGGCATATCTCGCATATCTTCGTTGGGTATACTGTACTTTATTTGTGATATTTGGCATTGCATTGGATTGGAACCAGAACCACACTCACTCACTCACTCACTCACTCATTTTGGCTTTGTTTTATTGGATTTATTATCATATTATTCAACCAAACAGAACACCTCCCGTCCTACGAGATGAACAACATACCGATGACGCTTGCACTGTCCTCGCCAGACATTTGCCCCGACAGGTCCATTCCATTATTTTTGGAACCGAAACCGCCGATCATCACAAGGACATTGCGTCCCAAGTGGCCGCCAGAAGAAAATCTCCAGCCTTGAGTGTCTACATTGTGTCCACCAATATGGAACACGAAAATGGAATTCATTTTCTCTTCAAGGACGTTCCCTCACGGGTGGTACGATTGCAATCCTTTCATTTCTTTTCCAAGGAGGAAGGTGCCTACGAAACCATTGGAGTTGATCGGGTTTCCACGCTCTTTTCCTGCAAGACTACCTATCCCAAACGTCACGTCTTGTGTTTCGATGCCGGAACTGCCTGGACTTATACTGCCGTCAACAACAAGGGAGAGATTGTTGGTGGTGGCATTGCTCCGGGAGTCGGTGCACGATTTCGGTGTCTGGCGGATTATTGCGACGGATTGCCCGAAATTGATCACACCCATTACCACAAGGCCCTCAAGGAAAAGATGGAAACCAACACGCCGTTTCCGATCTTTGCTCAAAATACCTTTGAGGCTTTGATGACCTCCACCTTTACCGAAATTGCCAACCAGACTCGTTACCTGGTCAAACACTTTTTGGAAAAGGTCAAGGACGATGGAATCACAGACCAGAAACCAGTGGTAGTGGTTGCTGGTGGTGATGCTGCCTTTCTCATTAAAGTTCTCCAAAAGGACTTTTCGGGAATCATTCGAGCCGAACCAGGAGCTTCCATGCCTATTGGAGAATTTGATGTGGAAGAGGCCAAACATTTGGTGCACTATGGAGTCGGACAACTCTTGTGCCAAAAGGTGCCGCCAGAAGCGGACAATCCGGAGGACATACTTCGGGAGGTCCTCAAAGGAAATCGTATTGCAAGACGATTCCCATACATGAACTACGATGGAACTGATGTTTTTCGTGGGTCCATCATGTCCATCAAGAGCGGTGCCAGGTTGGAAGACGATTTGTTCTTTGTGCGATACGATGATGGAGATGCGGAACACGTTGAGTTTGCGGAGATTTATGGTAAGTGTTGGGTGTGGGTGGGTGTGTTATGGAAGAAGAGAATAATCAAAGTGATTGGTGTTCTTCTTGTTATCTATCTTTTCTATGCGATTACTAACACATCTTTGCTGTTTCCCTTTCGCCTTTTTTCTCCAATACAATTCAATGCAATACAATTCAATACTAGACGCTCTTCAATTGTACCTCGAAGTAGGCGAAATTAAAAGTGGCGAAAAACTCAAATTGGATCAAGTCAACAAATCCATTGTCCAAATGGAAGCCAAGAGCAGTAAACTCAAGGAGGACGCCCCCAAGCGACAAGAGAAGCGCGAGGAAGAATTGGCCCAACACAAGGCTACCGATGATAATAAGAAGCAAGCTCAATCGGGCGGCAAACGTGGCCGAAAGTCCAAGGATGGTCCCCAAAAGAAGAAAGCCAAGGGGGGCAAGGAAACCGGAGACAAACGCACCATGTACATCAACAAACGTGTGGCCAAGGCCTTTGAAGGTCCCGGTGGAGAAGCCGCCATTTACTTTGGTACGATTGATAAAGTCACTCAGCCAAAGGAACCCTTTTATTGGCATGTCATTTATGACGATGAGGATGAAGAAGAATTTGATGAGAAGGATATTTTGTCAGCCTTGAGATTGTATCAAGTTCATCGCAACGATGATACCGAATACGAAGGCCCGAATGCCTCTGTGGTGGATGGCTTGTCGCGAGGAGAGCCCACAGCGGAAGCCTCTGGAGCTCCACCTGCTGCTGCAGCAGCAGCAGCTGCTGTGACGACGACGACAACAACTGCCGAAGCACCACCTGCAGCCGGTAACGGTGCAAACTAAAAGAGAGCGTGCCGTAATGATATGGCTTTGGGGATGACTAGATGTGATACTGTTGGTTGGGCGACTGTGCTAATGTGATGTTTACGTTTCGAATATCTAGTACCTATAGTCCTAGTTCTAGCTAGTAGTAGTATTTTATTGGTATGGTATCCTGTAGAGTATAATAGTATTTCAACTCGGATCGGTTGCATAACCAGTTGGAAAAATGCTTCATACTGTAGCACCCCCATACTCACTCGTGTACATTCCATCCACTTTTTTTGGTTTACCCAAACAATCCTCCCTTTTTCTTCTTTTTCTTGATTCTTCGCATTCCATGGTTTTGAATGTTTCTTGGTGGTGGGCGTTTCTTGTTGTTGTTGGCAGCACCAGCAGCACCAGCTATGGGAGAAGATGCCATGCTGGAAGCTGCCACTTTGCTGTTGTCATTGTTGCCGTTATCGCTTTCGTCGTCATTGGTTTGCCGGAACCATACATCAAGAGCTTGATCCAATTGGACATCGACCATATTCCTTTCTCTTGCTGCTGGACGAGGAGTCGCATTGATTGGGCTTCCAAAGACGCTGTTTTGACTGCTCATCATTGGTTGATTATTCTGATGAGATTGACTGATACTGATACTGCCACCACCAAAGGGACTTCCTAATGAACCTTGACTATTGCTTTGAGAAGTGGTTCGGGTGGTTGGTGGAATTTCCTCTTCCTCTGGACCACTCGAACGCATGATTTCTCGCAGGTAAAGGGGTTCCATGGCCAGTTCATTGTATGGACTAGATGCTTGCTCTTCCAACTCCAGTGTCAAGACCCCCTTGTCATTCAGCTCTTCGTAGTAAAGCTCCAACTGCAGAGTCGTCTTTTTCGTTTTCTCGGTATCGTTGTTGTCGAACGTATTGCTAGAATCTTTCAATTGAATGTGAAAGTCCTTGGCCTTCTTTGCATTCATATCACCGCCCTTGCTGCTGTTCTTCTTTTGCTGCTCGCCTACTAGAGCAGGTCTCATAAACTTGGCCATGTTTTGCGGTTGCTCCGGTAGATCAATGTCCATGCTCTCGACATGTTTTTCGAGGCAGTGAAGCCTCATGGGTTTGCTCTTGTAATACATGCCATAATTATTCTTGCATGTTGTTATGGTTTTTGCTGTTGTTGTTGTTGTGGAGTCATCATTGCCATTACCACTTTTAGAATGATGCAAGACAAAACAACCCCACGTGACCTGGACTTGTTTCTTGTGAGTAGGTTGGTCGTCGTCGTCGTCGTTATTGTTCTTGCAAATAAATTCAAACTTGGCATCGAGGTAGAGCAAATGTTGTCGTTGGCGAACTTGTTGGTTGCCAGTAGTAGTACCAGTAGTAGTTGTAGTAGTAGTTGTTGTTGTAGAGGAACAATAACAAGGCCACTTGGAAGCATTCATCATGTCGGCTGGATCCTCCAGGAACAAATCACTACGCCAATACAGGGGATGCTCCTTCGTTTTGCCACTGTCACCATGAAGTTGTTGGTTCAACACTTGAAGGACCGTCTTGGATCCCACCAATTCCTTGGCTCTATATGAAAGAAAAGAAGAAGAAGAAGAAGAAAGGAAAAAAACAGATTCGGGTTTATGAGAAAGAAAAGAGAGTCAATAAGTGATAAATTGGAAATTTGCCCTCCTATTCGTCAACGGATGCAGCTTAACAATGAGAGCTCGTCCAAGTCACAAGAAACAACGACAGCATCACATGGAGACCATCATCAAACAAACAAACTCACAGGTGAAGAGCAAAGCGATCCATAAAAGTAGGCGTTTTTCCCTGTTTTTTGTCTTTGTTTGAGGAGGATGACATTGTCGATAGATCCTTCTTTTTCCAATCCTAGATGTTAGAAACGATCAAAAGAGAGTAAGCACTGACAGTATAGAGGCTTGTCACAGAAACACTCAGATTGGAAGCATAGACGCGAGATAAAGATATATGGACGAAAAATAAGCGCCCTATTATTTTTTATATTTGGGTGTTGTTGTCGTTTCTTGTTTCTCCATTCTCCGTTAGACTAAATCATCCTACGGCGAAAACGCGTAGAAATCATTTTTGGCAGACGACAACACACAATAATTTTGCCGCCAGCTTCCCCCATTTGCCACAGCAAAGTCGCATGTACCGGTACGGTTGCCATCAACATTCTCAAGACAGCATTGGGCATTGTACGACAGAGACTCCTCTTCAACATAAGAAGGCATTGATTGAAGTCTACTAGAAGAAACAAGAGAATCGAAGGAAGGTGCTGTATCAAATCCAACGAGAATCCAAAAAGGCCATCCAAAACCAAAGCTGCTCCGAACCCCCAAAAGATTCCTTTCCATCCCAACAAGCCGTACTTTACTACGAAAAGGCAAGCACAGGATCTCAGCATGAATCATTCTATATCACAAGAATGGAATGGCAGTATTGGGGAGACATCTGCCGGTAGAGCAGGATACAGCAATGGTACCAACAACGACGCCAGTGCCATGGCACCTTCCAATAATTCCCACCGTCCAAAACAGCCAACCACCGACTTTGAAGGAACCATTGAAAGGCTTCTATCGCAAGTCGAACCACGGGATTCACAATTATTCAAGCCCAATGAATTGCAAAGTCTCACGCAGTTGTGCGCCATTCAGTCCAATATGCAAGAATCCAAGCATTTTTCCATCAACAATGATTTGGGCTTTTCCGATGTTCAAGTCGATGCCACCACTCAATTGGTTTCCATATTAGAAGATCATGTCAAGGCAGCCACGGCGACCAATGTCATTCAACAAACATATCAAGCTTCCATGTCCATCAAGAATGCTACCCAGGCTGCCAAAGCCAATGGGGACAATACCAATGCTGCCAGGCTTGCTGCCAATGGAGGCATTATCAGTATCGATCAGGTGCGTTACGTTATGTATACATATCTATATATATATATGTATATACATATGTGTGTGTGTCTGTGGATTGCTTTGTCGTCTTGGTGCTTTCCGCTTGCTTTTGTGGCTCACCTGTTCTATCACATTCCTTTTCATGATACATACATTCATACATACATACATTCATACATACACTACTACATATTACACAGTGGATCCAATATCAAGGAAAGGAATCCGTCGCCATACTCCAACAGGGCCTCGAGGCAGCCTCCATTTTGCTATTCATCATGGCCAGTCCAGGAATGGATCGACGAGTCGTCAGTGAAGATGCCATTGCGTCTACCATTTCTTTACTCCGACATCACTTGAGCAAGAATATTTTGCCGGCCATTAATCAAGTGGGACATTTGGTGGCGGCCATGGACGCCAATTCTGCCAATTCCAAGAAATCGACGACGACGACGACGACGACGACGACGAGTCCGAATCCCAAAAAGCGGCGGCGGTCCAGTGGAGCCCACAATGCTGCAGCCGCGACAAGTGGTGGTGGTGCCGGAGCCAAAGATATGAAAAAAGTGTATCCCTGGATCTTGAGAACGGCCAGTGCTACCATCTTGCTGCTGGAAAATTTGGATTCCCTCGTACAAAAGATTCCATTGGACGACCAAGAATTGCTCCTGATTACCTCGGGGTCCATGATGACTCTGGAATTGGATCCCTTGGTCCATCAAACCCAATTGGTACATCAACTTCATGTGGTCACTAATAATCTTGTCACGAGCATCTTTCGACGGTATCCACAGTTGCGGCATGTCATTTTGGAAGACTTGTTTCCGTTGATGCCCAAAATGCCCTCCTCCAAGCGATCCATGCGGACGTATTCAATTCAACAACAGGCCTCCAGCATCTTGTATCCATCAGGGTTGGTGCAATTGTCACAAAGTATGGCACCGTCCAATACAGAACCACTCTACATTCAAACCATTTCAGTTCTCATCATGTCCTTGGTGCAGTCGGCCGTCCGACGGCCGTCGAAAAAGTCCGCGGAGGAAAGCAGTGGTGGTGACAAGAACAATGCTACTGCCAATGCTAATGCAAATGCTAATGCTGACGATGACGAGGAGGATGCTTCCAAGACCAATCCACTGCAATCAGGGTTGCGACATTGTCAAGCCATTAGTGACTTTTTTGTCCAACACTTGATGCAACGATGCGCCAAAAAGGGAGAAGATGGCGGAGCCTCAGAATTTAGACCCATTCTGGCCAATCTCATTGACGACTTGTTGTTGGTGGTCTTGATTCCAGAGTATCCGGCAGCGGAAATGATTTTGCTCAGTGTGGCCAATCGCATCAGCAACGATTTGTTGCAGGTGGCATCCTCGTCCAAATCGTCCATGAGTTCGGAAACGACCTATCTCAATACCATCTTTGATGCCTTTGGCAAGATTTGTGCCGCCGAAGCCAAGGTCCTCAAGTTTGCTAGGGAACGACCCGTGCACATGCGTCATCCGATTCGCAATGAAGGGGACAAGCATGTGGCCTTTTACTTTGCGGACAATTCCTTTTCCAAAGACAAGCTCATGATCAATTGCAGTCGATGTCATACCTGGTACCACGGGAGCTGCGTCGGATTGTCCCGGGACAATATGCCGGATCAATGGATTTGCGATGCCTGTCAACTGGCGCGGATTGGGGAATTGGAAAAGGATCGTAACACCAACCTGGGGGATATGGGGTGCTCGATCTCACTAATGGACGAAACCTATTGCATGCAACGTTTGTTGATTGACTACTTGTCCATTATTGCGCGCAAGAACGGGGAACGAGGGATTCAAGATGCCTATGGCTTTCAACTGGCCCGATGGATTGTGGAATTGAATGGTCGGAATGGTAGTAAGAACTCACCCTCCAAGAGATCTCGGAATGGAAATGTACAGTACATTGTCGACTATGAGAACGAAAGTGAACCGAATTTGGAACCACTGCTAGTGCGATTGCTTGAATTGTGGGATCCCAGCGAATCTTCGAAGCTCAATCCAGCAGCGGGTACCAAATCACTGAGTGGGATGCTCCATTGTATCTCTGATGAGGGACGAAGTCGGATGATGGTCCACCTCATATGCAACCAGTCCATGTTGCTCATGTCCTTCCGGCGACAAATCGATTTGATTGTCAAACTCATGGCAAATGAAAACTCGGCGTTGCTGCGCAAGTTGTCGCTCAAGGCGATTGAGCGGGTACGTCTTGGCTATATATTATACTACATGGATTAAGTGTTCTTGCTTTGTTGTTTGAATAAAGCCTAACATCTCCACTTCGCTTCACTGAACTTCACTTTCTTCACAGGTAACAGACTCGGACCAACAATTGATGATATACTCCTTTATGAAAAAGGCCGTGACACTTCGTTTTTCGGATGATTCCATTTCAGTTCGCGAAGCTGCAGTCTCACTGGTGGGGTCCTACGTTGTGCACTCTCCGGAGGTTGCCACCTCGTTCCACGCTGCATTCATGATGGGGTTGAGCGATTCTGGTTTGAGTGTTCGGAAGCGAACCATCAAGATTTTGGAGACTATCCTCTGTTCCAATCCAAAGTACAAGGGACGAGCTGAAGCTTGTAGCGTAATGTTACGATTGGCGGCAGATCCGAAGGAAGACGACGGAGTTCGAGATCTGATTCATGCCGTGTTCCTCAAGGTCTGGTTGGACAAGGGAGACGAATCAATGCCAGTGTTCAATCCTACGAGCCCCATAACACCGGAAGCGCAATCACCGATTCCGGCCGCCTATACAGGCCGGGGATCCTTCGTCGAGGGATTAGAAGAACGACCTGTTGGTCACAATGGTCTGTCCACTCCGAATGCTGCTTCGAAAGGGGACCTTTTGTCGCCACTTCCAACCAGAGAGACTCGATCCACCGAACGGAGAACGAAGAAACGACGACTTCAGATTCGATCCGAAATTGCTGCTGAGCAGATGGTAGAGGTTGTCAAAGCAGCAGATACAGGGGAGCACTTGACAAGCTTATTCAGGGAACTACTACATGCCTCAGCCGACGCGGATACAGAACGAAAGTCATCGCAAAAACGAAAACAGCTCAGTATCGCTCAAGAGCATTGTTCGATGCTGGTGGACGCTCTTCTTGAAATTCTTCTTTCTTTTGAAGAGAACCGAGAGAGTGTTACTCAGCCTGGGAAGGAATTGGTTGCTATAATGCGGTTGATCAAAGTCTTCACAGATGTGTGGCCTTACGCTCTGGTGAAGCACCTGGACACACTGCTTCCATACATGAAGGCTGATAATGGCGTTGGTATGCAAGACGAAGCTGTTGTTGTCAGCTCATTGGCAGACATCATATCGCAAGTTTCCAGTATTTTGCAGCAGGAGGACATTGAGCACCTTGAGAGTACGTCTCTCGCTTCAGACCTCGGAAACGTCACATACAAATTGGGTCGAATTGGGTTGACATCAGCAACTCGCACTCTTTGTGTTCTGGCTCACCACAAGTACGCTGGCGAGGAAAGCAAATTTCGCAAAAAGATGCTTTCAATAGCCAATGTTTTCTACGGCGTTCTACAAAAGCACAAGGACGTGAACGATTTCTCTCAGCACGGAAGAAAAGCCAGGGCAAATATCCAACGAGCACTCAGCGTGCTTGGGTCGGTATGTCGATACCACGAAGTAGCACTCAAAGATGACGAAATGGATGTGGACAACGCGGAAGATGAGAACGACGAGAGTGAAACTCAGGTGGCGGCAAAACCATTGACCTGGGAGAACACAACGATACAATGCCGAAAACTGTTTGAAGTGTACATGAAGAAAGATCACGTGCAAACCAAGTGTGTTGCTCTTCGAGCAATGTGTGGCATCTTCATGGCCCATCCAAGGGAGCTTTTCCGCATGAATCAAGAAGGTCTCATAGGAGAGGTAATGTCGGAGGCTTCGCCAGCAAGTATTCAGTTGGAGGCACTCCGATGCTGGCGGGAGATTTTGCTTGTAAGTGTCTCTCCCTTTTGCTGTCTTGCATTTGAGATTCGAGGTATCCCGATGTCTCATATTTTTTTGATTGTAGGCCGAGGAGTCTCGAATTGATAGTGGTGAAGCAAAGGCGAAGATGGATTCAAAGACGAGCATTACCGTTTCCAATAAGATTTCCGGAGATCAAGACGCGGACGCCACCTTGTTTGGAGGCGTTTTGACCAGCCATGCTTCGCGCCTCTTTCAGATGACACAGTCGAAAGACAGAACCCTTCGCTTTGCAGCACTTGATCTAGTCGGTCATCTCTTGCGCCAGGGACAAGTCAACCCGATGGAGACTGTTCCATTTTTGCTTGCCTTGCAAGGGGATGTAGAGGAAGATGGTATTCGCTCACTTGCTTTGAAACTGCTCATGACCGAAGGAGAGAAGCGTACGGATATGTTGCGACAACGTGTCTGTGCTGGAGTAAAGCAGGCGTATCTCTTTCAGAAGTCTGCATATCCAGACTTGGAAGAAGTATCAGCTCTAGTGCGAGTCAATCGGCACGGTACTCGCATGACGGAATGCGTCTTTTCACGAGTCTTCGAAGAATGCATCCGTAGCATCAAGAAGCAGCGACATGGTTTGTTCCGCAATCTCCTTACTCTTTTTGATATCAAAAGCCGAATGGATTCCGAAGAAATGACTCCTAGGAAGAAGAAGAAAAAGGAGTCTGAAGAGACGACCAATGAAGACACTTCATTTTTGAAAGACCTTCCAATGCTTTGCTTTACTTCACAGGTTCTGGCACATTTGCCTTACTCTGTGGCATCGGATCCGTTGTACATCATCCATGTAATCACTGCCAGTTTGGCACTAAGAGCACCTGATCTATTGGATCGCTTGGCTAGCTTTCTTCGTCCTTACGGCTTATCGAGCAGCGATGTCATGGACGAGACCAATGCGGAAGCAGATGTTCTTGAAAAAGCTGCTAAAGAGAAGAGCCCGAGCCAGGCTATTGAAGTGACCAAGCTCTTGAAATCGAACTTTGACCAGGAGACATTCACCGAACTCTGCGCCGAAGCTGGTGCCTTGTCATTGATGCTTCGTCTGAAGGCATTCTTGCGCAAAGCTTACAACTTGAGCGAGGCGCGATGCATTGCCTACAGCCCCGATGAGAAAGATCGAGTGGCAGAGCGTGCCATTACCAAAGCATCGACCATGCAATTTCAGTCTAGTTTGCCCATGCTCGCGCACCAAAACGATGAAGAGTTGGACAACATGATCTTTCAGTATGCCGAATTCCGTCAGCTCATGCGAGCTGAGACTAGCATGGAAACCAAGCTTGAGTTGGAGGACGACTCTGATGGAGACGATATTGCTGTTACTGCTGTCACTGCTGTCACTGCTGCTACTGCTGCTACTGCTGTTACTGCTGTCACAACAGGAGAAAGCAACGGTAGCAAGAGAAAGCGAAACTCCGTATCATAGAGGAATGTAAGCTAAGACTACTTTTGGGAAGGTTGGGCCCCTTTGAGAATATTTTGTTTAGCCATTTTCAGTTTCATTACAGTTTAGATGTGGCTGTCTCGAGTCCTGACGTATTCCGTTTGCTCCATCCTAATTTCGTCAATGGGTGCGTGACCTTGTAGGAATGGCCATGGATGGTAACATGTCCCGCTGATGACGCTTGAAACTCCTTTTGCAGCTCTCTGACTGAAGGCAATGGTGTTAACTTTGTTTCAACATTCTTCGGTGGCAGTGGCGGAAGCACACACTGTAGCTGCCGCAAGACGTAGTTTCCAATGCCTAAGGATGCTGTCAATCCAGTGGACCGTATTCCTGCCACGGCAATCCATTGATGAGCAGGATCCAAGTGTATTTGATAATCTCGTTGATTGGTTCCAGGTCGGATGCCGACATATTCTCCCACACAAGCAGATTCTGGATCTAGTTCCGGAATAATGCGGCTAGCGATGGCATCTAATTGCTTCGCAACCTTTTGATCAATCCTTCGGTCCGTTCGTGAATCTTGATCCAATGCTGTGGGCCCCACAACCAATTGATGATACATTGTACTAAACACAAAGATTCCCTTCGTGAATTGCGATGGGACAGGTTGAATAGGATGCATGATCCGCGTTCGTGAGTAGGGTGCGGTATTGTAAACACGATACTGTCCGCGTCGTGGTTTGGCAGTCCAACTTCCTTGGAACTCTCCGCCCTTCTTGTTTCCATTGCTATTCTTGGCTCCAAACTGCCTTTGCAAGAGGTCGGCAAAGATTCCTGCTGCATTCACGACGACCTTTCCTTGAACCAACTTGGGAGCAGAGTTGTTCTCTTGTGGTTTGTTGTTCTCCTGTGGTTTGCTCATCTGAAAATTCCCGTTGACCATTGTCCAAACACCGTTTCGAAATGAGGATTGTAATGGGTCGACATGAAAGTTGTTGATGATTTTGGCTCCATTTTCTCTGGCGTGAACCGCCAAAGAAATGGAATACAACCAAGGATCCACGACGATTTCTCCAGGAATGTGACAACCGCTTTGCACAAAGGACGACAAGTTTGGTTCCATTCCAAGTATTTGCCCTTGTGTCAGCAGAGATGCGTGAGTATCTCCTGCATCATGAGATTCTGCTAAGACAGTCTTCAAGGCAGGATGATGATCACCGTCATGTTTGTTGTAACCACTCGTTTCTTCGTGAACCTTATCCCAAGGCCAAAGACAGACCAACGATCCACAAGGCCGCGTTGGAATATTGTGCTCTTCACAGTATATTCGAAACTGTGAATTAGCATCTCGAATTAAAGCTCGCTCTAAAGTTCCTGGCGTGGCGTCCACGCCGGTACAAGCAATCCCCGAGTTGCTACCGGAAGCTTGCGACAGCAAATCGGCTTGTGCTTCCACGAGACAACATTTGTATCCTTGCAACGTAGCAGCGCGTAGAATGGCACACCCCACAACTCCACCACCAATGATAATTAGATCGTACATGCTTCCCAGTTATATCTACGGTGAGGATGAACGAGTAGTTGGGAGGAGAAAGCAACTTAATGGAACAATGCAATATATAATAGGATGATGATTTTTTATGATCCGAGGTTCATTGGCATTTCGGTGAGTTTCGTTTCCCTCTAAAATATGTCGGGGAGTTTCATATTTCCGCCCCCAAATCTCAATCAGAGGAAGCATGCGGTGCTCTTGTTTGGGGATAACAAGACTGCTAATAGCAGTCAGTAAAAGCCACGAAAGGAGGATGGGAATTGTTTGAACACAGTAATGTGGTAGCTATTACAAAAATAATAACCCAGATTAGTAGATCCATCGAAACCCCTATAACTGAAAGCCCATAGTATCCCCATTTTGAAAAATATATATTTACACTTTTCGTGCCTTTTCAATTTGCGCCAAGACTGCTTGTTTGGTCACTTTCGACTCGTCTTTGACGTGATGTTTGAGCAAATCTCGGAGCACGCTGTGTGAGACCTCTTCTTCCGTGAATTTGGCAGTGGATCCCGGATCATTGCTGTACATGTTTTTTTGGGACTCCCGTACGCATGCTTCAATCTTTTTGCGGAAGGCTACCGGATCCTTGGTGGCCAGTTCCTTCGCCGCGTCATTTGCTTTGGCATCCACAAAGGACTTGGTATAGAAAATCTTCTTTAGATAGGTCAAGACTGTCACCAGATAATGCCGTGTTGGATCCCATTTCGGGTAAGCGTTCTTAATGTCCAGGATTCCTGTCGTTTCATCCACATACGGACTGAATACATAAGCAGAAAAGGTAAGGACCGGATGTTGATTCTCGGCATTGTATTTGGGCGGAAGCTTCAGTTGAAACTTGAAAATCCCATTGCTGTAAGGTCCACGACGGATAAAGATGACCCCATAAAATTGTCGCAAATTGTCCATTCCTGGGATCAAAAAGACACCACCAGGAGCATGAGACTTCAAATGTTTATACTCAATGGTGACCTTGTAGTCGCGAAGTGCTTGCTCTCTTTCTTCCTATTAGTTGAAAGAGGAAACCAAAGTCGATTGTGAGGCAAAGGGGCGAAAAGACAACACTGTGAGCCATTCAATCATATATTTGAATTGGACAGCAACGCCACCCATTCGAAGGGAAAATTCAACGATTCAACCAACCACTGAAATTGAATTGGTTGTGTCCATTTGTTACAAACACAAACACAAACACGCATACACATTCAAGATCTTGTGTCTTGAACTGTTGTCTGACAGACATTGGTGGTTGGAACATTCTAAAAACATTGCATGGTCCGTTCGTATAAAAAGAAATACTACACTTCAGTCACTCACTTCAGAGGCCATGGGGGAAACGGGAAGGAGGGATGGGGATGTCGCCGCCATTCTTTAATGTTTGTTGTGCAAACAGAGACTTCACGTTGATGTGATTTGTGTTTGTTGTCTTTTCTTGTGCCATTCACATCGGCATTGTTGCAGTCTTGTATCGTACGTTTACGTGGCAGTCGAAAGAGTCAACACTCTCGAAATTAGGACTATCCTAGGTCGTTTCGATCAATCGCGTCATTTTTTACACGCATGAGTTTCTGTCTAGTCGACATTCTAAGCAGTTTTTGGAGCGAAGTGAAGTGTGAGTGGCCACCCCCTTAAGTAAAAAGATTGTTCGATATTTATGGACATCGGAAAGATTACGATTACTACAAAGATACAATACTCGCGGGAGGGATGAACACCAGGTAATTGTTGAACCCATTTTCAGGAAAGATGAGAGTAACAACTACCCTTCTTTCTTTGTGCCTCCTAATTGGACCCACTCCCTCGCAAGCACAAGACCACCGAGATCTAGGAGGGAATGGCGGAGGATTTGGATCTAAGCTATTGAACTATTTTTCTAGTGGTGGAAGTCGCCGAGATAGCTTTCCGGAGGAAGATTTGGTAAGCATCACTTGCGATGCCGAATTTGCCTGCAGTTGCAATGGTGGAGATTCTACTTTTGTTTGCCGAGAAAAAACATGCAACGATGGAACAACTCGCATGAAGGCAAAGTGCGTAAACGTTGCTCGAGCAAGGCCCAATGATGTTTGTGGTTGCTGCGGCGAAGAGTGTCCCAACCGAAACAAGTGGAACACTTTTGACCGGTGGGAGAAGGACTTTTACAGCGAGGACGATTCGGACGAGGACGAGCAATCGGAGAACTTTGAAGATAATCCCGATCCAACTTCCAGTCCTACTGTCGAACCTAGTCCACAGCCCACGGTCGCTCCTGTTGTGGCTCCGACTGATGCTCCTGTTCCAGATCCGACTGATGCTCCTGTTCCAGATCCAACGGAACAGCCTTCTAAGCAGGCGTCTGGCAATCCAACCACTGCTCCGTCCCGACCACCCACTAAAGCTCCATCGCCAGCACCAACGGTCGCTGGTTCAGAAGCACCAACCGACCCACCAGTCCCAAGACCAATTGATCCAAGTCCAAGTACTTCAACCTCTACCCTTGAGGTGACCCAGGATGATTCCGACGAACCCTTGCCACCAGGTGCCATAACGGTCACGGAATACCTAGGAACCTCCGTCACCTTTACCGTTACTCAAAAGTGGAAGACGTCGGATAGCATCAGTTGGATTGCTCTCGCTTACGATCAAGCTGCGGGCGATATGTTTTGCAATGAAGACGATAAACGGACCACGGTAGACTACAATGAGGTCAACACCTATACTGCACAATGCGATGACAATACTGCGACGATTGATCTTTTCGTCCACGATGGTAGCTTTTCCGGATCTCAAGCCAACATTCGAGGTTGCAATGGCTGGGGAAATCCGGATAAGATTGCCTATTACTCCATCACCTTGTCTTGTGATGGGTCTAGCGTAGCAGCCACCACCGCTACCGCGACTTTAAATGAAAATGGACTTGAATTTCCGCTGGGCGTAGAGGAACAACTTCCAACGAGCTCACCCACAATCAGAGGGGCAGCCTTTGGAGGCACCTCTGTCACTGCCGAGCAGCAAGCAGGAGTGGATGAGGAAATCAAAATGAGGAGAATCTACTTGGGAGCGGGTGCCGGTCTCGTCGTCCTTATATTGTTGGCTGTCGCAGTCAAGATGTGTTGCTTTCGCAAGCCAAGAAAGTCGGTACGATAGATCCTGCTTTGAGGCAGGGTAGGTGCTAGATGATGACAGTTACTGATGAGCTTTTTTGTGGAGTGACGTGACATCAGCATTTTCACATTTCATATGTTTCATAATAAAATAGTACTGTATTTTAAATCCTATCAACTCTGTTCTAAAAGCCTGTTGGCTGCGGGTCTTGTCCAGTGCAGATGGAGCTGCGTCAATGAGAAAGATTCATTCTGCGATACAATGGAACCAGCAGGGGGATCAAAATATTGGTATGTTTGATCCCCCTTTTCAAACATTCCCCCTTTGAAGACATCATGCGAACATCAATCTTCTTTACCATGTTGAAACCATTCTTCTCCCCACCATCGAAGGCAAAGAGCATAGAATACATCTTTTCCCGACGCTCCAACACTCTCCGTGGACTCGTCTATTCGCCTCTGTTCTTCAATTCAGCTACATTATGTTTCCTTCTTCGGTAATGCGTCATTCCTCCAGGTTGATGATGACACCTCCTTGTTCTTTGCAATCATCACCAAGGATTGTAAAATCCGTCGTTCCGTCAACGACTTCAAGGTCCTTGTCCACAGCAACGGATGATTCAAACACGAGCCTAGCCTTCACTGATCGAGTGGAAACTACGATTGATAATGATGGAATTGCTCGAGTTGTCCTCAATCGACCAGATAAACTAAATGCCTGTGATCTCGCCATGTTTGAAGCGGTGGCCGAGACGGCATCCAAACTACGAGAAGATCGAAGTCTGAGAGCGGTTCTAGTTAGTGGAAAAGGACGAGCATTTTGTACGGGATTAGACGTGGTAAGTCTGGTCTACTTTTTTCCTTGAACAAACAAAATGATTGCTTCATTGTCAGCACTAGCAAGTTGTGTGAATAAATCACAATCATCCTCGTTCTGATCGTGAATTGGAACTCATAATTGCCTTTCGCCTATGCACATCTATACAGAAGTCGGTCGCCAAGAGTCCTCGGCAAACGATTCGACGACTTCTAGAGCGACCGTCGGGGTATGGTGTGGAAGGAAATGAAATTGGTAATTTGGCCCAAGATGTCAGTTATCTTTGGCGTGAGTTGCCAGTGCCAGTGATTGCTGTTCTCCATGGCATGTGTTTCGGAGCTGGTTTGCAAATTGCCTTGGGTGCCGATATGCGATATTCCACTCCCGATTGTCAATTGAGTATCATGGAAGGAAAATGGGGCCTGATACCCGACATGGGAGCATCGATAACTCTTCGAGAATTGGTCCGAAAGGATGTTGCAAAAGAGCTCACAATGACGGGGAGGATTGTAACTGGAGACGAAGCAGCAAAACTTGGACTGGTCACTTCAATCCACGAGGATCCCATGGAGTACGCTGTGCAGATGGCACAGAATCTTGTTCAAAGGTCACCAGATGCGGTCGCCTCTGCCAAAAAAATGTATGATTCTAGCTGGAACGCATCCGAAGAAGAGTGCCTAAAGTTGGAAACGGAGTTGCAAGAGAAGCTGATGATATCATTCAATCAAATGGCAGCTTCGGGTCGTGCTTTTGGAGTCGACGTTCCGTATTGGAAGCGAAAATAGTAGAAGAACTGAGTGCCAGATGCTGCATGTTTCAGACTTTGCCTTATTTATAGATTAATGTCGATAGGTGGTGAAAGGGGATAGCTACTAACACAGTAATGTAGATCTCGAGTCTATCAACGACTTTACATTACTACCACCAGTACATTTTGAATAAAAGGAGACTTATGATGTACTTTTTAGTCGAGAAAATGCTCCCAAAATTCCGACAAATCTTTGGAAGTTCAAACCAAAGAAGAAAAAATTCACAAAACTCCCCAACTCTCCCATCCTCATCAACAATGGCATGCTGGGAATGTCACTTGCATGTTTCAGAAAGAGCATTTAAAGTATGAGTGACGAGAATAAAAGACTACTGCCCTCTACGATGGCTTCGACCCACGCGCTAGAGCTCCTGCAATCGAGACCAACCGGTGTTCTGATGGGAGGAGGACCCTTCTTTACGGATCGGAAAATGGTGGAGAAGGCAGAAATCCATGGAGTAATCTTTCCTTGGATGAGTGCTTACAAGATTTGGTGGTGGATAACGGCAATTGGAGCCATCTTTACGGTCTTCTTTGCACCGTTTGAGATTGGGTTTCAGGAAGAACCTGGTACCTTTTCGGATTTTGAAGGTTATTCGGAGATCATCTCGACAGGTATCTTTGTAATTGATATCTTTGTCAATTTTAATCTAGCATTCTACAAGCATGGGAAGATTATCTTCGAACGCGGGAAGATATTCTCGAATTACCTCAACCGCATGTTCTGGGTTGATCTGATTGGTGTGTTCCCGTTCGAAACAATCGTACTGTTGTTGACAGGTCATCTGGGAGATAAAGGAAAAGTTGCTCTTCTAGCTTCACTGTTACGTATGTTACGATTTGTGAGGTTACATCGGATGCAGAAGCTTTCGGACATGCTTCAGTTTGATCCAAGAGTATCGCTCCTGTGGTTCACTCTAATTCGAAACTTTGTGGCGGTATTTGCGTTGACACACATTGAAGCTTGTTTCATGTATTTCTTGGCTCGCTATCACGACTTTGGAGCTGATACATGGCTTGGACCTCTTGTGGAAGAAACGACGGGGACTTCGAGATACATTGTGTCGCTCTATTGGGTAAGGCTGTTGTTTGTGCGACAAGGTTATCGATTATTGCTCATGCCAGAAACTCATCATTGTTACCTTACCTTTCATCGCAGTCCATTGTCACCTTTTGTACTGTGGGATATGGCGATTTTGCCCCCGCCAACCCAATGGAACAGATTTGGGGGAGTGTGTTCATGCTCATCAATGTTGTTGTCGCAGCTTGGATAATTGGTTCGATAACCTTGCTCATTGTCAAGGGAGATGAACGCACTGGAGAATACAGAGACAGTTTGCAGACACTCCAACAATATGGCGAGATGAACGATTTCGACGACGCATTCATGAGAAAGCTAAAAGCACAATTACGGTTGGACTTCAACAATCGGGAAATCTCGGACGAGCAAGTTCTCGGCAACTTTCCTGGTGCGGTCCGCCGAAAGATTCTTAGAAAGTTGTACATGCAACCTCTTGTCAAAACCCATTTGATGGCAGGAGTCCGTCAACAATTTGTCGATGCCTTTCTCGCTTCCTGCAAAGTGGAAATCTTTAATCCTGGAGAAGAGATTGTTGAACGGGGTGCTATATTGTCCGATTTGTTTCTGTTGGTGGGCGGTGTTGCTGAGATTGTCACTTTTGAAGGGACGACGACGCTCGGGCCCAAACGAGATAGCTTTTGCGAAGAGGACTTTGATGCGGACGAGCACCTCCGGCGACAAAAACTCGAATCTGGTGACTTTATCGGTGATATTGGATTCTTTACCGAATCGCCACAGGTGGACTCGGTTGCCTGCCTAACGGTTTGCAAAACCCTGACCATGACACAGGCATCCTATAAGCTACTTGCCCAAGATCATCCCAGTTCCGTGGGCAAGATCTTACAGAATCTTCTGATCAAAGTGCGTGAAATGCAAGTGGCCTTGCCCAAGGGGTTAGAGGTTCTCCGTGCTGGTTCAAGTTTTGATCTGGACTCATCTAGAACGTATAATTCCTTTGATCTGGAAAGTAATAAGTCGAGAGATGAACTTCAACAGCGCAAAGACAGTTTGACAGCTGTCGCTGATCTTGTCAAGATGCACATGGCCAAGCAGCTGGACGACCAGACTACTCGGCTATTGTTCGCTGCATCACGAGGTGACACACGAACCATTTCATTAATGTGTAGCCAAGGATTCGATGCTGACAATGCAGACTATGACGACAGGACAGCATTGATGGTAGCAGCCATGAAAGGAAACACGGACGTGGTTCGCTTGCTTTTGGAGTACAATGCCAACCCTAACTTGGTAGACATGCACGGATCGACAGCACTTCTGGAAGCTGTCAAGAATGGAAATGATGTCACAATGAAAGTCCTTGCGGAAAGAGGAGCTGAATTGTGCATGTCCGAAAAGCTAGCGGCATCGGTATTGTGTCAGGCTGTCTATGATGGTGACATCTCCCTGCTGAAGCGCTTGTTGGAAGCCGGAATCCAAGTCAATGCCGCTGATTATGACAAGCGTACAGCAGCCCATATTGCTGCTGCCGAAGGAAATGCTGCCGCTTTGAGAGTGTTGTCCCAGAATGGGGCCAGTCTAGAGTTGAAAGATCGCTGGGAGCATACGGCAATGTACGAGGCAAAGAAATCCAATCAAACATCATTTCTTAAGGAAATCTCCAAACTGTCCTCACCATGATCCGATGGCAAGCTGGCTGGCTAAAACCTTTTTTAGCCGACTGGATGATTCATTTTTCATATCATTGAGAGATTAGTATATACTGTATATATTTGCATACTACTGGAACTTTTGAATGTTACTCTGCCTGTACTTTAGTCTCTTTAAATCCTGAATGAATCACCCGCCTTCCAAATCACCCGCGCCGGGTTTTGTGGCCAAAAGTCGTGGCAGCACCATCGAAAACTTGAAACGTTGAGACAATATTGAAAACACAACAAACCAACCTTGTTCCGCCGTACTCATCAAGCCGCGCGACACAGAAACAGGCGAAAGAAAGCAATAGGAAACCAGCAAAGTGAGAGCTGCTGGCATAACAAAGCGAATTCATCATGGCGACCATTTGTCCCGATTGCGGATCCAAAAATATTGACAAACAAGATGCTTCGGGTCAATTGGTGTGCACCGACTGCGGTACCTTGCTCGAAGAGAATGCTTTGTGCAGTGCGTTGGAGTTTGTGGAAGGCGCGGGTGGAGCCTCCAGCATGGTGGGTCAATTTGTGTCCAATTCGTCGTCCAAAGCCTACACGGCAGGACGCAACGTGTACGCTATTTCCCGAGACAGTCGGGAGACGACTCTGGCGCGAGGTCGTCAAAAGATTCAAGATGTGGCGTCTCGATTGCGATTGGGAAATCATTTCATTGATGCGGCGCATCGATACTTTACCATTGCTGTTGAAAAGGCCTTTGTACAAGGACGACAGACACTCCATGTGGTGGCTTCGTGTCTATACATTGCCTGTCGGCAAGAAAAATCCCAGCACATGTTGATTGATTTTAGTGATGCTCTGCAAGTGAATGTATATACATTGGGCACTTGTTTCTTGAAGTTTCGACGGTTGTTGGGCCTCAAGATTCCCATTCTGGATCCGGCACTTTATGTGTACCGTTTTGCGGCCCATTTGGATTTGGACGACAAGGCCAATGCGGTGGCACTGACGGCACTCCGACTTGTGGGACGAATGAAGCGCGATTGGATTGTGGTGGGCCGAAGACCTGCAGGTATTTGTGCTGCCGCATTGCTCATTGCGGCCCGAGCTCACGGATTCTCGAGACACTACCAAGATGTGACACACATTTTAAAGGTCTGTGGTTTGACGGTGAATACTCGCGTCAAGGAGTTTGAATTGACACCCTCGGCTGGATTGACACTGGACCAATTCAACAAGGTGGAATTATCCACGGAAGCGGATCCTCCTGTTTACACTCGCAACAAGATGCGAGAGGCAAGAGCCAAGGCGATTCATGAAAATAATGTCAAACTACTGGAAAGTGGTGCCTTGGATGATAAACTCAAGGGGAAACGAGCATCCAAGTGGCGAGAGGTTCTGCCACAAGGAAAGAAATTTCAAGAAAAGCAAGAGGAATTTGAAAAACTCTATCATTCCATTGAACAGGTCATGGTGGAACAAGGTCAACAGGAGAAACCAAAAGAAACTTTTGAATTTGACACTGAAGATGATGATGACGACGACGACGATGATGATGATGAGGAAGAAGGAGAAGGAGAGAACGACAAGGAGGGTGCGGCAAAGGAAGTTGGTGAATCAGAAAATGATGGCGAGCAACAAGATGATGCGCAAAAAGAATTGGCCGATGGGGAAGACGGTCCAGCACCCCAGAACGAGCTTGCCGCTTCGGAAGGCGACAATGCGGCTGCTTCAAGTATTGTTGCCAAACTGCCACCAAGTGACGGAGAGAAAGGGGATGGCGATGACAATGAGAAAGACGACCCGATGCTCAAAAAGCCACCTGCCAAGACCGACGAATCATCTTCTACGGCACTGGTGCCAGCAATCGCCGCGCCCAAAGTCCAACAGCAACTAGCCAAAGTTGCACCGCAATGGCGCCAAGCGTATCCCAAGGATAAGTACGGAAATGCCATGATGTTACCCAATTATGCCACTGCCGAAGAATTGCAACCTTCCACTTGTTTTGTCGAAGGCAACCTTGATACTGTGACCTGGAGAGAATCCATGCCCCAAGACATGGTGGAAGATGTGGAATCCATCTTTCGGAATCCTCGAGAAATTGCCGAAAAGGAAGCCATTTTCAACAAGATCAACAAGGATTACATTAATTTGCAAAATCAAAAGCGCAAACACAAGGTTACCCAAAACCAAAAAGACAACCAAAGCGACAAAGATATGGAAGAACAAGAACAGAAGGCCCGCAAGTACATGACTCGAAAACGCCGCCGAGCCTTGCACGGAGAAGAGACTACCGAAGATGCCTTGCTCGAGGCGGTGGCCAATCGCAAGATTTCCCGCAAGATTAACTACGATGCCATGAGTGCCATTTTTGACGACGATGGTACCTTTGATGTGGGTGGTGGTAATGCTACTACCAATGCTAATGAGCTCGAAGCAGGCCACAATGAGGCCGTAATGGCAATGATTTGAGTACTGGTAGTCAGGTACATAATATATGGTGAATGGGGGGAGGGGGTCAATGTATGATAGATGTGTTAATTTTTCTATCAGCTTCTCTTTCTATTATAGTACTCTAAACAATCATGTTTGCTGTTGTAGGACTATTAGTCCCATTTGGCATTGAACATGCATTCATTCAATTAATTCAAGTCATGATCGCTCTGCTTAAGCGGAACAGGCTAGTGATTCGTGAGGTTGCGGCGACAAATCTACTGGAATAGTCTCTCCACTCGCCCTCAAGGCCTCCAATGCCAAGGCAGCCGCCTCTGACATTGGCGGCGTCCGCAACTGTACCAAATGTCTGGTTTCAAGATCTTCGGTTCCCATGACGGCCGCCAGCATTTCTTGGGCATGATGGGACCTTCCGCTGGGTCGTTCCGCTGCCAATATGGTAGCCATTTTGGCATAGGCCAATCGTCGATAGGCATAGGCTTCTCCCTTTTTCCATAGAAATAGGTCCGAGGGTTTGGTGGAGGCTCCCTCCACTTGTTCCAACCAATCCGCAATGGTCAATTCGACAAAGTCCAACCATTCTTCCTTGTTGAGTGTCAATGCAAAGCGACCTAATTCAGGTCTCGATCGCAATGTAAATTGGACATTGTCCTCCAGTGGTTTGTCCCAATCCATAACGGTCTGATCCAAGGTAGATCGATCGACCATGCAAAACCAAAAGCACAATCGTTCAGCTTCTTTGCCAATCAGTTGTTGAATGGCTTGACGTTCGGCCAATGGCAAACTAAATCCTTGAAATCCTTCCGTTCCATAAATGGAATGAAAGAGGCCAGCATTGGCCAAATGGTCGGGAGCACCCCAGTATCGCAAGACGGCTTGGACGCCCTTTAAATGATGATCAAAGGCTTCCGTGCCAGTGTGATCCAAGACGGCAGGAACCTGTTGTTCGACATACTTCCAAAGATTGCGATCGTCTTGTTCCCATTTTTGTTTGAGGTTGGTAGGCGTGCGAGCATTGGGAGCCTTGAATTGGGAACAAGCAGGAGTGGCCGTGTCGTCGACAATGGAGGAGGATGAGGAGGAAGGGGTGTTTCGCGTAGCTGTTTTAGTTGCAGAAGACGAGGAAGGGGATGAGGAGGCAGCAGACTGTTCCAACACCAACAATCCTGTACAGAGGAGTAGAAGGTAGTGCAAATTCATGATTGTCGTGGCCCTAATTCCGAATCAATGAAAGAAGGCGTTTGTGTTATCCTTGTTGGTCGATGTGCGTTGTGGTGGTTGATATATTCGCATTCACTCATTCATTCATTCGTGTTAGTGAGTCATTCAGTCCATTGAGTCGTCCTGATGGGTCTCATAACCCATTGGTTCACTCCACCCGACAACCTTTTCGTCAAAGCAAGTTTCAAGAAAACTTTCTTCCAACATATATATCTTTATACCGTCGTCACGGTCAGTCTCCAGCAAGAAAGAGGATGGCAACGGTACAAGTGAATGCTCCAACGGCCATGGAGCAGTTTGAAGATTCTGCACCAGCAGCCGAAGAAAATGAAGAAATGTATTATAATGATTATGATGACGACGAAGAGGATGATGATTTTGAGGATGACGACAACGACTTTGGTGGACACGACTTTGGAGCAGGTGGCGGTGGAGGTGGTGGAGGAGGTGGAAATTCCTCGGCGGCAGCGGCAGAAAAGAAAATGAACTTTTCCCATTCAGTGTCCAACTCGGTCAGTAAAATGCAAAATTTGGAAATCAAGAAACGAACCTTGCACACCTCGAGGGACGATCGAGCGACTACGGAACAATGTTTGGATCCTCGGACACGTCTCATGTTGTTCAAAATGATCAGCAATGGAATGTTGGATGAAATTGATGGTTGTCTATCGACGGGGAAAGAAGCCAATGTCTATTATGCCAAGGCAGGACGCAAGGCGCCCAGTACCACTGTCACAGAATTTGCGATTAAGATTTACAAGACGAGTATCCTTGTGTTCAAGGATCGGGACAAGTATGTGTCGGGAGAACATAGATGGAGACGAGGTTACTGTAAGTTTGATTGATGATTCATACACGTACATGTACCACACATCGGAAGGAATATCATGTGTACTCACAATCATGCTTCTCCTCACCGATGTTCGTTATAGGCAAATCCAATCCTCGCAAGATGGTCAAAGTCTGGGCCGAAAAAGAAATGCGCAACTACCGCCGCATCCACCAGGCTGGTATCCCCTGCCCGGAACCCATTTTTCTAAAGACTCACATCTTGCTCATGGAGTTTTTGGGCGTCAATGGTTGGCCGTCCCCTCGTTTGAAGGATGCCGGATTGAGTGAGAAACACATGCGGGAAGCCTACGTCCAAACCATTTTGATTTTGAGGCACATGTACCAACGGTGCAAATTGGTTCACGGAGATTTTAGTGAATACAACTTGTTGTGGCACAACAGTCGAGTCTATGTGATTGATGTCAGTCAATCCGTAGAGACGGACCATCCTGCAGCCTTGGATTTTCTGCGAAAGGATGCCTCCAATGTCAATGATTACTTTCAAAAAGTGGGAAAGCTCGATGTCATGACGACACGTCAATTGTTTGAATTTATTACCACTGTGATTGACGAAGATGTGAACAATCAAGACGCGGAAATGGAATTTTTGGAAAAAATCATGAAAGAGGTGGGTGATTCCCTCAAGGATAGATCCAATCAATCGGAACAAGATCAACGCAAACAGGATCAACAAGAGGCAGTCGACGAAGCTGTCTTTATGAGTAGTTTTCTTCCAAGAAGTCTGAATCAAGTTGCGGATTACGACATTAAGCAATTGCAAAGTGGAAAGGTGGAAGAGTCCTATGCCCATGCCGTTGCGGCGCTAACTGGAAACAAGGATGTGGTGGATGCTTACAAGGCGTATAAGCAAGGAGAAGGTTTGGTGACTCCGTCGCCCGAAGGTGGCAAGGCTGATGATGGTGAGAGTGATGATGACGACAGTGATGACGAAGATGGTAGCGAAGATTCGGAAGACGAAGACGACGAAGGTGGATTCATAAAGGTTCCAAGAACCCAGGAGGAACTAGAGTCCGAAAAGGCAGAGCTAAAGGCATCACGAAAAGCCAACAAAAAGGCAGTTAAGGAAGCAAAGACCGAAAAACGGAAAACGAAGATAAAGAAAAAAGACAAGAAGCGTGCCATCAACAAGGCCAAGGCTGGGAACCGCAAGCATAGATAAAGTCTATACGAAAACACAGTATGTTAACACGCAAACAAACTTGTCTGTCTATTAAGACTGTAAAACTGGTTGTAACGCAAACAAGGGCACAGCGTAGATGTCGTCGGGAAAGTCGTCTTGCATTTTGTGTTGTACCACCTTTAGTCCAGATTTGAAGATAAGGTCAAGCCAATAGGGAATGGATCGTGTGGAACTGGCATCGTCAACGTCCAACACAAATGCTGGATCCGCACAAGTGTTTTCCTTCATGACAATGATTCCGCCATCCACCAAACTCTCACCACATCTTCGAAGGAACTTTACAATGTCGTCATCCGTAAGGTAACATAGAACCCATTGGATCCAAACAATGCTGTACCGTTTCTTTGGCGGCTCCCATTCTTGCAAGTCAGTTGCAAAGAAACGACATTTGGAGGCGTCAGTGCCAATGTATTCCGGTGCGGCAAATAAGAGGCGTTCGGAGGATTCTACCAGATCCGATCGCTCGCAAAAATCCAGGAGCAATCCTTTTGTCACTCGACCTATTCCAGCTCCGCACTCACACGCCACAGAATGACCTTCCGTCTTGGGTAATGTGATTTCCTTTAAAAACTCACGTGAACCATCTAAAGTGGAAAATATTGTTATGAGAATAGTCCGAGACAACACAAGTCATCATACAGCAGACGTACTGAGATCAATGTCCGAAATCCATCCAATGCCTCCAAGCACCCCTTCGATTGTGGCAGCACAATTGTCTTCGTAATATTCCTTTGCCCGTTTGTACCAAGTGGACAGATCCTGGGTTCGCCACATGTCTTCGACAGAAGCATACTTTTGGCTGAGTGTGTCGGATCCACAAGTTTCTTCAGCTGCTTTCTCGTCTGTTTCCAGGCAGTAGTCGATGCAGTGGCTGTAATTTGGACTTTGTGGAGTCAGAATGGGACACTTTCCAGCGCAAAAGGCAGGGTCAACTTCTGCTTCCTTTTCTGATTCGATGATTGAATCAGGAAAGTGCTGGGTCTCCAAACAAACACCACTCCACGCTTTATAGTCGGTCTTGCATATTGAGGCATTCTCGCTACTACTTAGACAATTCGCCGTATATAATTGAATACCAGGTGCAGTGGAATCTGTTGGTGTAGGTTCGACCAATGTCAGCAAACTGATCTTGCATTCGACGAAATGTAAATGATACGTATGGGTACTCACAAACAGTTAGTTTTCGATCCTGATAGGACAGCTCTGCAACTTTTGGGATGGAAGTGCCTGGTTGCTTTCGAACAACATAGTTGTGATCAAATCCATAGGGTCCAATGGAAGGCGTTCGAGTATTCAAATCATTTTCAGCTGCATCTGCTGATAAATCCATCTGTTCCACTCCATATTGATGCAAGGCTTGTCGAACGTTTCGTTCTTTTCTCCAGTCCATGACCGGATCGTCGTCCAACGATTGTATCTTGCGCGTCGGAATGGCAGTTTGATCCACAGGAGTATAAGAGTCTGCGTGCAAGCGCAGTGTGTGATCCAAGATGCCCTTCGAACTGTCTCCGCCATGGGACGAATGGCCCGACAAGTTAAAGTAGGAATGTTGGGCCAAGTTGATGGGAGACGGCTTATCACCAATCAATCGTGCCTCCATTTCCAATCGCAGCACTACTCCCGACGAAGATAGAGATGGGCGTAAGGAATACGTAGCCGTAACATGTACTTTTCCAGGGAATCCTTGATCTCCATCCTCACTCGTCAAGGAAAATTGCACTCCTTGGCCACCACAAACTGAGACAATATCGCCATTCCAAACTCTGTGTGAAAATCCTCCCGAAACACCCCCTCCATGCAAATGATTGGGCGGATCATTAATTTCCAATTCATGCATGGCACCATTTAGACTCAATTTCCCCTTGGCAATGCGATTGGCCACCCTCCCGACGATTGACGAAAAGTACACCGGATTCTTGGTTTGATGCATATTACTGGCGTCCTTGTAGCCCAAAACAATATCAAAGCTATCATTGTGCCTCCATGACTGAATCGAGGCTCCCTACATTGATGTCATCGATAATTTACAATGTTGTTTAGAGTTTTCAGTTGGTTGATCATACTAGTCAGGTAGACATGCAGGACTCCACACGCAATGTCGATTTTAAAAGAAGCTCAATCTTACCAATGAACACAATAACACTTTGCTTTCTCTCATGGAAAGAGAAAATAGCCGAAGGCTATCATTCGAACTATCAATAGCTTGACTTGCAAGCTCTGTTGCCGTTCCGCAATCCATCATCTTCGCTTGTGGTGGTTTTCGTTTTGCAATTTTGATTTTGATTTTGTGGCATTCGTCTGTTTTCGATCGTTTGTTCGAATGAATCAATCGAAAAGGTCCTTCCATTCAATCCTTGCTCCCACACACATATGTAAAATTTCAGAACACGTCTTCGTAACCGGTACCACCGGTACCGGTACCCTTGTTCGGAGTTGTCATTTTTCCAGGTGTAATTCAATCGCCGCCACGCGAATCTACCGCAGGAAAGCATTAAAACTCACAATTCTGTGTGACATTTTAGTAGAAAATGGATCGCGTTGAGGCGATAGGACATAAGGCAGTAATGTCCACTCTGTAGTGAGGGGTCTTCAGTAGGAAATGTTTGTAAGAAGAGCCATCACAACTACAGAGCCAGAAAGCATTTCGGCCAAAATCTTGCTCAAAATGACCTGTCTCGTCTCAAAATGTCACCCCGAACCCGAGTGGCAGTAAGAAGATGAAGTACGACTGGTACTTCGTAAATTCAATTTGGCATCATTTATCGAGTGCCGCGAAAAGCGCTTTACTTTAAGTCCTAAGTATCAGAATATCGTTAAGTATATACCTGAAAAAGAACAGTCCACTTTCAATTGCGATAAATTATGAGAAGCAAACAGAACCTTTGTATAAAATGTACTGACACTTCTGTAGAAATGACGTTTCCGCAAAGAACACGTGCAAAAAGGTAGCGAGTCATCCCGTGATGAAGGCAAAATTGTTTCGTCTTGCGAGCGTTTGGTCGTTTGCTGCACTCCCTCTTGTCTCACAAACCCAAATCGAAGCCATTTCTAATCGTGAAGTATCGTTGTCCAACAAACAGACAACAACTATCAAGTTTAATAGACAAAACACACGCAACAACAAGCACCCCAACTACCCCCGTTAGTAGTAGGAAGACGAAACGAAGAAGACTAGTAAAGAAGAATACTTTTGACAATCCCCAATCCACATCAATCATGTCCTCCCCTCAAGACAATACCATGCAAGCAGACGCTGCCAATGCTCTCGCTACCTTGCAGAAAGCCAACGAGGCTCCCAAGGATAACTTTATCATCCCTCAACGATTCACTAAGAGCGGAAGAAAGAAGGCTATTCCATTTCCATTGAAGGTATGTAGTATTGGGTGCCTGGTCTTGGTTGACTGGTTCGATTGCTGAAATGTTCTTGATCACTTACCAATGTTTGTTGCTTGATTTGTTCCACGTTTCTGAATAAACTGTAGTTGATGAAGGTTCTCTCCAACAAGGAATTTGAAAACATTATCACATGGATGCCAAGCGGAAGGTCCTTTTCTATTGTGGACTCCAAAGCATTCGTTGCTGATATTCTCCCAGAGCACTTCAAGTCTGCCAAGTATGCTTCCTTCACACGTAAGCTTCATCGATGGGGCTTCATGCGTCACTACCGTGGAGAGGAAGCAGGTGCTTTTTACCACAACATGTTCCGAAAGGACCGTCTTGATATGGTTGAGCAAATGACTTGCCACAAGGAGCAACTTGCCTCGCAAGGAGCCAGCAATATCCCCAAGGTTGCTCAAGTTGCTCCGCGCCCTGTGATGCAACAACAGCAGCAACAACCACAACAGCAACAGCAACCGATGGTTCCTGCTCAGCTCGGAGATGAAATGATGGCCAAATTGCGCACGCAATTGAGTATTTCCGGCCTTCAAGCTCCTCCTCAAGTTGGTGCTGCTCAAAGATTGAACGCAGCGATTGAACTTGAGGTCCACCGCCGTATCCAGGAACACATTAAAGCCGCAGCCGTGTCGCGGCAAACATTTGCATTGGTCAACCAACTCCAACAGCAACAACAACAACACCAAGTTCCCCAAGCTCCTCTTGCCTATGGCTTGCAAGCTCATTTGCTCCAACAACAACAACTTGCCATGATGAACAAGGGCATGCACAAACCTGTTGGCCTTGGCGACCGTTCTGCTCCTTCGGAAGTTTCCATGGGATTGGGACAGTTGCCATCGGTTAATGTTCCATCTGCCAGAACTGCCTAAGGCGATTTTTGCTTGGGGCTGGGACAACCAAAATTGACACTGATATAGAAAATACTTGTGCACTCGAAAAAAGAATGTGATACGATACCGATACAACGATACCGAAATGATATATAAGATAATATTATAATAATTAAGAATAACAATGAATTGAAAAATGATCAATCTATAGTGGCATTGTGAAATCTAAAAAAGCTGTATGTAATACTGCCATGTTTTATACTGCAACAGCTTGTGTATTTCCATTCCATGCAACAGCTTGTGTATTTCCATTCCATGCAACAGCTTGTGTATTCCCGTTGCATGCTTGCCTGTTTCCCTTGCTTGGCTTCTTCGCCAGCTTCTTCCTTGCTTCTCTACTTCCATTTATCTTTGACTTCACCGTTCGAAAGCAATGGGATACTTTTTTCTTGATTTCGTCTTCTTCCACCTCAACCCAGAGTTTTTGATCCTTTTTGTCTCGTCTGAGGAATCGGACGCCTCGAGACCGTAGAGTTTCAATCAACTCACAGATCAATTTGCTTTTTCCTGTTTTTGTTAGTGTGCTGTGATGGTCCAATCGCATCTCGACTGCTGTGCGAAGCATCACATTTCCGGGATGATAATGGTTCCCAGAGCCGCGTCCAAAGACAATGTCATCGTTTTTCGGAACTGTTGAAGCTTTCGCTATCGAGTGGTCCGATGAATCTTGTGGGTTTCCTCCATAGCAGTTTTGGGCCCAACTTCCCGTTTCCTGATTGGCGACGTCTGCATAACAAAGCATTCCACCAATGTCATCGTCTGCTGTCGGAGCTACTGAAGTTGTCGCTATCGAGTGGTCCGATGTATCTTGTGGGTTTCCTCCACAGGTTTGGTCCCAATTTCCTGTTTCCCAATTAGCGACGTCTGCATAACAAATCATTCCATAACGTGAGGTTTATGATTGATATCACAGTAGAATGAAGATTCTTGTTGTTCTTCCTTCTTTTGCTCGCACTCATCAACCGCAATAGAGTTGCTTACCTTTTGCAGCAGCCGTCCACTCATCTAATATTGGAGCTAGGGTCTCAATCGATTCCCAAAGGTTCCAGCTTTCTACGGTCATATTGCTTTTGAAATTCCAAATTTGCAAATTTATGTGTGACAACTGAAGCCTGGTGCGAGAAAGAGAACGAAAATATCGAAAAAGTGGTGCGGAAAATATTTCTTCTCGTAAAAAGCGTCGTGTCGTCGTCCGTCGTACGAAAAATATTTCAACTACGTAGAAATATATTTTTAACGAGAGTGAATCTATTTTCAAACCCGGATATTCAATGCCGGTCCAAACTGTTCAGGTTAGAAATGAGAGCGAGACTTCTCTTTTCTTTCCAGCTAGTTGATAGAATGATACCGATATAATGCAACGTAATATTTCCTAAAAGCTATGAACAATACTCTAATCATGATGTTCTTCCTTTTCTTCTTTGATGATGACTTGCTCTGCCAACAAAGCTCCTCTATGTAATACTGGTGGGTAGCTTGGTGCTGGCGGCAATCAAGGCTAGGCTACTAGCTATATCGCAACAACTTGTGGGTTTCCATTTCTTGCTTGTCTTCTTTCTTTCCTCGGCTTCTTCGTCAGCTTCTCCTTTGCTTGTTTATTTCCCTTCCTTGGTTTCTTCGCCTGCTTCGTCGCCGGCTTCTTTGCCAACTTCATTTCCGATCTCTTCTGTGCCGACTCCTTCTCGGTGCGAAAGCAATGTGACACTTTTTTATGTAGCTTCTTGGGATCATCCTTCACCTCATACCAGTCACCAGCTTCGTCTTTCTCAAGGAATCGGGCACCAAGAGACTGTCGAGAAGCAATCAAGTCTTGGACCAATTTAATTTTTCCTGGTTTTGGTAGCTTTTTGTGAACCACCAAAAGTTGCTTGACTTCTTTTCGAAGCGAAACATTGCCGTGGTGGTTGTGACTTCCTGAGCCTCGTCCAAAGACGATGTCACTGTCTGTCGGAGTTGTCGCTACCAAGTGGCTCACTGGGTTTCGTGGGTTTGCTATATGGTTTCGCATGTCGTGAGCGAGGTGCATGATGTCACAAGCCAAGAGATAGGGCGCAGATTCTTGTTCTCCTTCCTTTTGGTCAGTCATAAACGGCAATAGGTTAACTTACCGCTTGTATCAGTTCTTTCCAATAGTGCATCAATTGGTGCCCAATCGGCGCAGCTTTCCACGTTCATGTTGCTTTTCAAATTCCAAACTTCCAAATTTATGTTTTGCTAAAGCATGAAGGAAAGAAAAATTTCGAAAATGTGGAAACATATTTTCTCGTAGAAATCGTCGTGTTGTCGTAGGTCCGGTCGCGCGTAAGAAAAGTATTTTCATCACCGGCATATATAATTCTGAGAACCCGGATATTCAGTGCACAAGTTTCAAAGTGAGACGACTGAAATTGTATGCCAGTATCTTAGTGCGGCTCCTGATTGTTTGAAAGGATATTAATATATTTATAGAGATTGAAAATGGTACCAAGCCTTCTTCTTTTCTTTCTTCTGGCTTATACAACACACAATGCTTCAGCAGACGATCGCCCGAATATCCTGTTGTTGTTGACAGACGACCAAGATGTTGTTCTAGGTTCCTTTGATCACATGCCACATCTCAAGACCCATTTACAAGACAAGGGTGTCACCTTTGAAAACGGATTTGTCCATACGCCAATCTGTTGCCCATCGAGAAGTCAAATTTTGACGGGTCGATATACCCACCATGGTGTCGCCCACAATAACTCTCGTTCCGGGAATTGCTACGGCGATGAGTGGATCCACCAAATTGAAAATCAGCATACTTATGGTAAGGAAATCCTGCAGATGGGATATCTTCAAGTCGATTGAGCTCATATGTCAATTGGTTTTCATCACAGCCATTCATGCCAAGGAGGCTGGCTATCACACCGCATATGCTGGAAAATATCTAAACGCATACGGTTATGGCGACGACAAGAAGGTTCCGCCTGGATGGGATCGATGGTTCGGCCTTGTAGGCAACTCAATATATTACGACTATTCGATTATAGAGGGCGGGATAGGCAAGAATATGATGGTGCAACACCATGGGAAGGATTATGCCAAGGACTACCTACCAGACCTTTTGTTCAATCAGACAATGAAGGTTTTGGATGAACTGCCGGAACCTTGGTTGGTTGTTCTCTCGTGGCCCTCTCCACACGGCCCCTTTACGCCTGCACCCTGGGCGAAGGACACTATGGCTGGAATCAAAGCTCCTAGAACAGAAAGTTACAATGCGTCTTCGGAATATCAGGAACAAAAGCACTGGCTTTTGCGCCAGCTGAACCCTATTTCCAACTCTACTGCAGCAGAGGTAAGGGGATCCCATTTCAGTCCATCTACAAGTTCTATTCTAACTCTCTAAGTTGATCATCAAAAGGTCGACACGTACTATCAGCGACGATTGGAAACCTTAAAGAGTGTGGATGACCACATTGACAAGATCATGTCCAAGTTAGATGACAAGGGTCAAGACCCTGTTGTTGTGTACACGAGTGATAATGGATTTCAGTTTGGCCAACACAGACTTGCAATGGATAAACGGCATTTATACGAGAACGATATTCGTGTGCCATTTGTGGTTCGAGGGCCCGGAATTCCCGGTCCCAGGAAGTGGTCACCAATTGTTTCCAACATTGATATCGCACCGACATTCATGGATATCATGGGATTGCCAGAGGCAAAAGAAGGCATGGATGGCATTAGCTTCTGGGATTATGTGCGAGGGAAGACGGACCACGAATTCCAAAACCGACGGGACCTGCTCATTTCCTACCACGGTGAAGCAGATCCCCATTGTGGAATGGCCGACTGTCCTCCTGTTTATGATGGGGTATGGTGGATGCCAGACTCGTAAGTAAATTGATTTGCTTGGATCAGAGCTGATCAAATACTCGTGGCACAATCTGACCGTGGTACTCCCTGTGATTGTTTCTTTTCACACCAACCTTCTTTCGTACAGTTTCAACAATACCTACAACTGCGTGCGGACGTTGGCGGTAGACGACGATTCTATATATTGTCGCTTTGAAGACGATCAATCCTTTGTGGAGTTCTACGATATCGCACAGAATCCCCACCAATTGGCGAATGACTACCCTACGCTCAACCAAGTCGAGCGCCAAAAATACGAATATCGGTTGAAAGAGTTGCTCAAATGAATGAGAACAATATAATGATATCGAAACAATTTGTTTTCCGCCATGCATTGTAGTTGCAAGTATCTATTCAGGTCGCTGACCGTTTAGATAGCAAAGGAGGAATCTACAGTAGTACTTAGCCAAAGTCGCAACCGAACTCCAAACGATCAATAAATCCAAAGTATCCAAAAATCGAATCATTCGACTTTTCAGATCAACTGTCGATGGACGAACAATGTACCAAGCTGCTGTGGAAGCAACGACTGGCAGAGCGAAAGATGAGGCAACATTGCAACAGATCTAAGGACAGGGGATCAACAATAATAGCAAGAGGTGAAGTTGCCACAAGAACGACAATTGGCAACGAACTACAAAAGCTCTTGTGTGACTCTTTGGTCGAGGGTGGTCATTGCTTTGGCTTTGCAGATATCCATAAATCAAATCGTAAAGGGAAGCATCGGTTGGGTATCTGCAAAGTGATTGATTGATTGACAGATTGATCGATTGATCGATTCATTGCTGGACGCTTTGTAAGTCCAAAGCAAGGGGCTCGATCGGGAAAGCCTTGACTGCAAGGAGTCATAACCATGTCGAATGAATCTGGTGGTGGCGGTGGTGGAGGCAGCAATGGCGGTGGTGGTCGAGGACGAGGTAAAGGGAGAGGAAGCAGAAACCGAGGTGGCGGCCGTGGAAAAGGAGGCCGTGGACAGGGAAGCAAGGGCGGAAGGGGAGGAAATAACACCGCTAGCACTAATAATGAAGAGGACGGACAAAAGAAAAACAACAACAAAGGCCGAAACAATCGGAATCGTCGCAATAACAAGGCGAAGAGCAAAGAATCTGCCCCACAAATTTCCGAAGAGGAAAAGCAGCGATTGGCAGAGGAAAAGCGACTTGCAGAAGAAGCCGAAGCGGAACGAAAACGAATAGAAGCAGAGCAGCAGGCACTGGAAGCCGCTCGCGAAGCACGTCGGAAAGCATTGGAAGAATTGGAAACCAAAACTCGCCAGGCTACCGAAGACGTTCAATCCACCATTGACACCATTGTTGGTCACAGGGAAAACCGAGAAGCTCTAGAAAAGGAAACTCTGATGGCCTTTCGCAAAGACTTCGCCGCTGGCAAAAAATCACTCAAATCGGACCTCAAAAAGTGCACCGCCTTTGTCAAGAAGATCAAATCAGGCAGCGCTTGGTCCATGAAACCAGCTGATATCAACCGTGATGTTTCTACGCTGAACTTGTCGAGATATGTTGAAGAAGTCGTTTCTGCACTCTTGGAGGCTGATTTGAAGTTGAAAGATATGCCTGTAATCTTGGCGTTGTGCAAGGCGATGCACCTTAGATATCCCGAATTCTTGTCGAACTTGTGGTCCAAACTATGGTCCGTCGTCCAAGGCAAACCCACAGAAGAAACCGCCAAATCTCGTCGAATCTATGTGCGCATTATTACCGAATTTGTGCTCAATGCGATTTCCACAGAAACCAAGCCACTTGTCAAGTTGATCACGGAATGTTCGGGTGGCAAGGATGGAAGCTATGCTGTCTCGGATGCCACAGTGATCTTGGCTTTTGCGAAAACAGCTGGGTTGGAACTTTTGGGTGTTGTCCCACGGTCGCTGCAAGAAAGTATGGCCTTGATTCAACAAGAGGTGGACAAACAGGAAGCACATGCCGCTACTATCGAATCGAATGGGGAAGAAGTCAAAGAGGAGGAGCAGCCCATTATTATTTCAACAAAGATGGCCACCAACGCGAAGGCCAAGGTAGAGTCACTGCAAGGAATGCTGGAGGAACGCGCCGTTTCAGACGAGATATCCGAATTATTGTGTACCCATTGCAAGGGAGCCTATCGTACATTGTCAGATACTCTTGTGACCACTCACACCAAGCTCCAAAAGATGGAAAAGCGGTGTGAGAATGATCGTCTCTTGTCAGGTAGCCTCCCCGAAGCTCGCGAAAAGGGATTGAATGATGCACGCAAACTCAAGGAGAACTTGGTGAAAACTGTCGAAGCGCTGTCAGATATTATGGCACTCAAAATGCCCCAACTCAAGGAAGAAGAAAGTGAAGAAACTGATGGTTCTGGACCTGGGGTGGAGTTGTGGACCAAGGAAGGTGGAGATGGAGATGACTTTGGACCCTTTGATGACGAAGAGACTAGAGCCTTTTATTGTGACATTCCTGACTTGCTTACAACCATTCCTCCAGCATTACTCAACTTGAGTCCGGAAGAGATTGAAAAGCGAAAGGCAGACAATCAAGCCAAATATGGTGGATTTGACAGTTTGACAGAGGAAGAAGGAGACACCGATGCACCCGAGGTCGTGGCATCTGAAGCCGAATTGAATGCTGCCGAGGAAGAAGAGAATAAGGAATCTACCGAAGCTCAACAAGGTATGTATGGGCTGGTTCTCTACATTGCCATGGGGTTGTCCAACACTAACACTCTTGCAATTGCTTCGTTCACAGAAACGGAAGAGGACAAGGAAACCCCTCACTACAAGTTGACAGTTTTGTTGGAACAAGAATTGCCCGAGTGCTGCCGCAGAGAGCAAATTGATGAAATGACAGAAAGGTTCTGCACGAATCATGGATCTTCCAAGACTTCTCGAAAGCGTTTATCGCAAACTCTCTTTCATGTTCCTCGGACTAGGCTGGATCTATTGCCGTACTATTCTCGTATGACTGCAACTCTAGGAAGAGTTTGGTCTGAACTTGGAACTACGCTTGTTACTGATTTGGAGCAACAATTCCATGGACAGGCCAAGTACAAGAAGAATCAGAACATTGAATCCCGATTACGAACTGCACGGTACATCGGCGAACTCACAAAGTTTCGAGTGGCACCTCCCATGGTTGCCCTCCGCTGTTTGCGACGTTGCTTGGACGACTTTACCGGCGGTAATGTCGATGTTTCGTGCTGCATCCTGGAGAGTTGTGGTAGGTACCTTTTTCGATTGAAGCATACCAATAAAAAGTTGGCAAATTTGATGGAAATAATGATGAGACTCAGCAAAGCGAAGGTAAGAAAGTTTCTCGATCCACTGGTGTCTCATTTTCATACAGATACCTCATTCCTTTTTGCGCAGCATCACGATGAGAGATTGCAAGCATTGATCAATACTGCATTTTATACAGTGAAACCTCCCGCTAGTGGACCAAAGAAGCAAATGAAAACATATCCTCCGCTTGAAGGGTACCTCCGACACTTGCTCATGAACAAGTTGCAGCCGAGTGAATCCAGTATATCGAACGTTTCGAAGCAACTCATCCGCTTTCCTTGGGGAGATCCTTCACAGCAGTGCGGTAAGCTGATCTGCAAAATCATGTTGAAAACTTGTCGCAGGGGAAGGTACAGGTCGATTCAAGCTGTGGCGTCAGTTGCCACAAAGCTCCGACGTCACAAGCCCGAGGTTTGCATTCGGCTACTTGATGCTGTGTTCGAAGAGCTTCAATGGTCGATGGAGAATCCGTCATTTAAGGATCAGCAGCGAACGCTTACAATTGCTCGGCTTCTGGGGGAGATGTACTGTGCATCGATTGCATCAGGGCAATTAGTTCTTCAGCAGCTCTACAAGTTCATCAACTTTGGGCACGAAATCCCAGATCCTCTTCGAGAGGCCAGCGAAAGTATTGCGCAATCCCAAGCAGATACCGAAACGGAAGATAAGCTTCCAGTTTTCAATTCTGCATCTGCCATTTCACAAACAATTCAAGAGGACGAGGAAGTCGAGGAAATTGAACTGGAAACCAAAGAAGAGGTTGAAGCTCCAAAGCCTGTGGCCGTGTCGAAACACTCGAAGTTTGATCCTCGGGTTTTTAGCTCGCTGGATCCACCGAACTCTGTTTTCAGAATCAAGCTTGTTTGCACTCTCCTTGAAGTTGTATCGAAGACTATCGTTACTAGGAACAACCTTTCCAAGGTTGAAGGATACTTGGCAGCATTCCAGCGCTATCTCTTCACGAAAACAATTCTTCCAACAGAAGTTGAGTTCGCACTGTTGGATACTTTTGATCTGATCGATTCGCAATGGCGACGGGTAGGAAAGGAAGCTGGAGGCAAATCAAAGCAAGATGACAAGGATACTAGCAAGGTTACTAGATTCCCACGCTATCCTACGTGGCTTGACGCACACAATGCTACTGTTGCTAACGAAGAAGCGGATGCTGCAGCAGAACTTCGTGTCCAATCACGCTTGGAAGCATCAGCTGAGACAAGGGCTTCTGACGATGGGACTGTTGCAAGTGACATGTTGCACGATGATGACGATATGTCTCATGACGACGACGACGATTCGATCGAAGACGGTCTTTCACATGCCAATGACAGCCTTGCGGATGAAATCGATCTCGAAAATGATTCTGGAGATGAGCAAATGGATGAAGATGACGACGACGAAGACTCGTCTGGCGAGAGTGAGGATGATGAAGATTCAGACGACGAAGATTCGGACGACGACAGCATGGATGATGACGATTCTGAGGAAGAATTCGACGAACAAGCATACATGCAACAACTTGAGGACGAAGCCTTTGAGCGTGAGTTGAGACGTCTGACTATGGACGCTTTGGAAAAAGGCAAAGCCACTACTCGTGGAGGCAAAGTGGCCGAAACCATGCCCACTGGTTCTCAATTCATCAAGAAGAAACAAGCAGACCTTGCAGTCCCTGGTCCAGCCATTGCGCTTGGAGGCAAGGAGGGAATTAAGTTTCAAATGTTGAAGAAGGGAAACAAAGGAAAAATGGAAGCAAAGCAGTTTTACGTCCCTACTGACACCAACTTGGCTCACGTTGCGACGAAGCAAGATGATGAAGCAGCTAGAGAACGCGATATGATCAAGGCCAGAGTGCTACAGTACGAGGCAGATGCTGCTGAGTCTGCCAACGCCGGAGGAAATGTTTATCTGGAACAAGAAAAACTCCAAGTCATCAGAAATCGCCCACTATCAATGGACGATATTGATCGCAACTTTGGAACTAGTGGAGGCAACCTCCGCCAAGATGGGAAGTCTAGAGGCAGCAGTACTGGAGGAGGCCGTGGATCTTCTGGCGGCCGAACTTTCACCGGTGGCCGATACCCATCTGGGCGATCTGGTGGCCGTGGAGGCCGAGGAAGGGGCCATAGTGGAAGGAGTCTTGTGTAGCTTTGATCTGTGTGCACTTTCGCTTCTCATCTTGATTGCTGAAATGTCAATGGTAGCTATCTGATTGAAAATACCTCGATCGTCCGATCCATATTGATTGGATTCATTCAGTGGAAGGCGAGCCACATTGAATATGGTGCTTGCTGGAGCATTCAAATAAATGTGAACGAGATGGGCAATCTTGAAAGCCTTGATGGACGAACGCAGTGTCGTGCAAACCTGTGGAAAGTATTCAAAAGCAAGACGAAAGATAGCACCCACTAGTGGGCGGGTTTAAGCAAGTAAACTACCTACGTTGCTGAAGTTTGTAGTCGGCTGCTGACGCCGAGACAGCTAGCTTTATGTATCTTCATACTCGATCAATGGAATGACTACTTGTTATCAGACTAACGCTTCTTCACCAATCTTCATTCTCCTCTTCTTCTGACTGAGTTCAAACTGCGTGCGGACTCTGAAAATCCGTTGGTTGGCGCTCGCTTCTTTCCATGGTGCATCCACTTCAGTCCGAATGAAAAAGTGAGCATTCTGTATCTGCGAACGAATGGCTTTGTACACTGCAGGGGACCATTCTGCATCCTCATATTGTGGCAAAATGTTCACAATAGCGGTGTGCAACGCCTTGGTGCCAGGATGATTGTTCAGACCAAAACAGACATCTCCGTCATCTGGTTCCAGCTTCTCTGGCTTACTGCTTGCACTTTTCCGCCCGCCTTTTTTCCTTCCTTTTGGTTTCTCTGGTTTCTCTGCTCTATTAATTTCTTGCTCTTGCTGTGACTGTGGCTCGGGCTCAAGGTCTGGTTCAAACTCTAGCACTTCGTTCTCCGCACTATCGCGATCCTGTTTCGACCTTTTCTTTTTCTTCGAAAACATGGATGTCATACTTGCTGAAAAGCTTGCTCTTCCAGCCTTTTTGGGAGGTGATTTCCCCGGCGAATCGGAAATTACTTTTCCAGACTTGTTGATAGATGCTTTTCCAGATGCATTCACAGGGGATGTAGGAGGCGAGGATGCTTTTTCAGATTTAAGAGCCTTCTTTTCAGCAGCGTAAATTTTGCCCATTTCTGTTCTGCGTTGACGAGAGGTTGCCAGCTCCCAACCGCCTTGTTCGTGTGGAACAAAATATCGCCTCCCTCGCAAATCTGCCTTGATGGTTTGGTATACTTCAGGGGACCACTCGCCACCGTTAAACTCGATAATATTTTGTTTTATGACTCGTTTCATCGTCTCATTTCCTGGGTGATGTTGCTTTCCAAAACAGATGTCACCTGGAATCGGCCTGTTGTCCTCGTCATCATCATCATCATATACAGAGGCTGAGTATGAATGCACAGTCATCGCCAAGACCCATTCATTTCCACCATCACGGAGATCATTGTGCCATGCCTTCGTACCAACAGATTCGTCAGTATCATTATTCTCGCCCCACTGGCCTTCTTCGGCCTTTTCGGCACTCTTTCTGTCCTTGTCGTAACATTCTCCGCAATAGGCAATCTTTTCTCGATCTGAAGCAACCCGCCAGTAGTGAGGCAGTTCATCGAATGGACGAATGAGAAAGCGTTTGCCCTTGACACGTTTTCGGATTCGCCGATAGACGTCAGGAGAGAATTCACAAGTGGGGTCAGAGTCTACAATATCCCGGATAACATAGAGAAGATCTACTGTCCCCTGGTGTTCTTCTACTCCCATGCATATATCGTCAGGCAGTGGAGTGATCGAACCATTCATTGCGCTTGCATCGGAAGGTCTTGCTCTGGCTCGGGGTCTTAAAGTCGGCATTTTTGACGTGGAATTGTGAAAATCATCTTCCTCCTCCTCTTCTTCTCCGCCCAACGCGCGAAGTGCGACAATGATCTGTTCAAACTCGCTCAATTGTCCACGAATGACTTCATTCCCATGTGCCAGATCTGAGCAAAAGGGTAGCAACGCTTCAGCCATGGCCGGCCGAAAAACTTGATGGGCATTGGCAATGGCGGCCCCACAATGCCCACATGTAAAGTCTCCTCCATAGGCAGTTGCAATCAAAATACCCGCAATCGTTTGCAAATCACCAAAGCGGACGTGCTGAATGACGCGGCCAAAATCCTTGGGGTTCATGGAGCCACAAAAGATGGCCCATTCAATATCCTTCATTTTGGACACAATCGTGTCGTGCTGATTCAAGGTTACAGTGAGATCATCCAACATTCCTGCCAAGGATGGTGAAGTTTCTTCCGCCTTGTATCCATAGTCCCACCAGTCTTCCATGGAAGCGTCCCGTCCCATGATGATACAATCCACCGTCGCACTCGCTTTGGGAAATATCACATCTTGCTCGTCTTGCTCGTACACCGATGGTGGATCCTCTAGACTATCATACGCCTTGGCTCTAATTTCAATGGGTATGGCGAAGGAAAAGTATCCAAACTCAGGTTTGATTTCCGTAATGACCGTGACCTTGATTTGATGCTTTATTTGTATCAGTGATCCATGAAAAGACTCTTGAGCAGTCTCGGGCGTCGCCAATCCAAAGCGACTGGAACTGCTGTGCTTCAATTCCTGGTACATTCGACGCGCCGTCGCCTCGTCCACCCGCAAATCGTCCCGGACTTGAGATTCATCCTCCAAGCCATCAATTTTGAGCTTGGAGACATGTTCATCCACACCCTGTTGCTCGGCTAGCGTCAACGTGATACTTGCTTCGTCCTTATCCGTCACCCAACTGTGTTCCTCTTCCAATGCCACATCGATGCGTTCAATATAGGCAGTGGAACGATTTCGAGACGACAAGGCTAAATCCAGCTCTTCGCCATGGATCATATTGACATCAGAAACCTTGGCGCCAAGATAGATTTTCCCCAACAAATCATGATGAATATCTTCGGCATAGAATGGTTCCGGCTGATAAAAGCAGGGTCGGGGTTGTGGGTCGGCATCTTCGGCCGAGACAATGTCAAATGTACGGGTATATCGCAATCGTTTCCTGGTCTCGTCACAAACCATCAAGGTATATTGGATTCCAAAGGATCCTTGGGTAATTAGTTCATCATCCGACGAGAGTGAAGACGGTAACGATGTGGGAAGTGGAACATCAAAGGGAAAGACGTAGCGATTGGGCAAAATTTGGTCGGCATCAGTGTTTTTGTATAGTTGTAATCGGGATTGAAAAAATATTATCTCGTCCTTGCTGTAGCGAACATAGAACGCAATGTTGAAATGGTAATGTGTGAGGGAATCAGTTTGATGGGATGCATACTGTCATTCTAAAAACGTTAGCTATATAGTCTCTTTGATTGTACTTACGAACTGGTGTCCCGACCATGAATTTCACATATTTCTCTTCCATATAGCTTGATATACAAATTTTCGGGATCAACGTCTGTCTCCACATCGAGAACAACTTTTCCAGACAAGGATTCTCCAGCTTCCACAGCTATTGATGGATTGAAATGAGATAGAAAACGATGATGATGAGGGAATACAATTGAATGAGCAGGAAAGAGTGTACAACCACATCAGACATAGATGAAATGCCAATTGATAATCTTACCTTCGCGTTCATCTATCGTTTCGTGGTCGAGATAAACGGTGGTAAAAACTGCGTTACCCATGTCTCAAACGTTATTGCGTGGCCCTTTTTGTTGTACCGCGACAAATAGGGTCTTGATCGAGAGTCACAATCAGCGGGACAAAGTTCGCGGTATTATTATTGTCATCGTTACGTCGATCGATATATCGAGTGATTGATTTGATTGACTGACTAATGTGACTACATACTGCGATACATTCATACTGTATGATTCCAGTGATGTGACCCACTCGACTACTCAGAGTTTCTGCTTCAACCTTCTCCAAATTCAAAATGTCTCATCAACTAAAGTGAGTCAAACACCAATCGCCTCTTTGATGCAAGCGTCAGTATTATTAGGCGGGTCTGGTTCTCATTCAAAAAGAGAGTACAAGGACTGACCGATGAAGCTGAGACTAGTCGCAAAGTTCACAAACATGGCACGTTGAAACAAAAAAAGAATTGAGACGGAACAATTTTTTGGCCCCTAATTGTACATCCATTCCCCCAAAAAGGAAGGACTTTTGGTTGGGTATGATATCCATGACCATGCATGGCAGAGAGGAGCCTAAATGAATATTTTCTGTCAATACGTTTATGACGCGACTTTTTGTAGTGTTGAAAAGAAAGAGCTACGGGTATGCTGCTTCAATGCATGATATTCGCTAGGATGGTCTTCGCTTTGACTCATTTGATCCAAATTCGGTTACGGGTCTGAGTCAAGTGAACGGCCGGTAAAATGAATATTTACTTCGAAGAATTGTATGCTAAATTGCTATTTCCCAGCCGTTCCAGTCATCAATTTGAGTCAGTCCCCCCTTTCACAGACGTGCCTCCGGACAATAAGAAAGAAAAATCAGCGATAACCATTTCTGACATCCCGAGACACAAACACTGTGGCAGCAACAAGGAACACTTATACCTCTTGAACGTGCCAAGACTATATTCATATGGCACAAACAAACAAAAGTATGGGCAACACTATGAAGAAAACTCCAAAAGCTGCCAAGATTGCCAAGGAAACTACCATTCGTGTCTTACAATGGAATATTCTGGCAGATGGTTTGGGACAAGATGGGTTTCTATCCACCGAGTTTGTTCCCATTCGAGAGTCCTCCGCTGCTACTGCCAACGGATATGAAGCCATTCAATTCATGCAAATGGTACGAGAGGCCAAAGTGGACGATGCCAAAAGCGGCGCTATTCAAGCTATGAACGATCTGAAAAAGGCAGAAAAGAAACTGAAGAAACTTAAAGATGGGTCTTCTGCAGACGTGGCAAAACTGAAGCAAGAAATTGCCTCCATGAAGGACACGGTTTCCAAATCCAAATTGGTCAATCTAAAACAGAAGTTCGAACATTCTCCCGAATTGGAAAGGGTGAATGCTGAAACTCTAGATTGGAACGTTCGTTACAGCCGTATCAAAGCACTTTTGCTTCGAGCCGATCCAGATATCATCACCTTTCAAGAAATGGATCACTTGAAGCAATTTTTGGACGATGGGACCTTTTCTTCCAAATATACTTGCTTGTTAGACGCTCAAGGCAGATATCGACCTCCTTTCTACAACAGCGACGATACATCCAAGGATTCCCGCCGGTCAGAGAACTACATGAAGCAGTTGATTCAATCCCAGGCTGCCTTTTGCCCCAAGTCATATTCCCATGCTTACAATTTTCGAAAGAAACGATCTCGACCAGGAGCCAAGGATTTGGATGATGACGGGGTGGCTGTCTTTTGGAAAAAGGACAAGTTTGAGGCAACCGAGTTGGGATACTTGGAATACCCTCCCAAAGAGGGAGACTCTAAGAAAGAGGGAGCACTAGCAGTCACTCTGTACCACAAGACATCCAAGCAATCGATCAATGTTTTGACCGCACATTTGCCATCGGGGGACGACGTGGCCAAGGAACAAGAACGGTTGAGCGTTCTCAAGAATCCAACAGCCATGTGTGTAGCCCAAAGGCTTTGCCGGCAAGGCAATGGAGAATGGAAGCAAGTCCCCTATGAAGCAAACTACAAGTTTGACGGACTTCTTGCCTTTATCCAATATTACACGCAACAGGATGCTAAACAAACGAGTCCCCGAACCATATTTGCGTTGGATACCAATTCTCGACCGACCTTTCCGCTCACAGATGCGTCCTCCGCTACGAAAGGAGAAAAGACGAATGTCTGGAATTCCATTCGACAAGGGTCCAACCTTGAAAGTATATGGGTGCAAACTTCCTTTTTGGATTCAAATGGCAAGGCCACCAATCCTCAGTATCCCTTTGTAGCCACTGTCAACAAAATGAGAGGACCCTCTTCGGACCAACCATCCAAGATTGGTGAACATCAACTCGAACTGATTGATCATATTTTCACCAATGCCCGCAATTCGCACGTGGTCAAAGATGTCCAGATTAGTGAAACCGAGATAATACCACTGGCACCATTGCAATATGCCTCGAAAGAAGGTAAGGCCGAAGTCAGTCTGAATCCATCCATGTCCATGCCCAGTGATCATCTTCCCGTAGTCGTGGATATTGCATTGTAATGTAGCGTTTAAAATAACATTTGTAGGAAGTCTAGCTACTGTAGGAGAGTGTATAGGACAATTGTTGGATGATTTGACCACATCGTGTCAAGCACTGATGATTTGAAATTATTCCATACAGTCACGGAAGCGCTTGGGGATGTTTGGGGATTCGATTCACGAACAGACACGACGTGTGCAGAAATTACCAGTGCGTTTGTCTCATCATCATCATGTAAACGCTGTACAATTTCGAATATTGCGACCAACGTCATTCAAGACGAAAGCTACAACATCGAGAACAATTCCGATTGACGTGTGTGTCAACATTCTGATGGATTCTTTCTTGACGTTTTCACAAATGCGTTCTGCATCAACACAAATCCAAGCATTTCGATACTTCTATTCAACATCAGAATAACTATTGACAATGACACAATCAAGGAGGCAACTAAAGCTTGCACTGGGTTTGGTGCTTTCCTTGGGATTTCTAACAAAGGGATCAGAAGGATTCACGTCGACACAATCGTCAGCAACCAAGACCATTGACATGGGACAAGATAAGCTTGTCAACATATACTGCCATCCGGCAGAAGAGAAGGTAATTTCCTTTGGTTTACCATCTGCTGACATTGCCCTGGCGAGAATGATGGCTCATTGTCCATCACTCATTGACGGAAAAAGTGTCTTGGAACTCAATAGCGAGCTCGGACTCATATCCGCAACTGCCTGTCGACATGCCCGTCCAGAACATGTGGCAGTTACTCATTGGGATTCTGAAGCACTTTCCATGGCGTATGCCACATGCACAAGATTGCAACGCCCCAAGAACAGTGTTTCAAGATGTCGTATGGATTGGAGCCTTCCGAGCACGTGGCCGAACCAGAAATATGATTTGGTTCTGGCTTCAAATGTATTATCGGATGATTCTTGTATCCTTCCGTTGACACAGGTGTTGCAGTATTACCTGGCTCCATCATCCAATAACGACGAATTTCGAAAACGAGCGTTGATTGTCGATCCTATAGATCAAGTACACCGTGATGCATTCCGCTATGCAGCAGATAAGGCACGACTAGACGTTAGCGTCAGCGCTTTTCCAGGTATGGACAATTTTGTCTTGCTAGACGTATTTTCCAAGGATGGGTAATGCCGAAGGGTGAATGATCCAAGAAAAACAAAGAGTGCCATCAGGAGACTTGCCTCAATAGTTGTATAAAAGTATAGAAAATTGAAATACATATTTTAATAGGTTTTTAATAGGAATCACAAGCTTTCAAGCCTATCCATCTTCGGGTATATAGAAGGCAACTAGAACGTGTATTGTATCGGTGTATTTATCTCAATTGTTGGAAATTCTGGAATGTACTAACTTAGGCCTTCCGAATTCGACGCGAAATCTTTACGCCCGGCAAAATGATGAAAGACATCACAGTAACAACAACAACAGAGCAACCTTAGCATCAAACATTCCAACGGCTCCATGGCAAACGAAACTACACCATTGGTAGCACGACCTGCCCCAGGCTCTAAGAATCGTGCCTCGGGTACGACGGGCTCTCATGCTAGAAAACGTCGAAGCACTATGAGAAGCAAGAAACACAAAGCTACCAAGACTGGGCCGCCAGTCCTCGGGAATATTTTCGAAGCAAAAGACGAACCATCATCTCGACCCGAGCGCCGTGTCAAGTCATGGATGTACACACTTTTGAATCCAAAGTCATTACAACTCCACGCTGTGATCTTCAAGTACTTTATTGCTACCATCATTGTGGCAGACTTTCTTTTTTACGTTGTCTCTACAGAACCTGTCTATCAAAAGGAGCTTCCTCCTTTGTTTGCCTGGGAAGAAGCAATCACGTCCTACCTTTTTCTGTTTGAATACATTGCTAGGCTGTGGACTATCACGGAGCACCACAAGTACAGGGGTCAAATCACTGGTCGATTGAAGTATCTTGTTTCCTATTCGGCCTTGATTGATCTCTTTGCCACCATGCCCTATTTCGTGGAAGAGTTCACTACCTACGAACTTCCTCAGCTGACTTATCTCCGTACTTTTCGATTGTTTCGCATTCTCAAAACTAATTCTTTTATGAAAGCCGGGGATGCGGTGCGACGAGTTTTGTATTACAACCGACAAATCATGACGCTTTCAGTTTTTGTGGGGCTCTACATGATACTATTTACAAGTCTTCTAATGTACCAACTTCGACCCAGAGAAACCGAAAGTAAAGGTGAGGCAGCACAGTTGATTCATACTGCTTCATATCCCTCACGTTTCCAACGTGATCTTTCTCACATGATTTTGCTTGTCGTATTTCAGAATTCGAGTCTATCCCGTCGACCATGTACCTCGCTACGCTCATGCTCACTGGTCAAGGAGGACCCGAAGGAGATTTACCTTGGTACACTAAGGCGGTTGTTTTGGTGACCTCTGCATTTAGTATCGGTATGTTTGCCATTCCAGTGTCCATGTTGACTTGGGGATTTGAGGCCGAAGCGGAAAGATGTGCCAAGCGAAGCCGTCAACTGGCCAAGCGAGAGGCATCCACCAATAACATCGATGATGTGAGTACTGACGAATATTCGACGGATGAAGACTATCAGAAAATCATTGCTGGAGTAGAGTCCTCATCATCGTCTGATGGCGACGACTCTGCGATTGCTAGGGTAATGAAAGCTGCCTTTGATACAAGCGATGTGGATGGATCTGGATCCATTTCCTTTGAAGAATTTATGAAGCTAAGTCAATCGCGAACTCTGGAGGCGGCATCATTGGAAGGCAGAGTTGCGGTGTTGGAAGACAAGCTTGATGAAGCTATTGACAAGATTGATAAGCTTTGCAAGCACTTTGCTGTTCGAACCTAATGATTCCAGACTTTCACAAAAGCTACTACTGAATTCTTGAGAAGCTATCTCGTATTTACAGTATTCGTAGAGGTATCATTCACATCATGAAAGATGTAAAAGCAGCATGGAGGGAAATACAAAAGAGATCTAACTTTAGTCGATTAAGTCCAATATAAAATCCGGGTGCCCAAAGCCAACCATGAATAAATCGTCAAAAAATTCAGATTCTTCGGTTGGCAGCAAAATTGACAGTGTTTGATGCCTGTATATTTATATATATATCGATGGGAATGACAAGGATGATATGATCCATAGCTACTGAAGCAGTTAGAGATGGAGACTCAAACTCAATTTGACGTCGAGGGAAATGCAGCGTTCTGTTCTATCCTGAACGTCGTCATTGATTCCGGAATGGAAGAACCAACTCCATTGGAACCACATGAGTACGACAAGAGCCTCGAGGTCTCTGGTCGACAGGGGAAGAAAGATAAGCAACAACAGCCACATCAGAAGGTTCCTGTGATTCGAATCTTCGGACCAATCTTGCGTCAAAATGCCGTCAACCCGCCCCTTCAATGTGCGTATTGCAACTGATGTTGATATCATGATTGGATTGAACTTTGGCAAACTCACTTTCACGGCTACTTATCATATTACAGCTGCTTGTTTACACATTCACGGAGCCTATCCTTACATGATTGCACGACCAAGGGTTGCGGGGCCTGATGGATCGCTTCGCGGACGATCCAAATCAGGACACATCGACTGGGATGATGCCGAAGCTGTCAGTTGTATCACAGACAACGTACACAAGACACTGGAAAGTACTCTACAGTCCTATGATTTAGAGAAGCAACAAAAGCAAAACGATCGCAATCCTTCGTCCAGAACTGCTCAGCAAGAGAGTTCCGAAGGAAAGATCAAGTTCATTCGCAAAATTACTGTGGTGGAGGGCAGAGGTTTCTATACATATTGTAACGGTCCTCCCTGCCCATTTCTACGGGTAGAGTATTATGATCCACAGCTTCGATGGAAAGTAAAGATGCTACTAGAAAGGGGATTGGAGGTACCTAGATCTTTTCATCCCGACACACGGCAGTATGACCGCGATGATCCACCCGAAGACCTTCTCAAGTTTCATTGTTACGAGGCTCACATCCCGTACACTATGCAGTTTTTCAAGGATTGGAACCTTGCGGGCATGTCCTACCTCCACTTACGCAGCGTCAAGATCCGTGGTCGACCTGGAACCTACAGCAAGAGCTATTACTCGCAAAAAGCAGAAACTTTGAGTGTTCCGTTCAGCGAAGAGGATATTTTCTTGTCATCCAATACTCCTTCTTCCGTCCTGTGGAAGTCCGAGTACGAAGGATCCGAAAATGATGTGCTGCCAAAGCGAACGAAGAAAGTCAGTAGCTGTGATGTGGAAATGGACTGCACAGTGGAGGACATTATGAACCGTGATGCGGTGCTGAAGACGTTGCTGTCGGAAGAGAAAGACGAAGTTCACTGGCGTGCCGTTCCCAGTTTGCAAGAAATCTGGAAGGAGGAGCGAATACGCATGCGGAGGCTACTAGGTCCACAGCACGATCTTGTTTCTAAACCGCTCTCCTTCACACTCAATGTCAAGAAGGACGCCTTGCGTCCAGGGGCTCGTCCAGCCCGAAAAGGAATGAAAAAGCTAGTGAAGGTCACATATGGGCTGGACGATGATTTTGAGCGATCGCTTACCGATATTCTGAACCGTCACTTGAAAACTATCGAAGAAGTAGACACTCAAAGAGCTGCAGATCGTGAGAAGGAACAAAGTCGGGACGAACCTGGCCTGACACCAACCATGGACGATGCGATTGATGCACTCGAGTCGATGAATGAAGGCGGCAGTGAAGCCAGAAAAGAAAGCGACACCTCACCATCCAATTCGCAAAGAGACTGGCTGTTTACTCCTTCACAAGAGGACCTGCCAAGCCAGGACAGCCATCCGGCACCTCCAATTTGGCAATTAAGTCAGAGCCAAAGTGCGAGTCAGAACGAATATTTATCGTTCTCATGCTCGCAACGCTTGCACGACGAAGATTCACCAACGCAGACCTTAGACTTGGAATTGTATAGTCAGAAAATCGAGCGAGGTGAAGCAATTGTGGATGGCATGGACGACGCTATTGACCCTGAAACACTACGGCCATATGAGGAACTCGCGTTTGGCAAAGACACTTGTAGGGCTATCTTTGTAGTCGAGAGCGATCCGCCAGAGATGAAAAGAGTCTGTGGAAGCCGTTGGAACTGCTCTCGACCAGGTCATGAAAACGCATTCCATCGTGCCAAGCCGAAATACTACAAGACAGTCACAACTGGCAAATTTGTTGACGGATTGCTGTACCAGAATGACGATGAAGAAATCGATCTTGTGAAGCTTCAAGAGGAGCACTCGGAAGGCGAATTTTCGGACGATGAGGAAGATCTTATGAGGGATCTCCTAGCTACTCAAATACCAAACGACGGTCCCTCCGGGAAGAGAACTGTTGAATTGGACAGCTACGGTGTTTCAATGACGCAGCCGCAAGTTGCGCTTGGCCAAGGGTCGACCACTCAGGTGACTAGTAGCAGTGGTTTCAGATCGTCAGTTGCCAATAGTGACGTAGAGGATGACGATGACGAAGAAACCGTACAGGCTTCAGGTGCTTCTGATTCGGTTGCCCCAATGGATTTATCTCTAAACGAAGGAACCAATCCTCTTCAGCCAACACAAGAGGAAGGCGACCTTCGGGGCCCTCCTTCCCGAGGTGACCTTCGTGGAGCGCAGAGTCAGGGCTCGCTCTTCCCCTTGTTCCCGAGAGATACTATACCAACATGGCTTGAACATGCAAGAAACTATGCTTCGTTCAATGGCACTCACTCACTGAGTACTGATATTAGAACCCTCTCAATGAATGGTCAATGCATTCAACCAGTGACAATGCCACCGACAAGAGGAAGAGTTGTCTCGTGGCACAAGAAGCGGACTGCAAAAACAGCAAATGGAGAGAAGAATGCCAAGAGGAAAAAGTCCGATAAAGATCTGCAAATCGATAGTAATTCTAGGAAGCTTGTTCTAATGCCAGAGCGCGATGACGAAGAAATCGAAGAGAGCAAAGAGATTGGTCAACAAAATGTGGAAGAAGTTGAGTGGCAGGCTTCTCAAACTTGGCAACTCACACCTTCGCAAAGTCAAAAGTCGACACTCTCAGAGCAAGAAAGTGAGGTGATCCAAATCAATCTACAAGAAACGCCACCGAAGAATACAATCGTATTTAGCTCTGACTCGGTTCAGAAAAGTACAGATGCTTCTTCAGAAAACAATACGTCAGATTCCCTCTCCAATAGTGCGACGCAAAGCTCTAGCGATGCGCTAGATGGAATTGGACAAATTGGGGGTAGGATTCATATCCAAGGTGGAGGTGGCTTAAAAACACGAACGAGAATGTCACAAGCAGCTGGCAACGAAAGTCAAGGAGCCAAACATATGGATGGAAACCAAAGCGCCTTTGGGCTGCCGACTCCTATCTCTTTCATGTCGATCGAGGTTCATGTTCAATGCCGGACGGGGTATTCCAGACTGGATACTGAAACGAGAACACACAAGAAGATTTCGTTGACAGCAAACCCGAGACGGAGAGAAGATAAGATTTCAGCCATTGTATTCGTCCATGGCAGGGTGAGTCAAATTTGTGGGGTAGAATATTGAGATCAGGAAATGACTAACGCTACGTGCGATCTCTTCAGGATCCTGGTGGAGGGAAAAGTCTTGAAATTCTAGCTAGAGGATGCCTTTTTGTTCCGTTAAGAGCACGCCGAGATGATACTGATATCCAACTTCAAAAGCGACGGATTCTTTCCAGTATGCCTCCTGGGAGCATGGGAATAAAGTCACCACTATCGGTCGAGTGCTTTCGAGATGAAAAGAGCATGCTGAGACGGTTTGCAAATGTTGTACGCATGAAGGACCCAGATATGCTCCTAAGGTAACTGTTCAAAAGAAATTTCCTGCGCTCCAGTATAGGTGAAATTGTTGACTCTAACGTGCACTTCCCGTACATAGCTGGGATCCGCAATCTTCTGGACTTGGATATATCATCGAGAGGGGGGTGAATGGTGCCGAGACGCTATCCAGCGAAGGCTTTCGTCTTGAAACATTAGACATGGCTCGACTTTTGGGACGGACACCGAGTGATCAGTCGAGGGCTGCTTTCTTTGGAAAAGAGCAACAGCCCGAGTTAAAACCCGGCGAAGATAAGGATGGCAAAGAAGGAGAGAAGAAGACGGAGGAGAAAACATTTAGGGGAAGTGGTTTGGGCCGTGATTGGGATGACAAAGTAGGGGCTGGTGCTGCTGCGGCCTCCATCGTAAGTACTTCTGGATATTACGATTGACAACAGCATTACATCTTACTCACCTACGTTTTGGTACAGATTGGACGGTTAGTCTTTGCTGCACACAAAATTGTATCAGAAGAAGTGAAGCATGCGAATGCATCATACTTGCCTGCTGTGGTAGCGGCGGTGATGAACAAACGTATTCCCCATCACGATGAGCTGACACTGACCCAATGGTATGCCAGTGGAAACGAGCGTTGGCGTGTTCTCAATCATCGCTTGACACAAGCGACTTCATACCTTCTCCTTTTTGACGCGCTTGATATCGTTGGTCGAGCTGGCGAAGCTGCCAGACTCAGTGGGGTAGAATTTTCCCAGTCGTTTCCTGGTATTCGAGGGTCTCAGTACAAGGTCGAGGGTGTGCTACTGAGAGCCCTCCAGAGTTTGCGTTCGGACGAACGGGGTTCCAAACGAGGCAAAGTGCTAGAAAATAACTTGACCGTGAGGTCGACAGGTCCCTCCTCAGCAAGCCTCAGCCACGACATGAAGTCCCCAACTCAGGAACCTTGGAAAATGCGGCGCGAGGGTCAATCAAAGCTCGAGAATAGGCATTATTTCTTTTTCTCGTCATCTGCAGGAGACGCCAACCTACAAGAAGCCTTGGAGGTACAGGCTTTGACGTTGGAACCTCAATCTGGTCACTATACCGATCCAATAGTTGTCTGTGATTTCACAGCACTGTACCCGTCGCTTGTAATTGCATACAATCTTTGTTATTCAACAATTGCTGGGAAACTTGAGTATCATAGTACTCGAAGCGAGATGCAAATGGAAGGAAGAACGAGCGGGCATCTGGGACCCTTCACGTACCCTGAAAGCCGAACTGCCACCGTCCTTGCGGATCACATGAAGTCGCTGAACAGTGAATCGTCTGACGAGGTCAATCGAGCCTATGTTGCACCAACCGGGAGTGTGTACGTTTCGGAAGACGTTCTTAAAGGAGTTCTGCCACTTGTTTTAGAAGAAATTTTGACGACTAGAGCAATGATCAAGAAGGCAGCAAAAGAGTACAAAAAAAATGTGAAAAATTTGTCACCTGCAATTCTTCGTCAGCTGGAAGCAAGACAGCTAGCACTCAAATATGTCGCCAACGTTACATATGGTAAGGCAAAAATGTCGTCTGGGAAACGTTACAATTCCATTGCTCATTTCTTTGCTATCCAGGATACACCTCGGCCACATTCAGTGGTAGATGCGCGATGCCACTCCTTGCGGATACGATTGTAGAATGCGGCAGAAAGACACTTCGAAGAGCCATCGATCTTGCAAATCGATGGGGTCGTGAGACAGAACGCTGGAAAGGGTGTCGAGTTGTGTACGGTGACACGGATTCTCTTTTTATCGTCGTTCCAGGGAGAACGCATCAAGAAGCGTTTACATTTGGCGAAGAGCTCTGTGAGGCGGTGAGAAAAGACAATCCACCTCCAGTCGAACTAAAGCTAGAAAAAGTCTATTCTGGTTCTATTATGCAAACGGTAAGTGTAATACAGCCAACATTTTCTTTCTGATGTGTGTAACTAACTTTTTCTCGATCCCTTCATTTTCCCAGATGAAGAAATACTGCGGGATGAAGTTTGAGTCCAGAAGCCAGAAAAAGCCTACCTTCGAAGCCAAGGGTCTCGAAACGGTTCGACGCGATCAATGTGCGTTGACTCAAAAGGTGCTCCGAAATGCTTTGATCAAACTCTTCAACAGAGGTGTGTCGGAAGTGAAGGAATACCTGTTTCGCCAATGGTCGCTGATCTACTCTGGAAATCTCCCAGTATCCGATTTCATCTTGACTGGACGAGTCCGTAGTCGGTATCGAGGTGGTCGGGAAGGTCCCGTCCAGGTAGGTAGATGAGAATCATGTTGTTTCGTTGGTTGATTGATTCATTCATTCACATGCTCGGGTCTGACAAAACGACTTTCGCAGGCTGTCCTCGCCAATAGAATACGATCTGCTGACCCAGATTTCGCGGTTCGGTCGAAACAACGATTGCCATATGTAATAATTGATCGCGGCAGTAAAAACTATACGCTGAAGGATTGTGTCTTGACTCCAATGGAACTACTCGAACACTGGAATGCTTACAAAATACACACTGGGTACTACATTGAAAAGGTACGTTTAGCTTAGCAGATGAAAAGCTGGAACAGGACAATACTAAACGTGCTCAATCCTTCGTCGCCACTTATTTTGCCTTTGTCCAGCACGTCAATGCTTCCCTCCAACGATGTCTGGGCCTGGCACCCCACAAAATCGATGTCAATTCCTGGTTCCGAGAGTGCCCGCGTCCACGTCGGCGGATTCATTTTTGGCCCACCAAGTCTTTTATGATTACCGATTGGTTTGGCAGTGGTGTCTGTACCTTTTGTGAAAAGAGTTGTCATGCCAGTGGCCGAAGTAAGGTGGGCGTTTGTTCCGATTGCCGCAAGGATCCAAAGACTGCCCACTTGGCGTTACCAATGCTGCAACAAGCCGAAGAATCGGCGAATGCCGTTGCCAAAGAATGTCAAAAATGCAACGGGTGTTTCGAATCTGCCGAAACCTTTGCGAACGAACGATTCGAAGACGAGGGAACCAAGAAAACCTTGGTGTATCCGTTGGCCAATTGTGTGTGCATCGATTGCCCCAATACCTTTAAGCGACATCGATTGAAAGAGCTGCTGATTGAGTCGACGAATACCAGTGAAGTCCTCGGGTTGGACATCTTTTGAACTACATGGATTTCTGATCATAGTACACTATTGGGTGTGTATCAATGCTATTTCCTGGCACCTTCCTTCTATAATGAGTACTTGAAAAGTAGCATTTTAAAAACCCCAGCACTTTAACGATGTTAGTTTCAGTCAAGTAAGTATACCAGCGTGTGACAATGGTTCTTCTCCCATTTGCAGCTGTGGCGATTCAATTGTGCATCCTATGTTGTTATACCCATCCTGGATACGCTCTTTCTCGTCCAATAGCCCGTGTTCTAGACACATCATGTCAAAGCTGTAATTCCAAGTCGTTTTTCCGAATCATGTACAAGCACGGCAGCATTGACTCGTCATCCAAAGGTACTCCCATTTCCTTTTGCGCTTGAAATCCAAGGCGTTCGTAGAAAGATCTCGCAGGGATGGTGCTAAGCACCTCGACATATGGAGCACCACAACTTGCCTGAACAATGTCTTTCCAACATTGATTCCAGATCGCTCTTCCAATTCCTTGACGAGAGAACTTGGGATGCGATGCCACATGACGAATGTGGGCATAGTCCGTTCCGGTTTCGATTGGATGTTCCCAGGTCCATCCTCCGGCGCCTACAATTTCTTGGGTGATCGGGTGGTGCACAACATAATACGTCCCACAGGATAACAAGCTATTAGCACGAACATGTTCCAAGGCTGGAAGCGTTTTGTCCACCAGTTTTTGACCGTAGTGGTCGACGAGGAGATGGTTCCAGGAGATTGTGAAGAGTCGGTTGATAGCATCTGCATCGTCCATGGTGGAAGGGCGAAGAGTCCATTGAATTGGATTTGTAGTCGTAGCATTGGTCATGATGCCTTCATGTGTTGAGAATAATGCCGGAAGCAGGATCTGACCATACCCCTCGCTTTATTGGCTGCAGCAAGAGTTTACTGAGTGGAACGAAAATACAGTTTCTGTCGCATGTTTGGGTGATTGAACAGATCAAACGTGCACCGCATACCGACCGTGTGGTAACAAAAATGTTCGATTACTCCGACCGAAATCGTTTGGCGTGAGATGAGATTATAATGGTCACAAAACGAGCTAAATTCTCACTCCTTCCTATCACTAGCAAGAAGAGCAAAAACACCCTCGATTGACTAGATTTGGAAGAAAATGGACACAAATCAAAGAACACTCCAAAAAGTCGTACAAATGAGAATGCGACTATAGAGTGTAATGAAAACCATCAATTTGGAGTCTTCACAAAGACCAACAACGATCCATCATCATTGGAGAGCGATCAAGTTTTTGGTAGATCCTTTCTGCCTTTGCAAGAAAAGAAGCAACCTCCCCGGGATCCGAGTACTACACGATCCCATGATCTAGTTCAAGGTAACGATGGGTTATCTCCTCTTCTCTCGCAAGGGATGGGGCGTCCAAACCGGATGATGTACTTCAGAGTGATCAAAAAGAGTTTTTCCGACGAGGATTCACCACTGTATTCAAATTGTTCACTGACATCTTCCAAAAAAGGGCACACTATCGTCTAGAACACCAGCAATCAATATTAGCTACAACCAGAGGCTACTGAAATGGACAGTGGTCGCAATCCTTTGTATGCGATTGTTGGCGAAATCGAAAGGCCTGATGGACGAGAACCAGAACCACATCATGATTATCGTGACGACAAAGACGACACAGGGCGTGATGATGTGACTGAAACAGAAATTACGACTCCAATAAGCGGCGAATCTCATATATCGAATTTTCAGTAAGTTCCCGGATGATGAAACAGTCGTTCGCATCAGATATATGCAAAACGGAACGGATCGAAATTTGGGAAAGAAGAAAAAGCTCGTGGGGAAGCGTTTGTTCGAGTATCAAGATATGGCAATAGCCCATTTGGTCGGAGAAGATAGGAAGAGGAAGAGGGATTCCACTCAAAACCTGGTTGTTCGTGAGGAAAGTAGCAGTGACGAATCGCAGAATGATTGTCTAGAGTATTTTGAACAACTTCGCGAATCACAAGTTCGATATGATGAAAATAGAAATATCTAGATTACCAATCTACTGAGTCGGGAGATGTCTGTAGAGAGATAGAAAGAGAACATATAAGAGGAGTATTTGTTGGTAGGATAAACTTGGGTGTATCTTCTTTGCGTACAAGTAACGTTCAGACCAGATGGTTGGTTATTGGATTCAATCGACCACAGTTGGTCTACTATCCATAGTGCATCAAACTATTATTGGATGGACTTCCCCAAGGAATCTTCTTTCCAGACTTGATACTTGAAAATATCATGGAAACGCTAGCAAAATTCATAGAAGTTGTTTGAATCAAAAAAGCATACCAACGTGTGGAAGCACATAGTGTGGCAGTGGTTCTTCGGTTGTTCCTTCTCCCAATTGCCGCAGTTTCTCGGCTGTCGTAACCCCTGACATGACTAGTAATGATGCCATTCCATTCTCGTTTCCAAAACGAATATCTGTGTCAAGGCGGTCACCGACAAACAAGCATCTCGTTGGATCAAGATCGTGATCCTTGGCGATGAGGTCAGAAAGCATCTTGCTCGGTTTACCAACATTTATTGATTGCCTCCCAGAGCAATACTCTAGAGCTTTTACCACACAACCATTTCCCGGAATATGTCGATTGTCTGAGCCAACTGATCATGAGGATGGCAGAGAATATTAAGTTTAAGCAAGAAATTTGAATACGGCAAGCAACCAGGCCAAGTCAAATGGATATCAATACAAGGTCACATACCAATATCAAACGAATCATGATTTGTGGCCACTAGTAAGGCATCCTGATTTTGTAGCAGCAAGTTGTTTGCAACACATAGCTTTCTGAAAGTAAACTCTGTATCATGTCCTACCACAATGGCATCAATTGGGCCTTCATTGAATTCATAAGCTTCCAACTCTTCCCGATCCATCGACGCACTACTGCTGCTCGAATCTGGAAGGTTGGTAATGATAAAGCCGGCGCTCTCTACTTCAGCTCGAAGCTGAGGACTCCCAATCACAAATATTCGACTTTTGGGTTTCAATTGCTCTTGTAGGTACCTTGCGGAGGAATACGAGCTCGACACCATTTGATCTTCTGTCAGCGATGGGATATCCAGGACCTTGCTCAATTTTGTTCGCAGGCCTTGTCGGTTTACTCCTGCATTATTTGTAACGAATAGTACTTTCTTTCCCATGGCCTCGAGTGAAAGTAGAGCTTCCTTGGCCCCTGGACATGCCTCTTGCGTTCTATACAAGACACCGTCGCAATCGAAAAGGACTGTATCAATGTGGTCCGTAAGAAATGCCGACGCTTCCTCTCGAGACTTCCAGATCGTGGGAACCTTTGTGTCCTTTGATAAAGAATCGTAGAATTGTTCCACTTGGTTGGTTGCTATTGCCGCATCATTCCAATAAGAACTGGTGGTGGTGTCGCTGGTGGAAAAGAATCCGACGCCACGTCTGGTGGTGGTGCTGGATGATGACCACGATGATCTCGCAGGATTGTTGTTGGCGACCACAAATGAACTGCACTTTGGTGCATTTAAAACCATCAGTGCGGCAATGGATCGAAAACGATTGAAATATACCATGGTTCAAATTCTTTTTCTCTATCAATATGTACAAGTATACTGTGGCTTGGGGTGTGTAATATATGCTTTGCGTTGTATTGAGTCCTGATGCGATGTGATGGAAAACACGTACCAAGAAACGACTCAATCGACTGGAACACAGACAGATGATTCTTTGAAGATGCGTTTTGACTTTGGTCGAAGGAAAGCAATTCCGACAGAGACTGTTCCACATGGTATTAATACAGCGCTTTGAATTTCCGATTGAATTGTTACACTACATTTTTCCGATTTGTACTCGCAGCAATGAAGCAATGAAGCTGCGTTGATAAGGTAACCAAAAGGAGTTTGACCAATTTTTTTAGACTGCAGAGTTGTGACCGCCCCTTTGCCAAGGTCATCACCACTTCTCACCCCATGAGCGTGCTACTGACATCTTGATGCATCTGCATTTGTATTTGTATTTGCAATATCCCAAATATCCAATGTTATCTACTCTTGTTGCCTGCAGCAAAACCAGAGAATCCCATCATTGCGGCAAGAGCCGGATCGACACCTCCCTCGTCGTACTCTTCTGTTTCTTGTTCTTCTTGCTTTGTGTCAACATTATCAGCACCAGTCTCTTCCTTTTTGGGTTCCTCCACAAATTCCCCCATCTTTTCTTTTTGTTTCTGTAATTTTCGTTCCTTTCGTTTTCTCGCTCGCTCTTCTTTTCGTCGTTTTGCCTCCTCATCCTTGGCCTTGACGATATCATAAAAGTTTTCTTCTTCCCCAGTATCATCCAGCAGCTTTGTGGAATTCTTTTTTCTTTCTTCTGCCAGCGCCGCCAATCGACTCGTGACTTGTTCTTTGGTGGATCGTTCCACTCGCATGGTGTACCCTAAATTCCGTTGATGTTTCTTTCCTGCAATATAGTAATAGTAGTAGTAGTAGTAGTAGTAGTAGTAGAATAGTAGAAATGGTGTCATGATATATGCATGTTTGAGATTCCCATTCACCAATAATAGTCAATCAATCCAGTCAATATATATCAACTACACCCTTGAACGTACCATTGATATGATCTAAATAAGCCAAACTGTCCTTCAAAAAGCAATCGCACACTTTGCAGTGCCAACCAACTCCAGTCTTGACCACTCCATCCTATATATACACCAATGATATCATGGGGCACACCAAGAAACAAACATCAGAACATTGTGATCATCATACCCAACATCAGATCAATTTCAAAAAAGTACTCACCGATGGTGATGCTCCATCATCTCCAAAAGCTTTGTTGGTGGCCGCCGCCTCGGGATTGATCATTTCCACCGTGCCGACTTTGGAGTCAATCACATCGACCCGGTGTTGCCGTGGCTTCAAGAAAGCTCGTTTGGACAATTCCGGTCCCGCCCTTCCCTTGGGCGCCGGAAGGAATTCTTCTTGAACCGCATCTTCTTCTTCTCCTTTGTTTATTACTTCATCGAGTGATCGTTTCTCACCCACCTTTGCTTCCTTTTTTAATTTGCTCGAGGACTTTGGCTTTTTATTATGGTTCGTCTTGCCTCCTACGACTCCCTTAGTAGTTTCTCGTTCCTTGGCTTTCTGTTCGTAGACATCCAAATCCCATGTTCGACGCTCGACGTTGACCTTTTGTTTGTAATTCAAATTGGATGACATTCTTGTGTCTTTTCCACTCCAATTTATGTGACAATAATTTGTTGTCGTTGTTGTCGTTGTTGTATATTTTATTGTCGTTATGTTGTTGTGATGTGGCTGACGGATGGGTCGTACGAGTCCAAAGTGCTGCTTTGATCAGAAGGAAGAAGGAATCTGAAATCGCATCAAACCCAAAAGAGAAACCCTTGGGCCTTCTCTGCAAGCTTGTAAACACTCAAAAACTTCACACGACAGAACAATAACATATCATAAAACATATAAATTCATCCATCACTTCTCCTCGAATATTATAAAACGATATAAAAAGAGCACAACAACGTTTCACAAAATAAAACATGTCTTCCGAACCATCCTTCGACAATGTGCTGGACGACTATCTGAGTCTGGCCATTGGTGTCATTTGCGCCTGGCTGATTCCCCATGTGGCCATTGAAATTGCGGAATACCGTTACGAAATTTCGAGAAGTCCCGCTTGGAAGGGCTACGAACGACAAACCAAGGGAATGGACACCATCACGAATGCGGCAATCTTTGCGGTATCTACCGCTGGAATATCATTGGCGGGATCTGCGGCAGTAGTGGCATTGTTAACACAAGGAATGGATTGGAGAGTGCAAGCTATTGTCACTGGATTGTCAAGAAGTAAGTTTACTGTGGTTGTGGTTGTTTTCATGCGGGGATGGTCATTGGCATTGGCATGAATGATGTGAATGACAATAGCAATGGCGGTGACGTTCATCTGCTTGTACATGAAACCAAAATGTCCTCACTGTTCATGTTCATGCATTCTCTGCCTCCTATATTATTCTTGCCCATTTTTTATTCAGTCACTGGAGCTGTGGTAATATTCTTTATATCCTACAAGACACCCAAATGGATTGGAGTTTATTGGTCCAACAAGCACGATTACGGTGAACCCGTGGGGGCGACAGAGAGACATTTGAGGTTCAATGTCCAATGGTCCATTTGGAGGCTCTTTGGACAAATTTACTTTCTGAGCCTCTTGTTTTTTTGCGGGGCGGAGCCCATTAAAATTCCGCTCTCGGCCTTTTGTGGAATCGTCGTCGGCTTTGTCATTTGGTATTTTGTGTATTTGGGACGGACCAAATTGCAACAACAAAGGAAAAAGGTGGCCATTTTCTTGGCGTCTCTGATTAGCGTTGCCTCGGCCATTGCCTTTTCCAGTGGCTGTTGGTACATTCAACAAGTATGGGGACGAGATCGCCGGAACGACGACATGTTGACCTTTGGCAGCTTTCTCACCTGGTTGCTATTGGCAGGCATGGTCCATGTCGCCATGTACACCAATACCATGCGAAAGGATCGAGAAACGGCAGCCCTGCCACCGGAACAACGGAAGCGTCGCAAGTACCGAACCCGGCATTTTCATCCCAAACACATGTCCAAGTTGCGGAGACAACTCGAACGATCCTGCAGTACGGACGAAAACCAAGAATTGGAACGGGACATGGATGACAGTAGTTGGGACCACGAACGAGAAATGAATGGCGACGATGGCGACGATATTTTTGTTGATATCAGCAAGGATGGAAAAGAGGATATTGAAGGAGATGATCTTGAAGGAGACGAGGCCACTCGAAATGAAGAATCCGGATCATCTCTATCCGATGTTGAAGCGCCCAAAGGAGCCAATGCCGCTTCGTCGGATAAAACTAGAACAGACGCGGCGGGGAGATTGAGGAGACTTGATTCCATGGATACCAACGATTCTGAACTCTTGCTGGAAGAAATAACCGAAAATGAATCCTGGTTCTCTCTCGTCCGACTTCATTGCTGCGGAAATGCCGAACGAGCGGGGGAACGACCCAAAAAGTCACGCCTTGAAAAAACTGTTTCCGGTTTCAAGTGGACCATGGGCTTTGTGGTCAATGCCTTTTTTGCATTTTTGGTGATTGTCAACATTGGGGCGACCCATCAAAACAATGCTGTTCGTCAGAACCTTCCAAAGGCCTACGAATTACTATATCCGCCGGATTATAACAATGGAACGGTCTGTGCTTGGGACAACAATGGTCCCGACTCGATCATTCAGACATTTGATACGCCGGATGATGCCAGGGCGGCCAACTTTTCGATTGTTCACTGCGGAGCTTGTGCGGCGTGTTCCACCTGGCAAGACTTGAGACTCCAGTGGACGACTCGATCCTATCTCGCAGATGCCGCCCAAGACTGCACCAAAAGGGCATTCTTGGGAGGCAGCGAGGCGGTCCAAGAGTGCAACGAAGACGAAGACATGATTGGATTTTCCGAAGAATGCGCCACTTGTTGGACCGTGGACCAACTATGTGCCAAGAAAAACTGTGTCTTTATTTTCTTTCAGGGTGTCATGATTAACAAGTTGACCAACTTTCAAGTGGGGCCCAACGAAATTACATCGGCAACCTGCGACGAGGCCATGTGCGGACCCGAATTTGTCCCCTGTTCGGGTGCGACGAGACGACGAATGGATATCATCAGTACCATTGCCAGGCCGTTGGATCAACAGTGTCGAATCATCAATCAAGACTGGGAAACCATATTTGATCATCCATAGAACTAGGCATTGGCCAGAAGTATGGATGGATGGATGGATGGAGATTATTTTTAAAAGAAGAGTTGTACGATATAATAAATATAATTAGATATTTAGATTTTACTATGATACATGTTCCGAGGACACACATCCAATATTTTATCATATATCACCATAGCTAGTCCGATTTTACAGGGTGGTTCCGCCAATATGGAATATTCGAAGGAGGCACAGGCTTGGGACAACACCGACTCCTCGCCCTCCTTGCGAACGATAACAGAACAAGCGCTGCAAAAATAACAAAAGTCGGCGTTCTGGTGACACTTTTTTGATTGCAATAGAGATCGTTCCAGGCATCACTCCAATTGCACACGATAAGCTCCTCCTTCTTCTTGTTGTTGTTGTTGTTGTTGTTTTTGCTCAAAGCAGTGTCTTTGAACATATTGTGGGCATCGACAACTTTGGAAATATCCCAGGATGACAAATCTTGCGCAAAGGATGTTGCGTTGTAAAACATGTGATTCATATCCGTCACTGCTGAAACATTCCAGGAGGACAAGTCTTGATTGAAAGTGGATGCGCTCGAAAACATGTGATTCATATCCGTCACCGACGACACATCCCAGGAGGACAAGTCTTGATTGAACGAGGAGGCACCCGAGAACATGAAATCCGTCTCGGTCACCGACGACACATCCCAGGATGACAAATCTCGATTGAAGGACGATGCGTCCTGGAACATGAAATCCATTCGTTCCACGGCCGAGACATTCCAGGAGGACAAGTCTTGATTGAAGGAAGATGCTCCTGCAAACATGAGCCTCGTGTCTGTCACAGAAGACACATCCCAGGATGACAACTCCTGATGGAACGATGATGCTCCTTCCAACAATCCACTCATGTCCGTGACAGACGAAACATCCCAGGATGACAAATCTTGATTGAAGGATGATGCGCCCTTGAATAGTTGTCTCATAGTTGTGACTCTCGAAACACTCCATGAGGAAAGGTCTTGATTGAAGGATGATGCCTCTCCAAACATGGCCCACATTTCCGTAACCCTCGAAACATCCCAAGAGTTTACGTCGTGATTGAACTGGGAGGCATTGTAGAACATGTGGTTCATGGATACGACCGACGAGACGTCCCAGGATGACATTTTCCGATTGAATGAGATGGCACTCGAGAACATGCGGTCCATGCGCAGGACTGACGACACATCCCATAGTGACAAGTCTTGATTGAACGAGGTTGCCTTTTGGAACATTTCACTTGTATCAATGACAGAGGAGACATCCCATGGTGACAAGTCATGATTGAAAGAGGATGCTTCGGCAAACATTGACGTCATGTAAGAAACAGAAGAGACATCCCACAAGGACAAGTCTTGATTGAAATTTCGTGCTCCCATGAACATGCTCTGCATTTTTTCCACCGACGAGACATTCCACAAGGACAAGTCTTGATTGAATGATGATGCATCCTTGAACATTCCATCCATAAATTCGACAGATGACACATTCCAAGATGACAAGTCTTGATTGAAGGATGATGCCCCAGAGAACATGTCGCTCATGTCCATCACCTTACTCACATCCCACAGGGACAAATATTGATTGAAGTAGGATGCACCCGAGAACATCCGATCCATGCGTTCGGCCGACGAAACATCCCATGAGGAAATGTCTTGATCGAAGGAGGATGCACCTAGGAACATCCCACCCATATTCTTGACGTGCGACACATCCCATGCAGACAGGTCATCGTTGAAGGAGGCTGCATCAAAAAATAGGTAAAACATGCTTTGCACGGCAGAGACACACCATGTTCCCATAGGCCAGCCATACTTTTTCGTCACTGGATTATTGCAATTGTAGTTATCGGAACAACCGTCCTTCCAGAACTGAGAAATAGCGCTCTTCAACTCGGCTCGATCGGCAAAGCAAGCGCAAGGTGTTGCTATGTCTCCTTTATTATTATTATTATTATTATTGTCATCGTAACATAGTATTGGCGACGCTTTCCCTATCAGCGGACAATAAGCGATGACTACCAACAGAGCATGCAGGAAGGTTCGTCGTTTCATCTTGTATCCATCTTTTTTCAAAAGGCTTATCCACAACGAATGATTGATGCAGCAATGATGATGATGAGTAGGATGAGTAGGATGAGTGGTATTTTTGCGGTGTGTGACTGATCGAGTGCCTGGAGACTGGAGGAGAAGAGGAACTTTTTCCTTACTTTGTCATTTTCCAATTCTCCAGTTTTCCAGTTGTCTTTCAGAAACAGTTGATTGAGGCTCTGTCGCGTCATCGACAGGCATGTTTTTTAATCTTGTCACTTGGCGGCGGATGACTGGAGACTGGAGGAGAAGAGGGAATTTTGTCATTTTCCAATTCTCCAGTAGCTAGAGCCCTACCTACGGGGTACTGTACCGGGTAGGTAGTCAGTGGGTCGACAAAAAAAGGAAAATCAAATCTGAAATCGCTTCAACCAGACAACCACACCGGAAGCAGCAAATACGAAGCTTCCACCCGCACTGACTGCCACTGACTGCACTGCTCGCTGCCGGCGAGTTCTGGAGGTACCGTGTAGGATACCTACTACTGTTCGAGTACCTGCTGGAACTGTACGTGAACAGGAGTGCGTGCGTGTCGATTCCGCTGACCACGCAACTTCGCCTCGGCGTGGAAATTTGCAGCCGGTTGGTGCCATCTTCTGCTCTTGACGTCAGCCAACACACGTACCCAAGTACGTGAGAAATGCGTAGCGATAAATTCCATGGGGTGATGTGTAAGTATTTTGATGATGTCGGTTCTTTCTGATGGGGGGCAGCTGAAAATCTGATGATGTGGCCAATCTAATTAAGGGCCGAATCTAAATACATAGCACATCTGCAATTGATGATTGTGAGTAACCAATCAGAGCATTCGGATCCATATGAGTTCCGTGGTGATGGTTGAAATTTGTGCAAAAGACACGGTGGGTCGTTTGGTTGTTTCTCCACCAAAGCGTTCTTTGATGTTTGCACTATCTTTCCATCAACATCACTTTCCATATTTTCCAAACACAAAACATCAACTGCCTATCGGTATACACCCTTTGCTACTAATAAAGCTACCCATTCTTATCAACACAATACCATCATCGTTAACAATGGCCATTACTAGCAAAGCGACGCTCCCCACCAAGAGTAGCAACAAGAAGGGTCCTCGCAAAACCTCAAGTTTGCCTACCGAAACAGTCGAATACCTGAAGGCTTGGATGATGTCTCCTGAACACATTGCCCATCCTTACCCCACTGAACCTGAAAAGGCTCAAATCATGGCCGACACAGGCATCGAACTCAAGCAACTGACCAACTGGTTTGTCAATAACCGCAAACGCTACTGGAAGCCACGAGTGGAAGCCCGCCTCCAGCAACAAGCGCGAGCTGCAGCTGCTGCGGCTCAAGCCCACGCCGCTGCGGTTGCCGTTGCGAATGCGTCAGCAGCCCACACGAACCCAGTTTCTCCAGAACAAGGCTACAAGCCTTCTCTCCCACTCCCCCATGCTGGCAATGGCTTTGTTACGTTCGACTTGGGAAACCCAAGTGTTCCCACAAACAGCAACAACAACACCACCACCACCACCAAGCTTCCATCCAGGAGGTATACGCACTTGGTGGACACGGACATGGCACGCGTCATGGCGGATCATACTGCTAATGCGGACCGTGACGAGCGCATCGTCAGCGAGAACTCCAGTTCTGCTTCTGTCACTGCCTCGGACGAAGGCACGATTAGTGACTCTGCGACCTATCAAGAAGAGGAAGAAGAAGAAGAGGAAGAAATTGTTCAACACAATTCTTTCAAGACCTGCTCTCCAAGTGAACTTGACCAACAACAAAAACAAAAACAAGTGCAACATGTGCAACATGAGCAAATGGAGTACGAAGAAGATTACTCCAGCGAACAAACGACTGGAGAGTCCTCCTCTTCCGTCTCAATAGCATCTTCGGCACGTGCTACTATTTCGCTTTCTTCTTTCGAAGAGTCTGCACCCACTACTACTGCCACCAAGAAGCGAGTCTTTGTTGCGGCTCCCACTGTTGTCACTGAAACAACCGAGCCTCGCAAAAAATTCCGAAGGGTCAGTATTGGACTCTGGCGAGAGACTTGCCAAAAGGCAGCGAATGTCTACGACGACGATGCCCTCCCAAGTCTGGAAGAAGCGACGCAGCTATTTGGTTTCAGCCATTAAAAACAAACAAGCTACAGCCGAAATGAACTATTTTATGATGCAAGAGAAATAATGTGAAAGAAAAAAAAAGTCCTCCAGAAGCAAGTCAGCTCTTGGCGACACTTATTTTCGCTCATGCGTCCAATATACGCACCATGTATGCCTGCCTACCTATTATACACTCCCTGTGGCTTTTGAAAGAAAAAAAGAAGCCTAGTCGACAGTTTAGATTTTTAGATATGATGATCGAAGTGTACAGTTAAATTATTACTATATGAATAATACATGTAAAGAACAACAAAAAGTTTAAAATGATAATACAGAATATTTCTACCTAGTTTAGCAGGATCTGGCAGGCAATTCAAGGATCAGGTTGGATTCAGCAGGTGTCGACCGCATATATCATAGTTACCAAGGTATCCTCTTCTGATGACGATTTTGTCGAAAATATCATTTTTCGACAGTGTGCGTCAACCTACCTAGCATGCATACATCACTACAGTAATGAGTGAAAAAATGCAAATCTAGTGCGTACAATAGTACTAGTACTACTACTGTACACTACTGTACCGGTATATTTATATACCTGTACTGGTACCTGGCACCTGGTACTGTGTGGTACTATCAAGAGTACGTACTGAATGAAGTCCAGTATTGTACTAGAAACTGGGGCATTGTTTAGGCTTTATCGGACCAAAAGAGTCAGTCAGACGATTTTCTGCGTGTCAAAAGAAGATCCAAACAGAAAGTTGAGAAAAATTGACAGGAGCAGACACAAAACAAACCAACGTTCGAAATCATTTTATAAATATTATATGAGTGAAACCAAGTCTTTAGTCTGCGCCATTGGATCCGAGTCCACAGCATTATCCGATGATGACATTCGTCGTGAGATCAAAGGATTGTTGGATTCACTTGGAACAAAAGAAGATGTTCTTCTCTTGCCAGTAGGTTTTATTTGATTCATTCTCGACTGGCACATTATATTGTATTCGACTTTTTGACGTGCAATGTTTCTCACTCTTGCCCTATTATTGACATTGCCAATTAAATATTATAGCCAGACTTTACGCGGTTCCATTCTCAGTCTGGAAAGGTCACGCAAATGATTACGGATTACTATGGCTTTACGACTGGCGGTGGCGACAACAAGACGCAAAAGGATGATAATGATGACACTACTACCACTGCTAAGAATGTCCCGTCCGTGACAATTCTTCCTACTCTAGGGACACATGCTCCCATGACACAACAACAGATCAAGATTATGTATGGCGATGAGGTACTGTATGACGACGGCGGAAATTTTATTATAGATGGGATGATGATTCTTCGCAAGTGATGGCGAGGTCGTGTCTTGTCCCTACTATGCAATCTGACGCTCACCATCCACGTTCGTTGTCCGAATGCATCTTTTAGTTGGCCGCCAAAGACCCAAGTCCATTTGTCGTGCATGATTGGAGAAACGATGTGGAAACCATTGGTCACGTTCCGAGTGAAATGGTAGGTCTTACGATGCTATCGTATGGATGCTGCTTCGTGTAATCGATCATGTCATTCAATAGTATATTGACTTCCTGACTGACTCTTGCAACTATATATATGTTTGTCATGTTTGTTTATAGGTCCGAGAGGCAACCAGAGGAATGGTGGACAAGCCATGGCCTGCTCAGCTCAATAAAATAGTATGGGAAAAGCGAAATAAAAAGAAGACAGTGGTATTCTCAATAGGACAGGTGGTTCCACACGAAGTCATGGGTGAGTTAGTGTTTGATTGAATGATCGATTGTCATGGAACAGCATAATATACTATCTGCTTCCGATTGATTCCCGCTAACATTGGATACCATTCTATCTCTCTCTCTCTCTTTTTCGTCTGACACGACGACGTGCATAGGAATGGCAAATTTCAACAAGAACATGTTTGTAGGTGCTGGTGGACTTGAAGCCATCAATCTATCTCATTTCATTGGTGCTGTATATGGTATGGAGAACATGATGGGCCGAGCAGAAAATCCCCTGCGGTCCATCTTGAATCATGCCAGTGAGAATTTCTTGGGGGAGCTGGAGCTATGGTACATTTTGACAGTCATTGGTGCTAATGAAAAAGGCGAATTGGAAATGAAGGGACTCTTCATTGGGAACGACATTCAATGTTATACGAAAGCATGTGAGCTGAGTCTAAAAGTCAACTTTTCCATGTTGGGCAGATCACCCAAGAAGATTGTGGTGTACTTGGATGAAGATGAATTCCATTCTACATGGTTGGGGAACAAGGCAATTTATAGAACTCGAATGGCTATAGCAGATGAGGGAGAGCTCATTATCCTCGGACCTGGAATCAGAAAGTTTGGCGAGGACAAGCAAGTCGACGTACTGATTCGAAAATATGGTTACATTGGTACACCCAACATTATGAAAGCAATGGAAGAAAACGAAGATCTCAACGACAGTCTGGGGACCGTAGCACATCTCATTCATGGTAGTTCCGAAGGTCGCTTTTCCATTACGTACTGCCCTGGCCATCTGAGCCAAGAGGAAATTGAGTCGGTTGGCTTCAAATATGCACCACTTTCGGAAATGAGCAAAAAGTATGACGTGGGGAAACTTCTCGATGGATGGCATCAAGATCCAGAATCTGGGGAAGAGTTCTTTTTCATCAAGAACCCTGCATTAGGCCTATGGGCAGTGCCCAGTAGATTCGATTAGCATCCTCTTCAGTATTATAGACAACAGTACAAAGTAACGCTAACGCTGCTGTACAGTACAGTATTTCACGAATAGTTCGACTCATTCAACCTGACAGAAGGACAGGCACCAACATCGCTATCATCAATCATTGTAATGCATCCATCATCTATCGTTGACATTCAGCAGAGCATGACAACAACCAGATGACCGCCAACCCACTTCTCGTCCGTGGAAAACAGCCATTTCGTGTCATAGCTGCTCGAAGTATAAACCTTTCATCTTTCTCCAGATCTGACAAACGACATCGACATGACATTCTTCGCCGAGCGGTTGCCACACCACCACATCAATGCTATCCGGAAACAAAATCTATTCTCGTCAGATCCTTAAGAACTATGCTAGAAAACAAAATTCTAGGTCCTCTTGGATCACCAACGAGGGAAGACCTCAACGAGGCGGAAAACCAGTTGCTCGAGTCAGTGTCGCAACGCAATAAAGCTGGATTTGAACAGGCCAAGTCCATACTATTACGCCTGGCAAAAGAGCAAGCGTATCTTCAGTCTCAGAAAGAGAAAGTAGAAGAATCAGAGAGAAACGCACCCATCAACTACGTGGTAGATTCTTTTATTTTGAATCAGGTAATTGATTGTTGGAGGACGTGTTGGCGAGATCATATGATTGATGTATCGCCTGCAGATATTCTCAAGCTCATTGACACTTTGGAGTCCAATGGAGTAGTATCCGACAGTAGAACGGTAACAATGGTAATTGACGGGATTACGCTACGGGGAGATCATCACGAGGCTCCCTTGCTGGCCCAATGGCTATTGGACCGACGGATGCAGCTCGCGGAAAGCCGGCCTGAATTGAGGCCTGATACGGTCATGATCACCAACGTCATTCGAGCATGGGGAAAGAGTAAACGAATTGAAGCTCCCGAAATGGCCGAGGGTCTCTTACAACTGATGCACGATCTGCACGAGAACGGAGAATGGATAGACTCTGGCCCAAACACATTGAGCTACAGTGCAACGATGGAGGCATGGGCCAACAGCAAATCTCGTGAAGCAAGCGAAAAGATGGAAGCCCTTCTCGAGGAAATGAAGCAATCCAGTGTGGAAGCGGTCCGACCAGATCGTGTGTCATACTTGTATGTCATCAATTCGTGGGTACATTCCAAGTCACCCGATGGACCAGATCGTGCCAATGCCTTGATGCAAGAAATGTTACAGCTCTACAACAATGGAAATGACGACGTGGTTCCAGATGTGTCTATATTTTCCAATGTAATGGTGGCCTATGCTAGACGAGGGAGAGCAAAAGAGGTGGAGACATTGCACGAGCAACTTCAAGACGTGTATTCGAGCACAGGAGACCCCAGGTTTAAACCAAATGCTGATTGTGCAAAAGCATTAATCATCGCATTGTCCAAGCACGGCGCTCAAGCTGAGGCAGAAGGACTGCTAGACGAGTTGGTCGAGCGAGCACTTTTGGAGCAAGATCCACGGATAATGCCGAAACGGAGCTACTTTGTCGACGTGCTTGTGGGCTGGACTAAGGACAGGGACAAGAAAAGAGCCTCGGAACAATCACAAAGGGTTCTTATGCGCCTCTTAGAGCTTTCCAAGTCCGGATATCCTGAACTGATGCCCGATGCAAAGAGCTTTGAAAAGGTGATGCAAGCATGGTCAAAGACGAACAATCCGAAGGCTCCAATGAGTGTCGATACGCTACTCTCACGAATGAAGAATGAATACACGAAAACAAAGAATGAGGCTGTGAAGCCCAATGCCAGAACTTTCGAGTTAGCCCTTCTTACTTGGTCACGCTCAAGACAGCCAGAAGCACCCGATCGTGCTGAAGCCTTGTTGCAAGAAATGGAACGTACTTACTTGGATGGTGACGAATCCATGAGACCTAGTCGTGGTGCGTACACTACACTGATGGTGACCTGGCAGCGAAGCAAGAGAAAGAATGCTTCTTCAAAGGTGTTGGATGCGTTCGAAGACCTCCGACAAAAGTATATCGATGGAGAAATCCACCTCCGTCCTGATGCGTACGTCTACAGTGTCGTGGTCGACTCGTTTGCTCAGCAAGGTGATGCCGTTGGAGCGCAGACTATTTTCGATACCATGCTAGAAGAGTATTGTAATGGCAACGAAGAAGCAAAGCCGGACATTGAATCCTATAACAAACTACTCAGGGCGTACACTTTCTCAAAAGACAATGAAAAGGCGCAAAAGGCTGAAAAGCTATTTCAAGGCATCAAAAATCTCGGCCTTGGCCTGTCTCCCAACCGTCAAACACTAATTGAGATGATTTCGGTTTGGTCCTTCAGTCACGATGATCCCATAGCAGCGGAAATGTGTGAACAGTATTTTGTGGAACTGAAACGCAAAAATTATGAAGCTACTGTAGCAACCTATACCAATGTCATCAATGCATTGAACAAGAGTAAAGACCCGACGGCTGTAAGCCGTGCCAAAAAGCTGCTCGAAGCTTTGATACACGATGTGGAGGAAGGCTTCGTCCAGAAACCGTTTTTCAACCCATACAAGAAGTTCCTTCAGACAGTTTCCCGAAGCAACATTCCGCGTCGAAATGAACAAGCAAAGAAACTTCTCCGATCATTGAATCCAAAGACACCAATTACGCGCAAGCTATTGCCGCCCTTGTAACAGTATGGCAAATGTAACATTGACATTTGGCACTGTACTTTTACTTTCTCTTTCAATCATTGACCATTCATCATTATCTACTCGACGAGTCTGAAGTCTGTCGGTCTATACGGCTTTGTCGTCTGTCGTCACCACCATCTCATGATGGAGGATGATTCGACACATTATTTCACATAAAATCGACAACATCAAATCCTCAAGATGGGAAAGAAGAAGGGAAAGAAAGCCGACGATGAGAAAAAGGCCGCTCTCCAGGCTCGAAAGGAAGCCAAAGCTGAAAAGGCTGCAAGAAAGAAACTTGTAAAGCAGTCTGGGAATGATGTCCTAGCTGCCACGGAAGACGAGGAACTCGACAAAGTGCTTCAAGCGTACAAGAGTCAAGACAAGGTTGAAAATGTGGAAAAAGCAACTCTACAAGATATTGAGACAGAATTTCCTCTAGCGAGAGCAAACGCTACCTTTGTATCTTGTGTGGACGAGAAGAAGGACTACTTCTATCTTTTTGGGGGAGAATACTATGACGGAATCGAAAATGTGTTGCTGGACGACTTGCTTCGACTGGATGTGGCAAAGCAGGAATGGAAAAGGGTTCTTACATCCCCTAGACCACCAGCAAGATGTGCTCACTCGTGTATATCATATAAACAAAGTCTATACGTTTTCGGCGGGGAGTTGGCTACTGCTAGTGAATACCATCACTACAGAGATCTCTGGAAGTTTGACTTGAAGACACTAAAGTGGACGGAAATCATGGCTAGAAACCCTCCATCCGCAAGATCTGGACATGCATGTTTTTTATGGAAGTCATATATGGTCCTCTTTGGAGGCTTCTTTGAAGCTGCTCGAGAGACAAAGTTCTATTCCGACCTTCACGTCTTTAACTTGCAAACAGAACAATGGATGGCCTTGCCAGCTTCGCGACTGTCCATGAAGCCGGAGCCACGGAGTGCCTGCAACGTTGGTATATTTGGTGACAAGGCTCTTGTCCATGGCGGTTTTACCAAGCTTAAAACAGCAACATCTACGACAGAAACAAAAGTTCACACGGATGCATGGGTATTGGTAAGAAGGGATTGTTCGATGATGTCATGACGATTTCTTGGAACGTGTTCTTACTGTCTATTCGTAAATTGTAGAACCTTTCTCCTTTGCAGCAACAGAAAGCACCAACATGGGAACGATGGATTTCGTCCGCCAAGGGCAACGCTGAACTCAGACCTCCCAATGGTCGGGCTGGAACATCGTCTGTGACATACAAGAATCGATTACTAGTTTTTGGAGGCGTTCGTGATTTTGAACAACTGCATCACAAGGTGGACAGTATCTTCTACAATGACTTGGTGGCGCTTGACGTGGAACGGCGCAAATGGTTTCCCCTCCGTGTGAAAGAGAAAGCGCAGGGTGGCAAACGACGTCGACGAAAGCCAAAAGAAGATGGCACGGAGGAAGAAGAGAGTGTTAACGAAGAAGGCGAGGAGAGCAGCTCTGATATCGAAGAGGAGGATGAAGAAGAAGGAGACCCCAACGATCAAACTGGATGGGACATTGACATGCTCCGAGCAAATATGTTTGCATTTGTGGACGGTGACGGAAACATTGTATATGAAAAAATTGAAGACCCCGACGCCAAGGTAGAACCAATCGAAGAGAAGGAAGAAGAGAAGGAGGAAGAAGAAGAAGAAAAAGAGGAGGAGGACGACGACGAAGAGGAAAAGGAAGAAGAGAAAGAGGAAGAAAAGGAGAAGGAAGAAGGAAAGGAGGAAAAGCCGAGGAGTGGTTCATTGATTCACAAGAAGATCGCATCATCGTCGGTGATGGTCTTAAATCCTGAAACTCAAGCCCCAGAAGCTGTCGAACGAACGGAACCACTGCCGCGAATCAACCCATCTCTGTTGGTTCATGGGAACATGATGTACCTAATGGGGGGTATTCTGGAGGTTGGAGACCGTGAAATCACATTGGATGACTTCTGGGCTTTGGACCTTCGCAAACGAGAAAAGTGGGAATGTCTTTGGAAGGGAACAATGCACAATCAAGTCTGGAGGGGCGCTATCCACGATGATGATGACAGTTACATTAGCACCGGAAGAGACGATGATTCAGACGACGACTTTGGTTCCAGTGATGACGAGGATGACATGATGCAATCTCCCGATGACAAGAAATCAAAGAAGAATAAAAGAGCAGGACTGAAAGAGGAAATTGCCGAACTCAATGTCAAACACAATTTGGACGACGAGAATAGGACCCCAAATCCGGACGAGGCTCTTGCGGACTTTTATTCGCGAACATCCGAATACTGGAACGGGCAGGCAGCGGAAGCTGTGCTAAATACCGGCGAAGAGCTATCCAATAAGGAGTTGAAACGAGAAGGATTCAACCTTGCAAAAGTACGATTTGACGAGCTGAAACCTGTGCTTGATCGGCTAATGGAGTTGAGCCTGGAGAGGAAGGCAGGAAAAGAAGAACGGAAATCGAAAGACGACAAGAAGAAAGACAAGAAAAGTAAACGAAAATAGTAACTAGTCTTCGAATTGAACTCCTACATACACACTGAATATCTCTATGATATTTAGGGCGTGCATCGATTGGGGTCTCTTGGGAACATTGATGCCTTTCGTACATTGTCAAGTCCTAGGTACAAGAACACAACTCGCTCCAACCCGATACCTGCTCCAGCGTGAGGGAAGACTCCGTGGCGAAAGGACTCAACGTAGGATTCGAGGCCTTCGCCAGCTTCAATGCCCTTCTCCTTCAAAAGCTCAGTCACCAAATCGGGGTCATGACACCGTTGTGCGCCAGAGCAAATCTCTTGTCCGCGAATGAAAATATCGTAGGAATTGGAAAACTTGGGATTCTCAGGATCGGGCATGGTGTAGAATGGTCTAATTTCCATGGGATACTTGTCAAGCATAAAGAAATCAGTCCCGTACTTTTCTTTGATCACTTTTCCAAGAGCAAGTTCCTATTAAAAACACACACAGGAGGTGAGTGACAGCTTCGTTGCGCACCCCATTGCTGATCACAAAAACCCAAAACCGCGAGGGATCTTACCATTGCTCCACTCAAATCACTCATGCCTTCGCCAATATCAAAGCCTTCTGATTTGAGAATCTCCATGGCCTCTGGCCAATGAATCACGCACGGTTCTTCCGTGAACGTGCAAGGTTCCGAGGCATATTGCTCACGAATGACAACAAGTTCCTTTGCCATTCTAGATTCCAAGTTGGTGAAGATGTGCTTGAACATATTGTGAATAACTTCCAAAGTCTCCATGTAGTGATCGTTGATTGCCATTTCCAAATCTAGTCCAGTGAACTCGCAGAGGTGGCGACGGGTGTGTGACTTTTCGGCACGAAAGACGGGTCCAATTTCAAATACACGGGTCAAATCGGACGAGATGGCCATTTGCTTGTACAGCTGAGGTGATTGGGCGAGACAAGCAGTCGTTCCAAAGTAGTCAGTTGTGAATACACCAGCACCACTCTCACTTTCTCCAGCAATCAACTTGGGAGTATGGATCTCGATGAAGCCTTGAGAATACAAGGATTCACGGAACAATTGACAGATCATAGATTGGACTCTCATAATGGCGTTGTTTGCCGGAGCTCTCAAATCCATCCATCGGTTATCCAATCTCAATTCTTGTCCTAGTCGTGGGAAGGGACGATCTGTTTCTTGAGATGCCTCGACTTCAGCCTCACTTCTAGATGCGTCTTCGACCAAAAATGGAAGGATGGAGGCAGCCTTGGTAACTGAATGAATGCGACCGATTTGAAGTTCCACGCCCTTGATGGAACAAGACCTAACCTCTGATTCCGTAAGAGTGCCCTCGATATCCACCACACTTTCCACAGTCAAAGATTTGAGGTACTTGAGCATTTTTTTCGAGAATTCTGGATTTTCCTTATCCTTGAAGAAACATGCTTGAACCGTGTTGAACGAATCTTGTCTCAAGACCAAAAAGCATGATCCACCCTTGACACGAATCGAGTCCAATCTCCCTCTCAACCAGACTTTGTCACCAGGCTTGTATTTGGTTTCCAAGTCTTCGACCACGGCAAATTCTCGTCCGGTTCGACTTCTGGACATGGTCCGCACCAAATCTCCAAAGGGTTCGTAGTTATCTTGTTCGTCATATGATAGGTAATTTACTTCATGAATTCTTTCTGCTTCTTCCCTAGCTGCTGCTTCTGCTGCTTTCTTGGCCTTCTTTTCTGCCTTTATGCGTTCCTTCTCCGCCCTGTTTGTAGTTTAAGTAGAAGAATGCATCATCAAGATGAGACACCACATTTTAGGATACAAGTTAGATCGATAGACGGCTGCAAGAATTCTTACTTTCTAGCTTCTCGCTCCGCTTTAATGGCGGCCTTTTCTTCTTCTGTCTTTTCCGTGGGAGCATCTTGTGTTGACATCCATCTCATGGTATTGGAGGCGGCACCCATTACTTGACCACGGCGGAGTGATGATGGAGCAAAGGCAGTTACGACACTTCGTCGAAGAAGGAACGACATGACGCCTGGAAGCAAGAAAACGGAGGAAGAGTAAAGTTTCATTTATTGCTGGAATAATCAACAAGAGAGGTTGTATCTGAAATAAACAAACAACGACCCAGTATTGTATCTAAAAGATTGATAAATTCTCAGAATGTTGTTGCCTTTGCTTCGTTTGGATGTGCGTGATGGGTACAAGTATTACACGCGGGGATGTGATGTGACGTTCGTCCTTCGAAATATTATCGCCGGACAAAGGAAAGACGGAGCGACCGATTGATTCAATTGACTTCTTCATCTTTCCACTCTTGATCTTTCGTGTCACCAATCGGTCGACATGACGTCATAGATTCTGATAAATGCCAAGAGACACGGAACATGTTGCTGGGATTGAAATGGGACCTTCTTTCTGCTCTTGAGATGCAAAGGTGTGTGTTCGGTAGATAAGACTAGCAAATGGTGCTACTGTACGTTACGTTTCGAATCTGTGTTGTTGAAATTATGTATATCTATGAGAATTATAGCGTGAAGTATCTATTGTAGTAGTAGTAGTAGTCACAGTAGTAGAGAGGCAGCAAATCGTCCAAGAGTACAAACCCTATGTTCAGCGAAGGATTGCCAAGACATCATCCAAAAGTTCATGTACTGATTCATCAGAGTGATTATCTTCGCGTGATCTTGATGGGAATTTCAATGGTGCATCTCCAGAGGATTGCAGATCCATGAATGTGATCATCTTGGACAGATTCATGGGACTGGAGCACCGTTTCGGTGTTGTGAGTTGTTTTTCACAACTTGAATCCCATCTATCTTTCTTGGCTCTGCCACGGATCTGCTTTGGTGATAAAGGGTCGGAATCTCGACGAAGCGAAGAGTCGAGACTCCTGGAGTGACCAGAACCATCGTTATCACTGCATGAGCTGAAGAGTGATCGTGAACTCTTCGCATTGTCGATTTGAATGTCAATATCTGATGCTGATACTGAATGCTCTTCTAGGAGACAAGACATGAAAGATTGGAGGCTGTTGCGAGTCATAGTGTAGTGTGTGTAGTGTGTGTAGGTATTGTATTTGCAAGTTTGTATGTATTGTAGTTGTGTTGGTTTCCAGAGTATAGTTCTAAAGAAAATTATGAAGGTGGGGTGACAAAAGTTACAAATGCAAGGGATAAGAGCTTATGCACAGTGAAGAGTGAAGCTTGGTACAGTTGCGGGGCTCTAAAACACGTACATGATTCTTCGGGACATCGCTTCAATAAAAACAAACGCTCTTACATAAGGGACGGTAACTCAGATCTATCAGAATTTAAGTCTAGAGTTCTGAATCCCAAAATTTGGGGAACAGTTCGTTCGACACTAAAAAATCACTGTATTTAATGGTTGCTTCTCATGAGAATTTTCCCAAGACATCACTTCTTAGCCACCGTCAAGGCAGCTTGTGTGATCGCAAAAACCCAGGTATCTGATTGGTCCATTGAAGCTTCTGACTCAGCAAACAGATTTTTCGCTTTTGAGAGCACCAACTTCGGGTTGAACTGATACCAAAACGAGAAGGCGGCGTTGGATATCTATCGACCCCTCTCGCGAATTGCACATGGTGGCTGGTTGACGCGTGGGGTTCCCATATTCAAGATCAGATTAAGCGCTCTACAAGTACCTCATTCTTGTGCTTACATAGGCTCTTTTCATTTCCAAACTGGTGGGACTTGACCAATGTCCAAAACCGGAAAACACTTCCGAGTGATAGCGTACTGGTACCTCCGTCAAGATGTTGCTACCAATCTTGCACAATAATAAAAGAGATTGCTATCCACCAGCGAACGGGTAGGATTGATTATACCACCATGACTCTATCTTCCTTCTTGGCCTCAACTTTGGTCTTCCTTTTATGCGTTGACAATGTGCATCACGTACATGGACTACCTGCTGAGGTTCATCCTCGTCAACTTGAAAGCGACACCGTTTTGGCAGAAGCCTTTCTGTGTGATGCTGATTTCAACAAGATATCCTCTGATAATGTCGTCAATAAGGGAGACCTTATCCGGATATGTGTCAAGACACATGTACGAGCCAAGGTTCAAGGTATTTCCATTGCCAAGGTCATCGACTTTTTTCTTGTACGAGAGTTTGAAGATGCTGGTGACATGGAACAAATATTGCTTCAAGGTGGAGTTGTGGCAAATGCCAATGACGAATTGACATGCCAACCAGGATCCGAACTATGTGTTCTCGAATCCGCTCCAATGGATGCGTTTTTTGGACGGGATGGCACGGTATCTGCGATTGGTAGTGTACTATTGCAGTATGATGACAATGATGTCGGAACATCTATTCCTACCGTAACTGTGACTACCGCTCCAACAATAGCTCCAACATCCTTGACACCGCCGCTTGCTCCAACAAGTGCTCCAACAACAACAACAAGTACTCCTCAAAACGAGACCGAGACGCTTGTTCCAACTTCTACTAACGAAACGGAAACAGCTGTCACTCCTGCTCAATTTGGCAATCGGCAACTCCTACTGGATTCCAGAGTCATTGTGGAGACATCTTTCACTGTGGTGACTGCTGGAAGTGGAACTGGTTTCCTCAGTGACTTTCGGGAACATTGGGATTCCTCACCAACCTCCATCAAGGTGTTGTACGTCTTTGCATTTCTATTTTGCTTTATGATCCTTTTTGGGTTGGGACTGGGGCTCTTGCTGTGGGCCGGGTTTTGTGGCAACACCACGGAGCTTCGAGAGAGGTTGAATCCATTATTGTCACGGGAACAAAATAATGCAGCACCGGGCAAGGAGACGAACAGAGACGATCACACAATGGACGAATCGGTTGGTGCTTTTTCACCAGCATTTGCCCGAAACAAGGAACCAGATCATTATGACGACGAACCCGAAACAATACCGAAGCAGATTGGTTTCAAGAGACCATTTGCATCATCTGGGGGACCTGATATGGAAGCCCCTGGTACGGATGATGTTGCAGCACCAGGGCGAAAACCGCGAAGACCGAGAAATTCTGCAGCCAACAAGACATCCCGAGAACGAAACTCGGCATACAAGGCAAGAATGGCACGGAACAACTACAGACAAACTGCAAATCCAAATCGAGATTTGGCAGCAAGCTTTCTCAACAACTTCCCAAGGAGAAAAGTTGCGTCGGTCCGGTCCAAGACTCCACGATCCATCCACGAACGAAATCGACCATCGGTTGGAAGCAGCAATGTAGTCGACGACATGCCTCGTGAAAAGACGGCTTCTGGTATTCGATGGTTGAGAGAGAGGGACCAACTCCAACAAAGTACACATTCCACGAATACTACTGGATCGAGAAGAAGTGTCAACCAACAAAAACTCCAAGGAAGCTCACATGTATCGGGGCTTGCACCACGCCGAGGTGGTATTGCATTGCATGGAAATCCCATACCAAAGTCTTCACAAAGACCCATACCAATGCCTTCACAAAGGCCCATACCAAAGTCTTCACAAAGGCCCACTTACCCAAAGCCTCTAATGGAGCCAATTCCAGATATTCCAGAGAATTTTCCTTCAACCGACAATGATGAATCGAGTCGAAGAGTTCACTTTGACGTCGAATCCTCACCAGATATGAATGGTGACGATATTCGACACGGAAAAGACAACCCCAGGCCAATCGACTAGTCTCCGTAGAGTAGGACGCATTTAAGGATGAAGTATTGTAAACTCCTAGATATGTAATACAATAACTGAAAATCTATTGATATGAATATGTTCTAATCTAGACGGTCTTCTTCTTGGATGCTTCGTCGTTGTGAACTCCAACGTATCGCTCGTATCCCCAATACACTAGGGTAAAGACAATGCCATATAGCGTCATCACCGCCATTAGTGGACCTTGCTGTGGGTGAACCTTGCTCAAGGCTCCACCAATCATGGGACCAGCAATTCCAGCCATGCTTTCTACCGAGGACAAGACTCCGAAGAGTCCTCCAAGCTCTTGGGGACTGGCAATCTTACTAGTATCTGCCGTGAATATTGTGTTGACAATTCCAAGCGCTGTGATGATTCCACAAAAGATAGCATAAACTGCCACAATGCTATTGGTTTGGTAGGCAAACATGCGGCCACCACCCAGTACCAAACTGCACACCAGCAAAATTCGTGCCCGACCCTTATTGGTGCTGGCAAATTTTTGAATCAAGAACTTGGCCAAGAATCCTTGTGAAATTGCATAGGCAAATCCAATAAAACCAAAGTATTGGCCATACTCTTTTGGTCCAAAGTTGAATCGTTCCTTCAATGCAACGGTCCATATCGTTTGAAAAATGTGAAAGGCGAGGGTCATGCAGACTCGTGCCGACATGATGAACAAGGCCGGTGGTGTTCTTGCAGCTGGAACAAAGTCTGGAACTATCTTGGACCACCACTTTTTGGGAGCAGTCGATGCTTCCGAGTTCTTGTCGCTTTCGCCGTTCTGGTTTGGTTTGGACGACGAATGTTCTTTTGGTGTTGGGAGCAAGAAAATAAAGAGGGCTGCTACTAGCAAGCAAAATGCGGCACATGCAGCCGCTTGTTCGTAAGTCGACAGAAGCTTGGAACTTGCCAATGGCCCAATCATGAATGCTAGTCCTGCCGCCATCCCTAATTTTCCGACACTGCCAGCCCGTTCTGCGGAACCTGCTGATTCCCCATGATAGTCACCAAAGAGAGCCTTGAGTACTGTGAAATTCTGATTCAGCAAGGCTGCTGGTACAAGACTCATCCAGAAAGTAGACATCGTTGATGCCTGAGAGGCAATAAGAAGTTCCGCGGCTGACGCGAAAATACCAATCAGCAAACAAAATTTGCGAGCACCACCCAGTCTGTCGAGCGCTTTTGAATCCGACAGGCGACCCACAATAGTGGAACCGACCAATGTCAGAGTAGATCTTGCTGAAGTCATGCTTCCAATACACAACGAATCACATCCCAGAGCATCTCTTCGACTTTGCATGTGGCCCATTGTGACGGAGTTGGCCGTGATGGCAAAGGCCAAAGATATCGTCCCATAAAGAAATCCCCGGTGATGGGAGGTGGCAGCATCTGAGTTGGTCGTGTGTATACTCTCTTTCGTTTCAATTGTTGGTTTACACATGATGAAAAGGTGTGATTCCAAAGTTGTGATCTCGCCTGCTCAATGATGATGATGATGATGACGACGACGATGATTCATGTTTGGAAGGAAAAAATAACACGTGGTGTGTGCCGTTCGATGAAGTTCCTTCTATTTGCGGGACTGAATACTCATGATTCAAACGGTCTGAGACCTGAGACACGAGGTACGGTACCGGTACCTGGTATCAGTACAGTTGAAGGTTATTGTTTTATGGGTATAGTGAAGGTTTGATAGTCTATGACGAAATCACCAAATGTGTCAGCTGCCTCCAGAGATCGGGTTGCCAGCCTCTTCCCGTTCCACCACCGAAACATAATTACTAGATGAAGCAATATGAATGTTGCTTCCAGACACGGGCAATGGAGCGCTAAATTCTCCGTTGGCATCTTCATCGTCAACAACAACACAACGATCCTCCAGAACCGGAGAGGGTGCCATCTCATAAACGATCATTCCACTCAGCACAAACACCAATGCCAAGAAGAATAGTGGATGAGGAATGATATGCTCGAAGAAAACCGAAAAGATAACTGACCACAAGTCTCCTGTCAACAGTGACAATGCAAAGAAGGTTGCTTCGGAAATTTGAAATAAATGAGAGCCGAGGACATAGGCAAAAGCAGTGCACCCCACATAGGCTGCCAATATCCACCATCGCTCCGTGTGACAAGTCGCTATCCCTCCATCTAATTCCATATCTCTTCCAAAGAATGCGAGAATCTCATCTGGGTGGACAATCCAAGCCTGAATCGTGGCAAGGATAAAGCCAAAAAAGCCCATATTACCAAGATATTCGGCCGAATCATTGCTTCCTCGAATGGTGATTTCCACCATGACATTGATCACACCGTACATAATACCACCAGCAATAGCACAAAGATCTCCTCGTAATTTGTGGGGATACTCTTCCTCTTCTTCGATATTTTGATCGTCGTCGTAGTCTTTCCACATGTTTAGGACGACGCCCACCATACAAATCAGGACTCCACCAAAGTGGATCCACGTATACTTTCTGGAAAACAAACATCTTGACAATAACATTGCTGTAGGAATAGCAAGATTGTCAAATAGTGTAATGGAGGTCAAGGTGGTGTATTGGAACGCCGAAGCAATAAGGACATTGGCTTCGAGATCAAAAAAGGCTAACATGCAGTACTGCCACATTGGTTTGTGCATTGGGAATAAACCAAAGAAGGAGTGCGACAATGGCGCATCTTCAGTGGTCGATGATGATTCCTTGCGCTCTATGACATCATTGTAGGGCATAGTTGAATCAACTTCGTCGTTGAAAGAAGAAGTTAGGTCGGGTGACGACTCTTCCGTATCCAGAGGTTGGTGATGTAAGTGCCTCCTACGTTTCCAGAGAAGCAAAACATACCATGACAGTATGAAATAATAAAGTGATACCACAAATGATGGTGCATTCAAGTGACAATCTAGATTCAGTGTTGCCAGAGCGGCTCCGGCAGAGGCGCCACTGAAACTGATCAATTGCCCCAAGGCCAGAGCTTTCCAATCGATTGATGGTGTTTTTCGTCTGATCCAATTGCAACAGCAGCAGATGTAGGAGAACTTGTAAGTGTAGGAGTAATCATAGTCTCCAAATCTGAAGGTATCAGTGGATGAGGAACTTTCCCCGCCAAAAGGCTTGGAATTGGTTCTGCCTTTTAACTCGTGGCAGGGTGCAGGTTGAAAGCCATTTTCTGAAGTATCATGCTCGTCACTGCTTGTCTCTTCTGCTTCGTTTCTTGGATTATCATTCTCGTCACTGGCTGTTGGGCTCACCATTTTTGACTGCAAAGTCAGCTTCTAGCGCAACTATCTGAGATCGCCTACTGGCGCTCTTATTCTTGGACCTGTCTGCAGAGCTGGTGGGTTTCAGTTGTGGTGTGAATAGCTGGTCTTTTGGGTCAAAAGGGGACCCGGAAGACCAATCTCAGGAATCAATCCCGTAAACAAATCAAAGCATTTCATGAATTATGTGCTTTTATGGTGTGAATGTAGAAAATCTAAAGTGTCTGGCGATGTTACATAATTATTATTAAAATAACATATGTACAATATCAATGGAGATGGCGCCCATGCAAAAACGCTGAGTAAAAGCTACGCAATCTTACGAGCCCCCTCACACGGACAACAGAGTAAGGATGGCACCAGATAATAGTACTGTTTCTTTTAAAAAGACCAAATCGTCAAATGTGTCATCTGCCTTTAGGGATCGAGTTGTCAGCTTCTTCCCCTTCCACCACCGAAACATAATTACTAGATGGAGCAATATGAATATTGTTTGCAGACACGGGCAATGACCCTCTCAGTCCTCCGTTGGCATCTTCATCGTAAACCACAGCACAACGATCTTCAAGGACAGGAGAGGGTGCCATTTCATAAACGAGCATTCCACTCAATACAAACACCAATGCCAAGAAGAATAGTGGATGAGGAATGATATGCTCGAAGAAAACCGAAAAGATAACCGACCACAAGTCTCCTGTCAACAGTGACAATGCAAAGAAAGTAGCTTCGGAAATTTGAAAGAAACGAGAGGCACCAGCATAGGCAAAAGCAGTACACCCCACATAGGCTGCTAATATCCACCATCGCTCCGTGTGACAAGTCGCTACCCCTCCATCTAATTCCATGTATCCAAAGAATGCGAGGATCTCATCTGGATGGACAATCCAAGCCTGAATGGTAGCAAGGATGAAGCCAAAGAACCCCATAATACCAAGATACTCGGCCGAATCACTGCTTCCTCGAATGGTGACTTCCACCATTACATTACTCACACCGTACATAATACCACCAGCAATAGCACAAAGATCTCCTCGTAGTTTGTGGGGATACTCTTCTTGTTCCTCGATATTTTGATCGTCGTCGTAGTCTTGCCACATGTTTACGACGACGCCCACCATACAAATCAGGACTCCACCAAAGTGGATCCACGTATACTTTCTGGAAAACAAACATCTTGACAATAACATTGCTGTAGGAATCGCAAGATTGTCAAACAGTGTAATGGAGGTCAAGGTGGTGTATTGGAATGCCGAAGCAGTAATCACATTGGCTTCGAGATCAATCAAGGCCAACATGCAGTATTGCCACATTGGTTTGTGCATTGGGAATAAACCAAAGAAGGAGTGTGACGATGATACATCTTCAGCGGAAGATGATGATTCCTTGCGCAATATGACATCATTCGGGTGGTCATTATAGGGCACAGTTGAACTAACTTCGTCGTTGAATGTCAAAGTTAGGTCGGGTGACGACTCTTCCGTATCCAAAGGTTGGTGGTGTAGATGTCTCTTGCGTTTCCAGAGAAGCAAAACGTGCCATGACAGTATGAAATAATAAAGTGATACCACAAATGATGGTGCATTCAAGTGACAGTCTAGATTCAGTGTTGCCAGAGCGGCTCCAGCCGAAGCGAGACTGAAACTGACCAATTGCCCCAAGGCCAGAGCTTTCCAATCGAGTGTTGGTGTTTTTCGTCTAATCCAATTGCAACAGCAGCAGATGTAGGAGGACTTGCTAGGGTAGGAATAATCATAGTCTCCATAGTCCAACGTATCAGTGGATGACGAACTTTCCATATCAAAAGGCTTAGAATTGGTTCTGCCTTTTAACTCGTGGCAGGGTGCAGGTTGAAAACCATTTTCTGAAGTATCACTGCTTGTCTCTTCTGCTCCGTTTCTTGGATCATCATTCTCGTCACTGGCTGTTGGGCTCATCATGTTTGACTGCAAATTCAGCTTCTACCACAAATCACGTGCAATTGAAGCACTTTTGTTCCTGTCCAATATAAGATACTACAGAAACAAAACGGTAGCTGATCAGATGATGGTATTTTTCGTTTCGAAGAGATTCGTGGCGCTATCTAAGATAGCCTACTGCCGTCCTCCGTGTGTGTGTTCGTAGTATTTTGTCTTGGTGTGTAGCTGGTGGGTTGTGGTGTGAAGCGGGTCGAACTGATCGAGTAATAGACTCGATTCGTTCGACCAATTACCGCGACACAAGTGGGTGAATTCAATCTCAGTCGATAAACTGGGCATCATTGCCTGGGCGCATCGACAACAACTTTTGACGGTCGAAGGCCGTTCGGCCTTTGTCCGTCTGTAACACAATGTAGTCAAAGAAATCGAACAGTGTGCCTGCGGTCTACGTTGGACTATCTAAGATAGCCTACTGCCGTCCTCCGTGTGTGTGTTCGTAGTATTTTGTCTTGGTGTGTAGCTGGTGGGTTGTGGTGTGAAGCGGGTCGAACTGATCGAGTAATAGACTCGATTCGTTCGACCAATCTCAGAAATCCCGTGTGCGGTATTACTGAGATCTGCTTTCCTACCACAAGGTTGATCTAGGAGTGACCAACCCAACACCACAAGCCACTTTGAGCACTCCAAGAGACAAACAAAAAGAACGCAAAGAACACGAAGAAGGAAGAAAAACGAGACCTATGAAAAAGACATCTTCATCACTCCAGTAATGGCCTTCTGCAACAGATCACCGACGCCTTGGAAGCAGTCACGCAAGTATGTGGGCACAGATGTCGGACTCCAGCGCAATTTAAACGCAATGTCGTCATTACTGGCTCCACCACGTTGAAGGCAAACTGCGGCAGTGATTCGGTTGGAATGAGGCTGGATGAGATGTTTGTTGCGTTGCATGTAGTGATTTTTATCTGGGTAGGCCAGATCCACTGAATGCTGCATCACTTTGCGAACATCAGAGTCGCGTAGAAATCGGTAGGTGCTGCCATTAGTACTGAATACCCCCATTGGTTCAACAGACGGAACCTTCAAAAGGTGGCATCGATGGACTATACTCACTGCAGCATCTATCGGATCAAAAATCGGATGTGACGTCAGGCGAAATCGACGGATGGTGAAGTTGTTGGCACTCTTGTCATAGCGCCAACGAATCTCCAACTCCAGAATCTCCCCTTTTAAATGTCGACAGAATACCAAATGATGTGGGACCAAACAGTGATTGCGATCATAGAAGCGGAAATCATCTGGAATGAACGCCAGTGGTGTATTGCGAAATTCTTCAGGGATGAAAGCAGATGCAGGGATTTTCATGAAACGCTGTCCTTTCGGGACCCGAGTCTGAGAGTATTCTGCACTGCGAAAGCCGGTGAAAACGCCCAATCGAGCCCAATCATATACTGCAAATGCTTTGCTCAAAAAACAAAGTGTTGGAGTAATGGAAGCAGAGAATTCGGCCAAGAGTTTTTCGAACATGAGCATTGAAAAAGGCTCACGTTTTGATCTTGGTTTCTTCCAAGACCGACAATCAGCAAGTTGTTGGGCTAAGAAGGGATGATATCGGCGTCCTTTGCCAGAGGAATGCGGGTCATATATATCAATGGAATGGTCCTGAACGACCTCAAGCCAACGATGAGCAGCAGACAGGTAATTTGTCATGGTCTGCGCACTCAAATCAGTGAGGTTGTCCAAATTGTTGCCACGCTGGACTGAATGCAAATAGGTACCCAGAAGTCGAAGAGTGTCAGCCCAGTCTAATCCTCGTAAATAGTGCTCGGAGCATTCCATGTCCTCGCAGAAGCGGGCAAAATGCGCAGCTCGAGATTCAAAAGATTGGTCGTTATTTGATCGTACCGTACCGCGGTCGATTGTGATGAAATCACGGACGCAATCGTTGAAAGCAGCTCGAAGGGGACTAGGCAAATGCGACAGTCGTCCAGCTGGGACCATTGCGCGATAACGGAGTCCAGAACATTTTGCTCTGGATTGGCGCTTGTGGGGGGGCGACTTAAGGCGTCCGCCACGTCGTTCTGATCGCCTGGCAAGTGTCGCTTAACAACCTTGGTTAGTAAAGCTGCAGCATGAACAAGCAGTGCTGCGCCCAAACGGGCAAGTCCTTGTAACAACGGATTTTTGGTGCGAGCGGCAAGAGACATCCATGCCAATGCAGTGGTGTTGTCCGCCAACAGAAGCAGAATGTAGCCCCCCGAACGGGGTCCCAATTTCTTCACAAATTTCAAAACAATCCAAAGGTTCACCAGAACACCAATGAATTCCAAAGGATTGATATGGAGACCTTCATTGGAGCCATCCGAAACAGGTTCGGAAGACGCCAAATCAATGTCACGCATATCAAATCCAGCACGTATAAGGTCCTCGCGACAAAGGCGCCAAAGGAAACCAAAATCAGAACTCCATCCACCAATTCCAGCATAGCTAGCATCCGAAAACACGCGGTGTGAAAAATCACGGTCCAAATAGAGGGAAATGGGACGCGACCACAATGGACTTCCTTCAGGAACAGTAAGTGTTTCCCGAATCTGATGCAATGTTGCAATAGCAACTCCTGAAAGATAGATCCAAGACCGAGTCCACCAAGAACGATTCGTAGAATATGCATTTCTTGCAGCTGTCGTCAGCGCATTTTGTAAATTAAAACTAAGAAACGTTCCCCATGGGGCAATGGCCGCCGCCGATCGAATCACACCAATAATGTGAGCCATCTCTTTGGGAGTCACATATTTTCGTTTTCGAGAAAGAATATCCTGGATTTCATCATCCAGTGCTTTCCGTTTTGCAAAAGGCCAAGAAACGGTCATAGCATGAGTGTCAATCCGGAATCCAAGAAAAAGAAAAGTCTCGGAAACAAGAGAGGTCCACTTAGCATCCTGAAGACAGCCACCTCGACGATCTGCGTCACCAAAGACTTCAAAAGCTGACCTGACGCTGTGTTGGAGTGCCTGCGGCATCGTTTCCAAATATGCCGCCACTCCATTATCGTCCACAAAGCTCGCATTGTACATTTCAGTTTGCTCCTGCAAAGTGAGTGGAGGATGATTCGAATCTGGAGGCACCTGTACAAGAGGAGAGGAAGTATCTACCTCATAGGTGCAGGAAGCGACCAATGGATGAAGAATAGGCTCATCCTGTCGACAAGCCGCCAATGCTTGGCGGACATCAGCAAGTACACAGTAGTAGGAAGGCGCACTCCGAGAACCAAAAACTTGACCCACTGGAACCATCAGATAATCAGAATAAACATATGCAAAAGCACACGCCATATCAGGATGATAGAGCACTCGTCGAAACGCAGCTTCTATATCATCCGCATGGACCATAATGGGATCATTCGGGCGAGTGATGCGCATCCTGAGGATTCGACGCAAGAAGCGATCAAATGCATATTGGTAGTACACTGCGGGGCATTCGTCCTCCTCACCAGGAATAGCATCTTTCGGAGAAGGAATGTAAAGATTGATGGAACCTAAC